GTAGAGTTCTCTCTTGTTGTTGATGAAGTACTAACTAGTTATTGTAATTACTAGACAATGAAAAGTGGGCTGAAATCTTTCAAGTTTCAAAACTAGTTAGCTACCTATCAGCTTTTCAGCACTGAGATGAATAAAAATGCATCTCCTCATCCTTCTTACTTTCCACGACCGGCTGGCTATCTCCACCTCGAGAAAGTCTGAAGTGGCATAAGAGATGGTAGTACCATAGAGGGATCTCGGGAGGTGAAACCCCGGAGAAATGTACGGAAGTGTGATGTTTCCCTGGCTGACAACAGCCAGGTCCCTTAATTTTGGATGGCATCAAAAATTAATCGTTTGGTCCCAAAATAGAGTTTTCCTGAACATCAGTGCATTGTGTAAAACGGTCATTAAATGATTCCCATACATTGTCGTCGGTGATAATATCGTAGGTACGGGCACGACTCAGACGTTCAGGATGAATGTTAGGCACTTCAACAGCACCAGTATTTACGTGTATATTGGCAATTGTTGCAACACCCGTTCCATCAGAGTTTATGTCTATCACTCGCAGCTCGAATCCAAGAGGTCCCCTGAGAATCAGTGGTGGTTTTGTCTGTTGAATCGTTTGCCCCTCTCTCAACATCTGGGGCGCCTGGGAATTTGGTTTAACTCTGCGCAATTTTGAAAGGAACATCCCAGTAAGGTAGTCTTGATGTATTTTTCAAAACAAAATGGTGATGGGTGCTTCATATGCGTTGTCCTGTCACAACGGCCGGTGATTGTTGCATGTCATGTGACGTTCTGCGGCAAGCGATACCCACCTACCTACTGCGTACGGAGCAGGTAGATATCCCCTCGGAATACAAAAATTGATCTATATTGGTGTTGCAAATGTGTAATGGGGCCCTCCGATTTCCTAATTAGGGCTCCACTCTATCCTCGAAGGAAATGCGCATGTTCGCATCTATCATGGGTAGATAAAAACCTCCCCGCGTGTTTGATTTTCCAAATCGATGCTTGATAGGGTGAGTAGTGACTGTGTCGATTGATGTCCAAACAGCGGAGGATTGTGATCCATGTGGAATTAATCTTGCATGGACTCAAGCGTAACTGGATCTACTGTCATTTTAGGCTGATTACTATCCGTCCATCAGCTATCCTTGGACCACAGGTTTTGGATATTGAAAAAAAAGAAAAGAAAAAAAAAAGAGAAAGAGTTTGTAGTACAAATGTTCACTGTGGGTGGCTGCTTCGCCAGGCATGATTGGGTGCAGAGCAGGTCACTGCAAGGCAATATTGCGCTGGAATCAAGGATGAGAACGCTGTTAGGCATGCTCAAATGGTAGTATGCCATGCTTCCATTAGAGCCGTTCGGCGAATGTATCAGTATATAATCCAACTAGACGTAATGTTCGCAGAGTTTTAGCTCACGAAATATCAACAATGGAGGTTATCACAGGAGCAGTCGGATTTGTACATACAAGGCACAGTCAGGCTTAGCCATTCTTGGTTGGAGAACTCAAATGATTGCGCCGATAGTACTAACAGTACTAGCTGATAAGATTTGAAGGGTGGTTTGGTCAAGTGGTTCGGCCAAGGACAACTTAGATAAGCAGAAACCAAGGGTCCGTTAAAAGATAGAAACAGAGTTAGTTAACCAAAATATGTAAGAGGTGTCAGTAATGGCGATGAGTATGTTTAAGCCGGATAAGTCATCGTTAGACGTTATTTTGTCCATCGCAATCATTGATTCCTCTTCATCATGGTGCTCCTCGAGAAACCCAATTTAGATAGAGGATTTCACAAGCTGGCACTCAAGATAACAACACCACAACATAGGTGTGGCAAAGAGTATACATTCTGAGGAGAGTAAGGGATGCCCCTGCAACAATAGCAAACCTGGGGTGTAGAGGACCACTCAAAAAAGTAGCCTCATGGCTGCTCGCTAAGGAATCAAGGTAACAGTTCCTGACGACGAGATGACTAGGGAGATCCTCGAGTCCATTTCTCTTGGATTGGAGCTTAGCGAAGGTGAAGAGAGTATTCTTGCCACCAAAGGGTTGGGATCACGCGTTGCAGCATTTTACCAAAGAAGGTAATGACTGCCAGGAATATACATAATACCATCATCGGGAGAAAACCGCTCTGCGGATTATCGGATAAAATTCAGCTGCTCTCCACAAAATGAAGTTTCATGAAGCTTAGGCAGTGATAAAAACAAGAAACAAAAGACGGCAGGATCTGACGGAGCCGGATCCATGCTATTATCGTCCGCCTGGATGAAAGGCAGACTGGCATTGAGTGAGTGGTATGTCAGATGTTGTGAGTTCCGCCAGTATAGGTAAAAAACGTCTGCGGGGAACATTAGTCCTCAGGGAAGGATGGACCTAGCAAGGCACACTCGGGAAACCAAACTCAGCTGACTATGCTACCGTCACCAGGCAGCATCAAGGAGAAAAATGTTGCCTAAGTAAACGAAATCCACAGTAATTGGGGGTGTATGGTTGTGAACGATAGACGGGCTAGCGAAACCCCTCAGATAGCCCGTAATTTTGGACTATGAGTTTCCCCTGTCAAAGCAGTAGTGAATTGGCAATTCTCAGCAATCGGGTGACATCTTTCCTGTCTCCTCTCGTCGCAGACTGAAGTCAAGAAGAGCTGCCTCCCCTACCGCATACGTTCGCGCCACCAAGGCATAACATTTTCATGAGTAATGACACGACCATGAAAGTGGATAGCAGTGGACTAAGAATCCACTGTCGGTAACAAAGCCCGAAGGAATTGCAGATGATTTGGTACCTAAGGAAAGACGAGGGGTAGGGGGGGCTAAAAAAACAGGGAAAAGAGACGAAAGTCAGTATCCAGCTAGCCCCCAAGACAGTCAATGTCAATTTGGTATATGATAGAAATAATCAAAACAAAATTGAGCAATGCGCAAGATCTCACTCAGCACAGCCTCAAAGAAAGAAAGACAGCCGGATAGGGTTGATAAGAGACTTGGAGCTTGGATGACAGAAAAACAGGGGCAGTGTGCAATCTTGGGCACATCCAAAGGGCGGGCATGTAGTACCGCGACATCTATTGCGAAAGAAACCTGAAACGAACGAATAAAATGGAAACAATGGAATCATCGTTCTAGGACGCGATGAACATCCACGGAGTTGTAACCTGAGATACCAAAAAAGGGACGGTGTGGTTTGGAGAGACACCCGAAGAGGGCGGCTGCCAAAACCTTTCGAGCGTCGATCTACAGCGTGTCCATTACCTGGTGTTGCATATGCAGCACCATGGGGAGTAACGGTCAATTCGGTGGCGCAATGCATGAATTGAGACCTTGGGATGAAGATGTCGTGAGCTGCTGCTGGCAGTCAACTGTTGTGTGGAGTGAAGACCTGACGTCCGCGGTTGATGAGACGTTGAGCTGTTCGGGATTAGCGCGGCCGAGTCGACGGTTTAGTTTATTAGTTAGTTACAGCATTTGGTGTTTACAGCATCAATACAGCAATACGTCACAGAACAATGCCAACTATCAAAGGCACAGGCGCTTGTATTTACGCAGTAATACACCTAAGCGAAAGTGAAAATAGTTATTTCTTTTGACAATTCATTTCATGCTCCGTGTTCCCTCTGATATCACTGCCTGATGTGGTATTGTTCCGACAGGGCGCGAACCAACTTACCTTACAAAAAAGAAACATGCAACTGTTCATATTCTTATGGTTGTTCAATGGGCTTGCATGGATCGTCAAGTTACCCGTTAGAAAATAGCATTTTATCCCGCATTGCTTACTCCAATACAGTAATAGGTGGTTGCTGCGCCAAAATCAAAAGCCCAGCCACGGATTGGACCGATATAGATCTGCCAAGGGCCCACTCTCACTCTTTGCATAAGGCGTTTTCCTCCGTTTGAACTCCGCTGGTCAGGGTTCAGGGCATGACATCAATATCCGCCCCTGCTCCTTTTTGCGCCCTAACACAAGCCTGTCAAGGAGTTTTACCTCCATCTTTCCGCCAGAAGTGTGATGTCAACGCGACAGTGCCCCCACGAACAACCGAATTTCGAGCATGTCCCGTGTTGTCAATGATGGTGGATGCCCATGTTGAGATAGATTCGCAAATGCAGATATGCTCCTATTCCTTGCCATTGTTGACATGACGTCATTTTCACTCGTCCGCTGCTGGGACATGGCGCACTGGCCTTGTAATCTTGGAGCCTCCGCGGCGCCATCTTTCTGATAAGACCAGATACATAGACAAGCAGCGTGGGGGTGCTAAGGATGCCATCCGCGTTATGCCTTCTCAGGACCGCTCGCGAGAACATGACCAAATCAAGAAAATGGTGTGCCTTGAGTGTGGCATTTGCTTCCAAAATGAATACGAACTGAGGCGGTGCGTGATCCTGTCCAACCCCTGTCCCCAGGATCGAATTGAGCCTCACGCTAGCTCACCAAGCTTGTGGAGAAACACTGCTGTGGCTGAGACTGTTGGCCCGTAGTGTTAGTGTGCGATCAATGCGCCCTTTACTTCCACGCTCATGTTCTTGCGGGCCGAACATCGTTAAGTTGGATTTTCTCCTGCACACTACACTACGGTGGGGTGGTGTTTGAGTCCCCGTGGTGGCAGCGGGCAGTGTGGGTGAACCCCGTTGAGTCATTGCTTTCCCCCCCTACCTTTTACTCTTCCGGTGCTCTCATTGGACAATGTGAGCTGGCTGTTCAGATGACAAGTCCCATGCTATCACTTGGGAGTCTGGCAAACCGGGAACCGTATCATGCTCCTTCTCAAATCCTCACAACTGACTTCACCAGATTTGATTTTATGCAGCTAATACTTTTGACGAGGGAGGTTGTTGCCTGGGTATACGCATACATACCATGACGAGATGTGTGGATTACCGAAATATTGAGCTGATAACCTATCCTTTGTTTTCAAACGACTGGCGAATCAACAAACTGCTGCTGACTTGCGAATCAAGTGTCCGAACTGATGTTCTCTTCCCGTGCACTACAGGCACGACCTCATATTAGTTCCGCCAGCGGGCCATCAGCCACGGGAGTTCCTGCGCCGCATCTCTCTAAACCAAAAGCGGTCCCTTCTGCAGACCTGTGGACCTTGGAATTTGCTTGGCTTGGAATGGCGCCGTCCTTCTGCTCAAGCTCTTCTGCGGCGGTGTTGCCTGGTGATGTATTCTAACAGTATGTTTCAGGTATATTACCACACAAAATAAATTTTGGTGCAAGTTTTGGGTGTTATTTACTGTATGGCACCAGATTGGGTATCCGACTGTTTTAAAGGCATCCACACCCCCCTGGATCATTAGCGCTGCACTTGAATCTTTTCCCATTTCCATTTCTTTTTTTCTTTTTCTTCTTTTTTTTATTATTATTTTTTTTTTTTTTAGTTTTTTGATCAGTCCCCGCGCCCTTGTTGCTCGGACTAAAATCTGCGATGCTTATCGCCAGTGTTGACCTGGTCAGTGCGTGTTGGTTGTTCAGGTGGGAGAAAAACTTATATAGATCATCATTCCCCTCCATTCCCCTCCTCCAATCAGCCATATAAATCCAAAGCACCTCTTCCATAAAACACATATAAGCCTGATAATTTTCCCTTCACTGCCTCTTCCATCTTATCTTCAACAACTTTCTCTTTCAATTTGTGTTTTCTCCCACATCAACTTCCTGCCAGGGTGCTATACACGGTGTCTTCTTATCGCCGCCCTACGACAGCTTACTATCACTCCCCTCGTTATATAACGAGCTGTGGTCTTAAATCTTTTACACCTTCATACGATTACCCGACTCTTCACCGACTCTACACGATGCCTTCTATCATTCGCGAACCCTACATAGAGCGATCTGGTTTCTCGCGACAGCCGCGAGATGACGAGAAATATGTTATGGATAAATATTCGCAACACGCTCTTCGCTGCATTGTATGCAGTCGCCCATACGAAGCCTTCTGCAATGGGAGACCACTTTGCAGCCGTGGGAACCACTATGCGACAAACATATTGCAATATGTTTACCAGAAATGTGGGAAAGCATATTCGCTAGTTGATCGCGAACAGGGTCGATATAGCCAGGTCTTGATTCCAAAGGACTGCCATGTAGTGCATGATTTGCTCAAGGCCCTGGAAAGTGGCCTTATGCTCCCAACCCGGCGACGGACTGTCCCTATAGTAGTTCATCACCCGAAACCAGCCATCGAAACCACCCTGAATCAGCCACGCATACTTCAGCGACAGACCATGCCATCTGCTGTTATCCCCCATAGCAGCCTCAGCCTTTCGCGAAATGGGCTATACATCTATCGACGTGGGTCGCTATTCGGTGACGACTTGAGCCGACGAACCTCCCCTGCCTCTAGCCAGAGGGTTCGCGTTCCAAACAACTACCTGCGTTGAATAGCAATCATTCTTGAATATTTTTATTTTGCGAGAATCGAATAATCCAACGCACCCCCCATGCGTTGCAAGGGGAACCCTTAAGAACTAAACCGTTAGCCACTGAATACATTAGCACTGTCTTCGCGAAAAATTCATAGATGATTGATCTCGGTCTCTCGACAGAAGTAGACGTCCAAACAAACGGAGGAAGTTTGTCCGATGAATTGCGATATGCAACACCCACCAACTCTGCGAAAACAACCGGCAAAACAGGCATATAGATTTTCCAGCGACCCCCCGGATACGCACAACAAGGCCCCCTCAACGGTTCCAAAATCATGAAATACTGAATAGGAATTGGCATCTAGGGAGCTGGTGAATGGGTGAGGCGAAGGAGGGCTCGAAAGAGAAAATCCTCGATAGGGAGGATGTAATGAAAAGGGAATACACATGATACTCTCCCTGAACTCATCAGCTATCCCTTCATTCTTAATTTTCATATTTTTCTTTTTTTCTCACTTCTCCATCTGCACTGGTACTAGCGCTCTTTTTACCGGCTTTACATTTTTGTCAATATTTGAATTTTGGAGCGAGTTTCATTTCACACTCCATTGCTAAATCGGAGGGGGAAGTTGGGAGAGGGCAAATAAACACGAAATCACTTCATAACAACTGTTAATTAAGACTCTGCTCTGTGACATTTTTAATTAGTATTAGAATGCCTGTGATGCAATGCAGAGATTAAAAACAAGTTGATACTATATTGTATCAGATATAATACAGTTGATAATGGGTATTGTTAATAGCATACTCACACTATGTTTTAATATTTTCATGCTCAGCTATTGCAATCATTAATAAGTATAAGCAAATCATAGGCTAATTTTAAGTAAATATCTTAATTATATCTCAGGGAAAGTCAAGCAGAATATACTGTTCATTTATCTTTGTTATTTATTCAAAGAGCTCTTGAACAGCTCAGACTCATCTGTCTCTTATGCTTTAAAAGGAATTGAGCAAAGAGCAAGAAAGCATAAGAAAGCAATCAAGTTGAGATTCATAATTGATCAAACTATGCAATTAATAGCGATAGTTAACTGCAAAAGCTGATTAAGAGAAAGTATAGTTAAGCTCTAGAAATATCAAGCCAGAAGACAGTTCTTCAAAGTATTTAACTGCAGAAGAGAGTATTTCTTTGCAATAATTAATATAACTGAAATTGAGAAGTAGCTTTTCAGATTTTCCTCTTAATATAAGCTCAGAGCTTAAGACAAGAAGAACATTTATTCAATTCTATTTCAAAGAAGTGTTGCACTAGTGCTGCTTAATGCGATATCTTTTTTCCAGTTGTCAGATTGTGGAACTGAAAATCAGAGAGATTTATATCTGCTACTATTCACTCTTTGTTCTCTGTTGTATACCATTTCTGGTCTGCCTAAAATTCCACCTGGGCCATTTAACGGCCAACTTAAGTAACTAGTTGTGGGCATCGAAACCCCCTCGTCAATCTCGTTCTGAAGTTTCCAGCACCCTTTTGCCAGGATCTATCATGAATTGAAGGAGAGAGCTTAGGCTCTTCCGCAATTTCCTCCGCCGACGAGAGCAGAAGTATCTCCCTGCAGTTGATGGCACTGAACAGTCTCCCGCTTACAGAGCGACCTGGAAATCCGGGATGTGAACCTTTAGCAGGTGAGCGCACAAATCATTCTCAGAAACATATCTGTCATTCTAATTTAGCACCTTTACTATGCAAGGCATTACCAAAGCTCAACAAATGCTTTGTATCCTAGTGAGGGGCAATACTCAAGACAAACATATCACAGCCTTGCTGAACCTGGTGACCCATTGTCAAAGCGTCCGCGGTTGGAATCTCAAGTTTTAGATATGTAAAATTGCATTATAGGATGCGGAGTTAAGACTCGTATTATCAGGAAGGAAATCCAACTTTGTTTGGTGATAACTGGTGCTTGCCCTTCTCTTCTATGAGACATCGTACTATTGATAAACTTCCTCAACCATTTTGGACTGGCATGGAGAGGAGTGAGCTATGGAAAAAGGAGCAGAAGAAAGGGGAGGCTATCTGTTACGAACTACTTGTCCCTGTATTTGCTAGAGAAGTTTAATGAGAATGCTGTTTTGGTTATCAGTGTGGGTTATGATGATGGATTCAGTGTCTCCCAACATCTTGGGTCTAAGTGATCCAAAAGGTTCGGCTAAATCACTAGAAGGGAACGCCCGTGAGGCCCGTCGTTAAATAAAGATTTCTTACCTTTGGCAGCTTCCAGCCCTTTCTTTTCAAACTTCATTCGTGCCCTCATCTCATAGCTCCAGGGTTCTGCCTGAAGCCACCAGATTTGCATAGCGTCAGTCACAGAGTGGAATGGATGCACCTATGTAACTATTTGGAAGCTCTTGATCAAAATTTGAGCCTGGTACAGCCGGCTACTCAGGTCAGACCCCGTCCCGTCCCGTCCCGTTCGCGTCGCATTGGGCCAGAAGTGATGTCCTGTCCATTACTGACCTAGTGCGCAGTAGAGAGTTCAGTGGAGTTATTTAAGATGTCTCCCCACGCCATGGAGTGGCTCTTGAACACGTTCAGTGTGGGTGCTTTTACTATGTGATCATCTATGCATCGTTTCTGGGTAAGACTCTCTTCAGTTGTAAATTTTCATGTCATGCGGAGCATACACAAGGACATAATTATTGGCAGGCAACAATGTTTGGTAGTTATTGGTTCAGCTTGGGTTGCATGTGCAGTTCTGTCTCTCCCCAGCCATCATAAAACCCATCATTGCAAAGAGTGTGGTTAGTTATGCACCGTACATCTAACTTATAGGCCGAACTCAACGCTGCTGGCCTTCTGACTAACATTGCCCTGCACTAGATATGAGCAGTCGCTATGCACAAATGCAAGCTGCGGAATTATTTTCCTCGACTTCTTAATCTTGAGCAAGATCACAGCTCTTCAGGATCATTTGTTCTAGCTGTACCTGGTTCAGGACAAACCCCCTACTGGTCTACCAATTGAATCCTTAAAATGGATCGTCGATCCAACATGGTGCTCTATAGCATCCCCGGCATCAAGGTCTGTCTCATTTGCGTTAGCTGATTGGCAGTGACGGCAGAAACACAAGGCAATGAATACAACAGCTCTTTTTGATGGATTGTACCGGATGCACTGAGGTTTAGGGACAACAGATTTAGTATCCAATTTTCTTTCCCCGAGCTGTAAGCCAATCGTATCCCCTAACGGAAGTGATAATCGTCTATCTATCATGGGCTGGTAACATCCCTGGTATTTATGGCGCATTGGTGGGATGCGCCCCCGCATGCTCTAGCTCGGTATGGATAACGTATTCTGCATCTGGATGTGCATGGGGATGGTTTGATATGACTCATTGGATTGGTGCACGGGGTCAATACAACAGCATGTAAGCAGGCATGATTCCCCTTGAAATCCCGAGGCAATGATCAATGACAAGTCCTCCGTTAGTTATTTCTTAACTAGCTTGAATAGCTCCATGTACCTCTATCAATGAAAGTTTCTCAGAATTGTGTTTCTCAGCTGCTCATCATATAGTTAAGAAGAATTGAAAGATCTTTTGCTGGAAGTTATTTACAAAGTCAAGACATAAAACCTCCCCTTTTTCAGAACTCAAAGAGTACGTCAGCTGACTGAAAGTAAGTTAGTGATAGAAATCAAAGCAAAGATAGGAAAAGAATTCAGACTTCCAGTAAGAGCTTCCGTGGCCATATATAGAGGAACTTGCAAAAGTAAGGGGGTTGGTATCGCTGTCGGGTCATCTTCATAACGTCGACATGCTCCATTCACTGCTGGGAGGAAAACAGGATCCTGCCCCCGCTATCCCTACTCGCAACACGTTTTGCTTCGAACATGGCGGCTTCCCGTGGCATCCCAGCCAGAGATAGGGCGAATGGGATGCTCCCGTCAACACAAGATCAGAACTGAACGCCGTCTTGTTGCTGAGAAGTGTTACGGACAGGGGCCAAATGTATAGATCGTCTAAAAGGACTTCTGATGCAGAGGGGCCTGGGGTTAAAAGCCTGCATAAGGCTCGCTAAACCCCCGAGAAGAGTAACCATAAAATCCGCAACAAGAGTCTCGGTTGGTGTTCGATGAGGTGGCTCCTCCTCTGCTGGTCCTGGCACTGAATGTGCAGCAGGAGGAGTACAAGGACGATGACAGGCTGTCGGCTGATATCCGTCCGGCATCTGTCATCTCTCGGTATTCTTTATGCCAAGCTCCGCTGAGAAAATACCCTGCGGGTTGGACTTGTAGGATCTACATGTGCTGAGGGCCCCGTAGCGTCATAAAATCCCGTTCTTTCGGGAAGCCCCGTCCAATGGACGTTCCTGGACCGAGGCCTGAATTGATCTATCCAGGAGTTGGTTTTCCACCATCAACCAGCATCTAGAAGGGCCCTAGCCTATCTGCAAGTGTGCCAAATATTCAGAAGGGGTGCACTTGTGGGGATTCCTTGGGAGCGCATATCATGCGATCCAAGTTCTTAAGCTTGTCAAGTCCCAAGGATGTGTGTCTGTTCATAAGTTTTGTGGCATCGTATGAATGGTCTTTGTTGAAGATATACTCAAGGTTGGCAAAATATATGTCGAGGCGTCCTTGGGCCTGTTCTTTTCGAGCCAAATACTTCGGATGGTAGTTAAAGGATGCTTCTTTTGGAGCGGAGAAACTCCCTGTGCGGCACTCCCGACATCAGAAGCATGTACTTAGGCCCAAAGTTCATCAGGGAGCATGCTTAGTTGTTCGAGAGAATGCTGTTGAAGGCCATACTTCTGTATTGCTTCATGCCATTCTTTTTTGTTTGGTCGGAATTTTTTCCATACTCTGGGCGACCTTCAAACGAGGAAGCGGCCATGTCCGTGCTAAACTTGGTAGGGTGCTAAGTTTTACCTTAAGTTATATGAGCTGATAACCTATATCTTAACAAGACAGCGGAGATAGGCAAAGAGCGACGGAACAAGGGACAATGTTGATACAGGATCAGAGGAAGAAGATGAGGGCGACAGACAGCAGGCAGTGTAAAGGGCCGCAATTCAATTCTTCCCATTGGCATCGAGTGACGTGCCGGGTGCCTGCTTGTTTTCCGCCTTCATCCACATCAACAACACATCATCAACACACAACAACTACCCATCAGACCATCAAAACAGCACACATTTTCCAATTGATAGTGTATCATGCAATCAGGAAGGATTCGATTCGAGAACCCGGGGGACGTTGGCCGGCTCATGCTGAACCCTTTATTGTTTGAACCTCTCCTGCTCGTCAGACACATTCCCCTTTGAGTGGATGCAAAAAACAGAGGACCTTAAGGTGCGTTGTAGGGATACCACTGGAGAAGAGGTGGCTTTCTCAATCTTTCCAGACCTCCCAAATGCCATCCACAAGTTCGAGAGAGTTACTGCGCCGGAGAAAGCTCAACGCCTCCTAATCGACTGGGGTTTCTCTGGCTTCAGGAAGACTGCGCCCACCAAGGTTCTAGACGAATTTCCCTTTACTAAGGCTCAAGAATAGGTAAGATGATATACCTTTGATGCTCCCTTCTTCATTTTTGCTTACCTCCTCTTAACGTTTTATCAGGTTTTATCGTCCCCTTTTCGGCAGGCTGGACGTCGGCATCATAACCAATTTCCGCTCCCGCATTAAGGGGGTCCAGATTTTTCACCTTCATCACAACCACTGGGGCAGCATAATTCGGGATTACTCAAGTGTATCCAACGAATAATAATAATAATAATAATAATAAGAAGAAGAAGAATGAAATTGCAGGGATTATCTTCTGAAAAGTGAACTACTGGCAGTCCCTTCAACCTTATACCGTCAGATGAATGAGATGGTGTGGCTTCCTGAGGAAGACTGGTATATGCTGAAGCTGATATATAAGGAGGATTTCCTGACTGTATGTTTACCTTCTCTCCTTTTCACTTTCTTCCCATTATTCGTATCCACGGGATTGTGGGAATGCTGACAACAGCACCCCCAAGGCCACAGTTGTGACATTCATCTGCGGGAAAGTTCGCATAGTCCAAGTGACCTGCAGCCCATCCGAAAAATACCCAACGCTCACTTTAACGCTGAGGGCCATGGACAGCCTCGGCGAGAACCACTATGACAAGGAGGTAGCCTTTGACGTTCTGAAATAGATTCTCAGTCCTCCCGAGCCGGCAAAGGAACTCGCCGTGAGAGGAAAGAAGTAGCAAAATTTTACTACAGGGAGGCAACGAAATGCGTGAGTTGATTTTGCTAATGTTTTCCTAGACTTTGCTGATTGGTACGAGACCGGGGTGAATACCCAGAGATGATATGAATATATGGTGATTTTGCTTATTTTCTGTTTGTCACTCAGGCTACTCTCATGAGCGTTATTATGAAGAATTTTATCCCAACGGATGGAGCATATTAAGTATATTATCTGTGGTTTATTTGAGCCATTTTCCTTACGCAAGCCCGAGTTCTCAGGACCTGTCAACACGAATGACTAGAAGAATGTGAGCTCTCTACTGTGATTGATGGGTTGCAAAAGCTAGAGCGGCGGCTCTCTGATAGCAGGGAAGCTTACACGGTTGAATTCCAGAAACGTGAAGGAATAGTGCACAATGATAAAACTTTCTCAATTGATATGCCAACATTTCGAAAGTGGCCGTCAGCACTCTCCTTTTTTGCGCCGACGACATCAAAGCACCGTTGAAGGAAAGTGCAGAAACTCTGTATAGGGTCCTCCTCATATAATTACCAGGTCTTCTTAATGTACGCCTTCAGTTCAGCGAAGAATCCCTGAATTGGGTTCAAATCAGGGGAGTAGGGTGGTAAATATAGCAGTTTCACTCCTGCTTCAAAGCCCATCTGCTTTATCCTGGCTGAGTGGTGGAATGGTGCGTTGTCCATAACTAGGACGGCTTTTGGTTCTGGATGCTGCCTTCAATGCTGGAGGGGCTGCCCAATGAAACTTTTCGAAGCAGCATCAGTTGAAAAACCCCTAAAGACACGAGAAAGGAGGATGCCATCTGGACTATAGGCAGACAGTATCTGACAACGTTGGCCCTGGTGGAACCTTGACACTTGGATTAGTGGTCGTGAAAGTAATTTGGTGGATCCAAAGAGACCGCCTGAAATGCCATACGAAGCAGGTAACTTGGGCCAAATTACAATTGAGGAGCGCGCCGATGAGAGGAACCAGCTACACAGTATATGGACATAGGAAGAAACTAGGATGTTTCAAAGCCTAGTTTTACCGCTGACGTGATTCTTGCGCAAAGATGGAGTGATACCAACTAGGGATGGACCGATGCAAGCGTCAAGTCACTTGCAGGAGATCGCCCATCTGCTGTTTAGTTTCGTGGTGGATTCCGCGAACCAGTTACAAAGCCGAAATATGGGGGTGTTGGTTGGTTACCCCAACCCGGCAATTTAGCAACATTATTCGTCTAGGTCAAAGTTCCTCTTATGCCGCGCCAAAATGGTAAGGTTTGAGATTCACGACCAGCATGGGTCTTATGGACGATTATCTGACCACCTTGCTAGCATGTAAGAATGCTAGTGATTCAGCCAGTGAAAACGATAGCTATGAGAGGCTGTAACTGACGCATCTGAACAACCACTATACTCTTACCCCGTTATCCGGCAACACCTTGCACTCCGGTTTCCAGACGTCTTTGTTTTGGCCTCAGCAGTCAATGGAGCATATGGTAACACCATATGAATGATCACACAGTGATGCTTTCTCCTTCCCTCTCGCACCCCCACCGGCACCTGGAGCTTCTGTGCTGTTGCTGCTAGAACAAGTGACCACGGGAAGAATTGAGTGGGAGAAAAGTTTGAATCAATAATGGTTTGGAGCCGAGGAAATAAAGTCCTTCAGGCACCCTTCTCTGGGAACGCGTTATTTGGGTAGGTGGCTTACTTATTTATTTATTTAATAAAATAAAATAAAAAATAAAAATAACGCAGAGGGAATTCTTCACATCATGGACGCTACCCACTGAAGGAATATGTGATGCTTCTGCTAACGTGGAACTTCGTAAATAGAATTCTCCTAGATGCTCCGCGCTCTACTCAAAGTTTACCCTGATAAATAGCCTCCTCAAAGGTAGCGAACGCCTCAGATGCTTTCAGGTCTCCGGGAGGAATCAGCTGGTTAGCATAAAACAGCGCAACCCCCTTTTCCCTATCGATCATCCAATGCAAATTTGGCAATCCACTCCACGACAGTGCGCCCTTGCTCCTCCGATTTGGGCCCGCACCATTAACCGCCTCCACAAGCAATCCTCCGACCGAATATCCCACCTCCGTTCCTGCTGGCAACCCACCAAGGAACTTTTCGCCGATTTCTCCACTTTTGTTCTCTTCGTAATCTCCATACAGCAGAAAATTCAGCGCCGTCTTAGACTCGGCAGAAAGCTGCTGTTTGAATAGCTCTTCTTTGCTTGCCGCGGAGAGCAACTTTGAGTCGTCCTGCAGGAGGTCAATTAGAACTTTGATGTAATCTTCGGCACAAGAATATAAGCCGGCTCCGCCGTAGTCGTCCTTGGAATCGTCGGGAAAGACATGAGTCGGGCTTGGGGTAAGAGAGCCGTCAGGGAGACGCAAAGTCATATCTGATCGAGCTGCAAGAATATCTGGTCGTGATAAGAGTTTGAATGACGTGCGTGTCATGCCAAGTGGATTGATGATGTTTGCGTCCATGTAAGCGGAGAGAGGTTGTTTCGTGACCCGTTCCAGAGCAAGGCCAGCCCAGTCAATCCCGACTCCATAAGACCATGACGTGCACGGTTCGAAAAGAAGTGGGAGAGAGATATGTTCCATCTATAAAAGCGCTTAGAGCATAGCTTGTGTGTTTGAATAACGGCAAGAGTGCATACCAAGTCGCCCGTCATTTCAACTTTAACGCCTCGCGAGAGAACTTCCTTCTCCAGCTTCGGATCAAATCCAGCATATCCGAACCCACTGCTGTGGCTAAGAAGGGCCCTGAGGGTGATTTTACGTTCCAGCTTCTTGTAGACTGGTGTTTCACCCTCGAATCCCGTCAAAATCTTAAGTGTTTTGAACTCCGGAAGAATATCAGAGAGGTCGGCATCAAGATCAAGAAGTCCCTTCTCTACACACTGTAGGATGCTAATTGCAGTGAGTAGTTTTGTACAAGAGGCAATCCACAATGCAGTGTCAGCCGCGAAGGGCTTGTTGACGAGAGGAGAGTTAGGATCAATAGACTGGGTTCCAAATGCATTCTTGTAGGTGATTCCTATGGGTGATAACATCAGAATAGTTTGGAGACATATGGTCCGGAAGGAAACTTACCACTCTTGTTTGCTGCTACGACGACAACGCCTGGGAGAGTGCGATTAGGGCCTTCCGCGGTGGCAGCCTGGAGGTATGATTCAAAAGACATTTTCAGCTCGATAGAAATCAACACTGGATGGAAGACAAGGGCGACAATCAAGATGGAAATGGGAAGACTCTGCCTGCATACAGTACTAGATCATGCTCCCTCATTGCAGCTCACCCAGCATTAAATAACTATAGTCTGGCTTGAGACACCATTGAGCCGAAAGGAAAAGTGACCGAGGTACACTTGAGCACTGGCTTAGGAGTTATCAAAGCGAAACCTAGCCTCGAAGTTCTAGATTCATGTGGATCCAAGTTACTGGGGTCAAGGCGGTGTATATATTAAGGGGGAATAGTTAGTTAAGCGTAGGAAGATGCCAGGGATGCTATATATAAACGAAACTAGAGCAATTTAATATCCAAACCACTGCCTAGTTAGCACTGCCCATCCGTTGGCGTGAGAATCTGACTGTTATTACTTGCGCTGGTAAATTGGCATTTGGTCATAGCGACGGTTTGTTGCTAATAGATCTTTCCGCAGGTAAATTATCAAGCCCGATTTCAAATATATTTCTCATTAATAAACAAATTCTGTATTTCTCTCCACTCGAATAGCGCCATTTCAAGTATTTAGCTACCTACTACTCCGTACATGTATCGCATGCACCAGCTTCGTACGCTCATACCATGGTTCGTATGGAACCCATACTCCAGTGCTACGGTCAGTTACACTTTACTCGCTCGTCAACTCCAGCCCGCCCAGCTTCCCGGCTTCTCTCCAATCCTTCAAAAGCTTGATGAAAGCAACAGAGCCAAATCCATAATTAGAGTTACGTAGAGCTCTCTCCGTAATCTGGCCTTCCTGGTTGTAGTATCCTGGCGTACACTCCTTCACAAAATTCTGTTGCAGCTTGCCCCCCTCCATAATAGCTTCCACCCACTGCTGTTCTGCCTCTTCCTCCGGCTGAATGCTCTTCACCTTCCGCTTTTTGCACTCTTTGACTACATGGACAATGTGTTTCGATTGCTCTGCCAGCATATGGGTGAAGTTTGGAGTCAAGCCCGACTGCACGATGCTGACAATGAAGAGATTGGGAAAGCCTCGAGACCACAGTCCGTGATACGTGCTTGTCTTCTCTCCATCCTCCCACTTCTCAGTGAGGGTGGTTCCGTTGAGCCCCCTGATCTCGATGCCACTTCGCTTGCTGTAATCGGTGCTAAACTCGAATCCGGTGGCGTAGATGATACAGTCCAACTGGATCTCTTTGCCGTTTGCCACAATTCCATTCTCGGTAATGCGCTCGATTCCTTTCCCGTCTGTGTCCACCAAGGTAACGTTGTCTCTGTTGAAGGTGGGGAGATACTCGTCATGGAAACAAGGCCGCTTGCAGAACTGGTTGTAATATGCTTTCAGTCTCGCCGCGGTCGCCGGGTCCTTAACGATTTGGTCTACTCGAGCTCGGACTTGTTCCATCTTTTTGAAGTCGGCCATTTGCATTGCGGAAGCTGCTTCTTTTTTCGCAGTGGGTTGATCCCTCCCCCCATAGACCGAAAGATTCCTCAGGATATCGGTCCAACCATCCTGCACAAGATCTTCGTCTTGGTGTCCACCGGATACAATGATATTGAAATTATCCATTCTCTTCTGTTGCCATCCTTTTTGCAAGCTGGCAGCCCACGCTGGGTCGGTTGGTTGATCCAAACGAATGTCGACCGAAGATGGAGTCCGCTGAAACACGTATAGATGCTTAGCTGCAGAGCCGACATGAGGAATTACCTGAACCGCCGTTGCCCCGGTTCCAATTATCCCAACACGTCGATCGGCCAATTTGCTCAATCCTCCTGTTGTGTCCCCTCCAGTATAATCATAATCCCATCTGCAAGTATGAAAGCTATGGCCCTTGAACTTTTCAATCCCTGGAACACCAGGCAACTTTGGCTTGTGAAGAGGCCCGCTCGCCGTAGCTACAAATTGAGCAGAGATGGTGTCGCCACGATCTGTCTTCACAATCCAACGACTGGCAGTCTCATCCCAGTCGAGGCGGACGACTTCGGTCTGAAACAGGGTCTTGTCGTAAAGCCCGAAATGTCTTCCAATGTTGCGAGCATGCTCAAGCAACTCAGGTGCTCTGGCGTATTTTTCCGTTGGGATGTAGTTGAGCTCTTCCAACAGCGGCATGTAAATGTATGATTCGATGTCACACGCTGCTCCAGGATAGCGGTTCCAGTACCAGGTTCCTCCGAAATCACCGGCCTTGTCAACGATACGAATATTGGTGATTCCAGCCTCAATAAGGCATGCTGCGATGAGCTGTCCTCCAAAGCCAGCTCCAATCACGAGGAAATCGATTTCTTCATCGATTGAAGCACGAGAGAACCCGGGCTTGGTGTATGGGTCTTCAACAGAGTATTTGAGATTGCCCGTTTCGATCGCCTGGTACTGTTTGATACCATCATCTCGAAGACGTTTGTTGCGCTCCTCAAGATACTTTGCCTTCAACACGTCTGGGTCAAAGGTAACTTCGTTCGACGTCTTTCCAGGCATTTTGCTTACTTCTGTTGAGGATTTGGTGAGGAATTGGTGAAAAGAGAAAGCGTCGTGGTTGGAAAAAGAGAACTGTTTATGGGTGCAGATTGTCGGCCTTTTAAGTCCCATTAAGTGCGCAATTTAAGCTGATCTTTTCCATCACAGGACATCTCGAGTCGGCCATATGCGGGTTCTCGTTCTCGACGCCTTCTCTAGGTTCAACCCACATCTCTCCATCGTTGAGGCTAGTTCAATCATACACCGCAGCGTGGACGGGAAGATAGTATCGGAGGCGAAGAAAACTTCTGAAGCAACAAAGCGTTAGCGGCATAAAGTGTACCGCGGCTAACAGCACCCCTTTAGCTGCATATAATGTGCCGCGGCTGTACATTCAAGATAGTTCCATGGCCATTATTCTCCCGTTTGTGTATCCAGCTACCACATTGCGGGGAGGAATGACATTGATTCGGAACGGATCCCCAAGCTTTGTATAAGTTCTCGTCTAGAACTAACCGGCAAAGCATAGCGCGCTGCTAATTCGAACGCTACTGCTTACCCCGCGATTTCGGTTCCAGAAAGGGGTGTCCGTGGGGTTGGTGCGAAAAAAAAAATGGGTACCAGCGTGCTTCAAGGAGTCAAACGCCACCCCCATAAAACTAAATACTGGCCGATTCCCATCTGCCTTCCAATTTCGCCTTTCGACCCCAGAGCCGTCACTGTAAGCCAGTCTATCGGGCTCCAAATCCTCGGGTTAGCTAGTGCCAGAGGAATTGGGACACTAGCTGCCATGGCGGTCGAAATAAAGAATATATAAAGGTTGATGGAAATGTCTACAATCCCAGAGGATGGCACGATATTTGAGGGCTCGAGATATGAAAACTTGAACTTGATAAGAAATATTAGCAAATATGTCCGTCAAAGATAAAGTGGACAGTGTATGTACATACAGCCCCAGCAGTCGGTCGGGACCCTTAAGGGCCCAACATCCCCATACTAGCTCTACTGACTCTACTCCAGACTGAGCGTGAAGTCGCGATGCCTCAAGCCCCCGCTGCTGCATCAACGGGGAACCCATCCAGCCATGACCTTGCTGAGGAACTGGCCCTTGAAGCCACCCACCATGTCGAGCAGGTTGGCTGGAAATTCCTCATGGAGCCATATACAGTGAAGAGTCCAAATCTTCCTGGTCGTGGGTATGGCTAATATTTGAATGGAAAACAAGGTTGGCTCCCTTGCTGCCATGTCCTTCGGCTTGTTCAATGCTGCGTGGGGGTTTGCTCCTCCTGCAGCCGTTCTGCTCTGGATCAACAATGATATCGGTATGGGGCCCATTGAAACGGTTGTTTTCGTACATATTCTGACAGTTCTAGGATCTAACTCCAAAACAAATGCCGCCCTCTTTTCCGTTATGCAGACCCTGGGAACAACTCTTGGCTATATGTTCGTTGGTCGTTTGTCCGAAATCTATGGCAGACGATGGGTCATGATTATATTCACACTTTTTGGGTTGGTCGGATGTAAGATTGATTACCTCTCTCTCTCACTCCCCTTTAATTTCTCTTGAATCTTGCTCATGTCCCCTTAGCCATCATTGCTGGAACCTCTCAGGATCTCAACACTTTCGTTGGAGCAAATGTAAGTTTATTCTGTCCTGTTTGGTAAAACGCTTTCACTTACCTTATATCCTTCAGGTCCTCCTTGGTCTCTCCACTGGTGCTCAGTGCTGCTATGCGTTTCTAGCCGGAGGTGGGCTCCTCCTTATGCCACACCTACGCGCAGATATACTGATCAAGAACTAGAACTCATGCCTAATAAGCACAAGATGCTTGGAATGGCCATAGTCGTTATCTTCTGTCTTCCTGGAACATCCCTGGGCGCGTATCTTGCACGGTCCCTCGTCGAGCAAGCTTCGTGGAGATGGATTTATTATATCTATATTATTGCTCAGAGTAAGCCTATCCACCCTAGGAGTGTTCCTAGTAAATTTGTTTAACAATATCTAGCCATTTCCCTTGCCCTGTACTACTTTTTCTACTTTCCAAGGGAAGCAGCACAGGCTTACAATAAGATCGAGCAAACGAAGAAACTGGACTTTGTCGGAATATTTCTCTTGCTTGCCGGCCTTGTCTTATTTATTGTCGGCATCATGACTGGTGGATCTCCATATCCTTGGAAGTCGGGTAAGTATTACACGAATCTGGTCCTAGATCTGCAGCGGCTGATCACGTTCTTCAACAGCCAAGATAATAGGAATGGTCGTATCAGGGGGCATTAGTCTCATAGCCCTTTGTGTGTGGGAGCACTTTCAGGGAGAGAACGCATTTTTTGCTGTTCATCTATTCAAAGACGTTTGGGGCTTTGGAATGAACTGCATATGCTCGGCAGTGGGAGGAATTTCATATACCGCGTTGAGCATCATTTGGCCAACTCGTTAGTATTTCCTTCCTTACTCACTAATAGTAGTCTGCGCTGACAAGTGGGCAGAGGTCGCATATATGTACAGTGCCGGATCGAGCTGGGAAACCGTCGCAGCTATATCTTGTACAGTTGGCTTCGGCCTCTGGGGAGGAATGGTCTTCCTAGGACCTCTGTGGGGTATGTAATATAAAACTGTTTAGCCGACTCAAGAATTCTAATATCAAAGCAGGCCCCATCGGACATCCAAAAATGACATTGATCGTCTCGAAAATGTGGATGGTTGCCTTTACCGCAGCCCTGGCTAATTGTAATCCGGACAATAAAAAATTCGCAATTGCTTGTTCATTCCTTGCGGCGCTGCCCATCGGTTTTGTTGAGCAACAGACTGGAGCTATTGCTCAGCTCGTGGTGAGCGATAAACACATCGGAACCTCTTTCGGAACTATGGGATGTGTGAGAGTGGGTGTTGGTGTGATTGGAACTGCCATCGTCTTGGCTATCTTGTCTGGTAAGAGTCTCAAAACTGCCCTTATATATATATGAGAAGTTCTACCGCTGACATCTTCCAGCAAAAATCCCCACCGAACTACAAGCCCATGTCGTGCCCGCCGCACTCAACGCAGGCCTTCCTAAATCGTCGATCGCTGACCTCTTCGCCGCCCTAACTAAGGCCACAGCGGAAGCAATGGCCGCTGTTCCCGGTATCAACAGCGAAATCATCGCTGCTGTGAGTAGAGCTCAGCTCGAAGGATACGCAGCTGCCTATCGTTATATCTACTTTGCAACGATTCCATTTGGGGTCGTAGCAACTGCGTCTGCCATCGCTCTGCGCCCGATCAAACACTTACTCACCAACCATGTGCCGAAAATTGTCGAGCATCCACAGACGCATCTTGGCAAGGATGACTTAGAAAAGTCTGCGGCTTGAGAGGAAGGAAAAGTTTGAGGCTAAGGAGATTGTATATCATTTTGTGGGACATGCACATGGGGGAGGGGGGGAAGAAGAGATCTGTTAAGAACATTGATTGAATTTGTCAAGAGGGAGAACCACAGGAATTTTGCTGCTGTCTAGCAGCCCCTCCCTGCTTTTTCCTAGCCCTGCGCAATCTTTGCCCGCCAGTGGTGTTTATTCGTGGTATCTTTCTGTGGTAGATATTGACCTCAAAAAAATCATTGTTGTATACTTTCCCCTTCGATTATTGTGCTCAGGTTCGTTGTCTGCTACAGACAATAAGTTTGGGATATACATTGAAAATGGAAAAGTATGAAAATAATAAGGGTACCCACCGTGCTTGGAACGGGGCGATGGATCATGATATCCCATAGTTCGCTTCCGTTCCATGCAGAACAGTAGCCATATTAGGTGCCAGTTTCTTCAGATAACTCAGCGTTGTGGCTTGTTGCTGTGGCGAAGTTTGTCATCTGGGAATCCCCTGCTTCCACCAAAACATGCTGCGGATGGTTGTCTGCAGGCAGACGTTTTCAAAGGAACGAGAGTCAAGCCCCAGCCATGGAAGAATTCAAGGTCAGGGTTGTTAAGCCTCGTCACATAAGATTAGAATCAACGAGCTAAAGTGAAAGGTCCCAATCGGATATGTATAACATTGACGCAATTTCATACTGAAAGCACCGCTACAGCCTGGTTAGAAGAGTAAATTGAGTCCCGCTGAACTCGTGCCAAATGGGAAATGGCCTGCAGACTCTAGACCTACCTGTTTGCTCGTACTTACAAACATGAAAAAGTATGACCAGTCGGATATAGAGCAACCTTTAGAAGTCCCGAGAGAGCCTTCTGTAAAACGTTGAAGGGCAAGAACTCAGAATATAATTGACTCGAAGGGGCAAACCGGTTCGTATCAAGCCACACTTCAGGGGGAAAAGATTTGGGGACTCTCGCTTCTCGAATTAGCCCACACAATAAAATGATTTCCTGCTATCGTTCCAGGTAAGATAAGTCGTCGATGTGATGGGGACAACGTTCAAGTAATGTTGAATCAAGGTTCACTAGTGAAAATTTCGTGGTCACGTGGTTCTCAAATCCCGAAGTCCACTGGCGCAATCTCCATCGCTGCATCACAACGTCAAAGAGGACGTGTGAGCTGGCAACGAAGCCAATCTCTTCAAGAAGCGGGCTACATCTAATGCTCTGAAATTGCGATCTACTGTTTAATCGATTGGGCCCATCGAACCAAGCACCTCCCCATTCGGAGTTCTCCCCCTCCGCATATTACTAGGGCCTCCGCAAAATGGCGAAGAGAGGTATGGATATTCTGTTCTCTTATTCTATCAATTTCGCATCCTGGGTGCTCTACCAACCTCAGAGATTGCTATTCAAGAAGACTCACAAGTTGACATTTTTCATTTGTTTCCCTCCCCTTGGAATAGCCAAATCTCGTACCATTGCCGTACGACTCATCAGCATGGCGATGACAGGCTACTACAAGACTCTTGTCCGACCTCGTACCAGCAGGCCGCTCAGCATGCTGAAATACGACCCCGTAGTGAAGAAGAAAGTGCTTTTCTTGGAGGCCAAGCGTGGGAAATAAACACGCTTACAGAAATTTGCAATATTTTCATCGGCGTGGAAAAAGATGTGGGGCTCCCAAAGCGATTCCTCACGACGCATTGGCGATAGGTGCTAGTATCAAGGAGACTCCAGGGGATGGAGAAGTACGGCTGCTACCCTTTTGACGGATGTTTTTGATGGGGAACGAGCTCGTCGGTCACATTGGGGATTTCATACGGTTAAATGAGGTCAACTGGATATGTATTGTCGAGAAGGTGCACTATGTTTCAATTGTAAAGAATATACACATGCTGCGGCTATGGCTATGTTGTCTATGGCCTCAGTCAATTCTGATAGTGGTGAGAACGTACCTGTATACTACGAGTTTTGTGCAAGTAGACTAATTTTTTCTGCATATAAGGCTGGCATTGTTGACATTTTCATAAAGCTGCTCCATTGAATATATATACATTTTGTTAAATATCCATTAGGCATTCCCATCTCTTTTGTTTTTGTTTGATCTTCTCAATGAATGGATGCAGACCCCTGCAAATTATATCGCCTAAGATATATATATACTTTTCTTGTCTCCATACCTCCCACTCCTTCATTCTCCGGAAATAATCCACAACCATCTCATCGGAGTTGGGCAATTTGATAATGGACCCAGATCATCAAAATTTCATGCCACCAGCGCAGCTACTTATGCAGGGGTTTTCTGGGAGAACCTGTTGTTGTAAAGCTCACCTGCTGGAATTAGCATTTCGCCACAGGAATTATAAATACGTTATCCTTACCTCGTGGTCTTCTTCGAGGCCTTTCCCTCGCCCTCCCGGCTGGTGTGTTCGACTTATTGGCTGTACTACCACATTTGCCCACCTTAGCAGTGATAGAAGCTGTCGGACTCATTGTTGGATTGAAGTATTTTGATTTGCGAGACGGTCGCCTAAATGTTATTGTGGAACTAGGGCGGATCGGTTTTCCGCCCAGCTCTCCTTCGTGAGGCGGAGTCTTAATATCATTTAACTTCGTAGACGAGCTAAGTTTCACTGTTTCTTTGAGAATCCCTTTGCGTGGCAGCTTCTCAGGGGGGTTTTGACAATCAGCTGCGTTGTCCTGCTTTGCAAAATGTTTTACACGCGTGAGCCATTTGTTTCTTGTCAATATCCTGAAATTTTGATGTGCACAAATTGAGGAAAAGTTGAGGTTTTCCGGTTAACTTACCATAACTTGAGATTCGCCATCGGCCATCTCTTTCCTTTTTTGCGCCCCGATGGCTGTTTTAGGTTGGGTGCGAGTCTGGTTGTCAATTCGAAAAACTGTCACGCTTTCCAGCTTCGTTGGCAGAGTAAGCTGATTGGGCACCCTGGCTTACCATGCCCTCACGGGCATCTTTAGCTTCTTTTCCCAAGCGGGAAGCAAGAATAACATCATTAACTGCATTTGAAATTGACGGAACACTTATCCCATGTGGATTAGTCCGTCCACGGCACGAAGAGAGGGAGTTATCGGCAGTCAGGATTTCTTGCGAAAGTGCCGTATGTGATTCGCGGGTGCTGATATCCTTGACATTTATAGGTGTTGACGGAAAGAGCGCGTTCAAATCCGTAAATTCAGACATAGGTGATGTTTGCTCTCGGGGGGACACATCTAGCGTCAAATCATTCTGAAGTCGAGAGAAAGGCTTGATATCGGAGCGAGAAGTCGTTGGCTGTCTTTTACTACCACCTTCTTGTCTAGAAGGCGTCCTGAAAGGAGAGGAAATATTTTCCCGAACGCTCCGTGTTCGGTAAACTAACTCAATTGTTTTGCTTTCTCTGGTGGCCGAACCAGGCCCCGTACATTCAGCATAAGTGGACGACATGGTAGGTTTTCTGGTTGTGCTTTGTCGCTTCGATGAGGTCCTCATAGGTATGATAAGCTGCGATGCTGTTGGTCCTAGCTGTTGTCCACCTTCTGTCCCTCCAGTTATCAGTCTTAATTGCGTCTGTAGCACGTCGGAGCAATCTCGTAATGATTCTTCGACCCCGATAACCCCAAGCTGCCTCAGAATATTTTCTGCCTTTGCAAACAGACTGTCGGCTTCTTGAATCTGAGATCGAAGTTGTGAAACTTCGCTATCCATTTGTTCAACCTCCCTCCTTAGAATCGAAATTTCGGCATCGGCTTTCCCGGATGTTTCCATTCTTTGCTCAAGAGCAGCCAGCTTTTCGTTTTTCTTTTCCAGCGAGTTTGTGATTACAGCGTTCGCTGAAGTTACACTATTCAACCTCTCTCGTAAAATTACGATATCAGCATATTTATCAAGCACTTCTTGTTGCAAACTTGAGACCTTCTTAGAGTTCTCCTCCGATTTTGATAATTCTTCCTTTAGGGACAGCAAGCTTAAATCTTTCTCTGAAATCTCATACTGAAGGACCTCCAACGCTTCCTGCATGTTTTCTTGTTCTTGTTGCGTTGCTAGCTTTATACGTAATTCGGATATCTCGTGCTTCAGCTCTTCGTTCTCTTTCGATACACCATCAAGTTGATCATATGCACTTTGTAGCTCTTTTGTTGCAGATGAAAAACTTTCCTTTGACTTCTCTGCCTCTCTGGCAATATCCGAATCCACTTTGGAGGATGCCAATTTCAAATTATCAATTTCCACCTGTTGTAAATTCATCTGGAGACTTGTCAGCATAATAGACCACCATTCTTAAGATTATTGCACGGGAGTTACCTTCTCAATAATTTTCTCTTTGCACTTCTCCGCGTCATGCTATGCAGTGTCAGTTGCCGGAGACAATAAGTACCAATCAGGGAAAAGTTACCAGTGTGCGTTTAGTTTTGGCTAGTTCCTCTGCTGTTTTCAGAGCCTTTTTGTCCGCTAAAACCTTTTCACGTCTGAGTTTATGCCTCTCTTGCTCGAAAAATGCTTTATGTTGATCTTTCGCCGCTAAATTTGCCCGTGTTAGTTCTTTCCGCACCCGCTGCTCTGTCCTTTGGGCCTCCTCCTGAATCTTGAACTTTTCGTTCTTGAGATCTGCAATTTCACCCACTGCGCCCTCCAACTTTCGAACAGTCTCAGCTAACTTGAGTTCCATCTCCTGCTTTTCGGTCTCCTTTGTTTTTATCCCATCTGTTACCTCCATAAGCGCTGCTGAGGTGGCCTCAAGTTGGATCTGAAGCTCCGAAGACATGTCGACATCTTTGAGCTGGGTATTCTTCCCACCTCCATCCTTTCGTAGTGACGCAATCTCATTTTCTAGATCTCTAATATGTCGCTGTAAGGTTTCTTCCTGCGAAATGAGTCTCTCACAATCAACAGATACTCTAGCTAGATCCTTTTCAACCGCTTTGAGCTTCTCTTGAAGGCTTCCGTTCAATTCTCGAGCTTCTACAAGTTGACCAAAAGTTGCTGCACTGGAACTTATGGCCGTCTCTAGCTCTGTTAGTTGAGTCAATATCCGTTGCACCCAGTTAGTGTGTAAGTCAGATGCTGTCTCCAAGCGTTTGTGAGACACGTCAACGGACGAACTGAGCCTATTGTGCTGTTAGTTTATCATAACTAACCAATGGGACAATCGAATCAAACCTACTGAGTGCAGAGATCTCGAATTGCATTGTCAACGCTCTCTAGGTCTTGGCGTTTCACAGACTCCTGTTGAGTAAGTGATTTCAATAAGGAAAGACACGAGCTAAATCCTGATTCTATTTCATTTTTCATTGAAGACTGAGAGACATTCCAGCTACCCTCAAGATGCCTGTAAATTTCATCAATTTTTGTTATCGTTTGGGACTGCTGTTGCTGGATCTCCGCCGATAGCTTTTGGTTCCTATTAGCATAATTCTTTATGTAGTTCTCAAGCATGGCCGCGCGACTTCTCTCCAGAGAAATGAGCTTCTCAGCGTCAGCACACCTTGCAGTCTCTGTGGACAGAGACTTCTCCAACGACCTACATTCATGCTGCACTCCAGAAATTGTTGCCCGATGCTGGTCCCAACGTATTTTCAACTGGTCGGTGTTATCGTGCATTAGCTTCAGGGTCTCGTTAATATGTTCTTTCTCTTGAACCAATGAGTCTTGTGAAGATTTGAGAAGTTGTCCTTCTTTTCGGAGAATTTCAAAATCGTTTCCCACGCTCGTTACGAATCCCCGCAACTTACTGAATTTTTCTTTCCAGCGTTCAACAAGGGAGTTGCGAGCGTTGATTTGTTCTTTCTGATTTTTGCAAATGAGTCCCACATCCCTCAATTTGCAGCGCAAGTTATCATTTTCTTGGGTTAATTCATCTATAACTATTTCCATGCGCTCCTTTATTGCAGTGGTTGCTGCTTCCGCCTCATCTCTTTTTTTCAACTTACGGATCAACATGTAAAAGAGATCCTCTTCCGATGTCTGAGATGTATATGAGGGCTCTTTCTGGGGCGCAACCAGTTTTGTGGGAGCGTTAATGCGGCCAGCCGCTGGAGACAACGACTGTTTTGCGACCTTTGAACTTGACATTAGTTTCGATCGTGGCCTAGTATCCTTTGGTAGCGGATGTGGAGAACGTGAATTTGGCTCTCTGCTGCGACTCTTGCTGGTGCTTGGTGAGCTGATACCGAGATGCGATGGACCTTTCTTCGTGGGCTCGTCTTGAGTCTTCAACTAGTTAAATCGTCATGACAACGCTCTTGTAGTTTGAGTTTACAATAAATAGTAACATAGTGAGATGCAAATCACGTATACAACTGACGAAAATGCATCACCGAAAATATAATTAAATCGAACAACAAACGTTGTGAAATAATGAGCTCGATTAATCATGGGCTGCCTTTCAGGCCTCTACTTACTTCTTTGTTCCCATTTCGCGAAGCTTTATATTTAAAATTATATTGAAAAATCCAGATATTAGTCTCGTGTAAGCAAAACATATTTGATTAGGCCTACCTGGCAAATCGCAGTCTTCCTCAACGGCTCCCATGTCGAGCTGAGAATCCTCATCTCGAATCCCACGTTCCGAGAGGCAAGAACTTTTTTCTGAAACGCAGAGAATCCCAGAATTTGGCCCAAGAGATAGATCAGCAGTGCCTTGAACGTCGTGTGATTTTGATGAGTAGCTTGTGCTACTGCTGCTGCTGCTACCAGTATGCTCTTTCAGACAAGCCGGGGCATAGCTAATAGTTGGTGTTAACTCATTTATCGCATAAATGAGGGACAGGAACGGCTCACCTTAAGTCAGAGTCCATAACCTGAGCACGAGTATGGCTGATTTCTGTAGGGCAATTAAGGCTGACTCTGGGGGTAGTTGAGGGACTTGGAATTGAAGCACTGTGTTGAGCTTTCGAATGTGAAGTGAAGTTAGAAGTTGGAAGCTTGGGTTTCGCAAAATGAAAATTAAGCCCGCTAGTATCAAAGCCGGAATCAGGGGGGCGGGAGATCAGCGTGGGAGCAATGCGAAAGTCCTTATTCAGGGTTAAAGGGGCAAGGGGAATAGCAAATTTCTCGAGAATTTTCTTTGACATGGGGGAGAGAGCAGCTTCATCATTGGAGGAATTCAGGGGAAACCTGTCGTTCCCGATGATGTGGTTTTCGGCCGGAGGGACTTGGAGGTTGGAAGCCATAATGCCAGAGGTGTGGCATGCCACCCAACTGGGGATATGGCGGCAATGAAGGTCTCTATATTTAAGGGGCAATTTACTTTCTCCCAGACTCTAGTGATTTCAATACAACAATGAGCTAAATGTACAAGACAGGTCGATAGCTCACTAAACAAGTGATGCCCGTAGAGGGAAATACGGGTTCCAGAGCAATTGATTTGAGCTAGGGGTAAATGAGGCAATTAACTCAATGGCCATAACAGAGGATTAGGCCCACTCTGAAAACCCGGGCCTCCCCTGCTAATGTTCCCTGAGCAAAGTCCAGAGACTGACCACAACAGCAGAGAGATCTGTCGAACGAATATGAGGTTGAAAGGGGTGACGTCGAGGAGGCTCAAATGGGACTTACCTGATTGGGCCAGTTCTGCAGAGCCGCCCGGTCAACTTCGTCCGTCCTCAACTTCCAGAAACCAGATAAAAAACAGAAGCTGGAAGTATTTGATATGGCATATTCCATATTTGGAGATATATTCCAGGACCAATTCCATGCCAAAAATCTGCTGCAGATCTTATGAGACAACTATGGATCGAACGGCTATTGGCCTTTCTCGTCAGTTGTTTGCAGCAGATATGATGAAACTTTTCAGGAATCTCGAGCCGCGTAATCTCACTTCTTCCTTCGACTGTATCTTCACAGTCGATGTTGCAGCTTGGATAGAGATAATAAGCTATTTCAACAAAAAAAAAAAAAATCACATCACCATGGACTCCAGGGGAGCTTCACCCGAACAGCAAGGCCAGAACAGATTGGCGTCTCCAACACTTCAAGTTTGTCGAGACGCCAGAACCAGGGATAAACCTCCACATGTTTCATGATGGTTAAAATATTTTAAATTGCAGATCAAAAATTTGAACTCTGAGGAAGAAGGAGTGCTGATGATAAAGGCCATTGGCCATTTTTATGATTCAGACATCAAAAGTTCAGTGCCGGAATTTGAACTTGAATCCTATGGCTTTCTGGGATCGACGAGCAAAGGAGGGCGTGATTTGTCTGGAGTCTGTAGTTAAATTCGGCCCATCACTCAACATCCATGGATCAGGCAGAATTGTTCCCTTATCCTGAAATTCAGACACTGCACATGCTACACTACCAACCTCACTCCAGGTTTGATAACCATTGATAACTGGTGAAGGTGCGCCTTTTTCGTGATTGATGTGAAAGTTGTGAAGGAGCACGAAGATCTTGTGTGATGCACTGTGAATTACTCTGAGCGGTCTGGGGCGTCGCCTTAGCGTGTCGATGGCGGAAAAATATGGGGATTATTGGTCATGATTGGGTCGTGAAACTTCAACTAAGGGTTTTAAGAAAACATTGCAAGCGCTAACTCGACCAAACATACTTCTTTCATGGAATACTATCACGATTTCGGTTGATCGCAGGGGCCGGCGAAACTGAGAAGTTGAGGAAATCTGAAGCCCGTTCAAGTTCTGAGCACCAATCTGCAGTCGCATGCCCGCCATGGACTTACCAATTAATACGTCCCCCTCAAGATTTCTCAAGAATCTAAGGGCAGGAAATTCCATGATTCATGCCCCATTACCCCATGGCACTACAGCCCCCCTTGTTGACTGCTAAATAGCAGCCATTCTCCAAAATTCAGAAGGAATAAATTTTATTCTACGCTTCTATTATTATGTTTGTTTCCCCTTTACTGCCGTGCGGGCAAATTCTCTCCTGGATTTGATACTCTTTGATCATTTTCCATTTTGTCCTTTTTTTCAACCGAGTGCTCTCTTCCCCCTCCTATGACTGTTTACATCTCTGTTTGGTACAGTTGTCTTATCAAGATGAGATTTCTTCGAGTTCAGCGACCTCTTCTCTTCATTATATGGGCAACTGTCCCCCGTTTATGTTGCGGCCTCAGCACTACCTCACACAGAATTCGACATGAAGTAGACGCTCCATACCCTGGCTTGTCAAAGCGCGGGGAAGTTATCCCGGGCAGTATCAGTGACGATGATACAAATAAAGAGTATTATGAATCTGGGAGGAGCTCAGTTAACATCTCTCAAGGGGGGATAATCGCAATAGCTGTGATTGTCGGTATTGTTGTTGTTCTGGGAAGTAAGTCATACCATCTCTTTAAATGCAGCATTATTTTACTTTTGGCTAACATGAAAATGCGCGGCTAGTAACATCCGTCATCCTTTTCTATCTTGCTAAAAAACGTCAATGGGAAGTCCGCGCCTCAATACGTCGCTCAGCAAGGCGTCTTACTGCTCCTCTTACGCCTCGACGATTTTCATCAGCCGCCCCGTCTGCAAGGAAAACGAGAAATAGAGAAATTTCCATGCGCGCCCCTGCGGAAGATAAATCGTCGAAACAACAGAACGCAAAAGATTCTTTGAAGCCCAGCAAATCAAGGGTACCCAAAGGCATGCATGCGCCCCTGAGAGAATCGACACAGCCGTTAGGGGCTGATGTGGAGAAGGGAGTCGAACCCCACTACCCCATCGGCAAAAGCGAGTTCGAACCTTCATCGCCACGGGGTTGGAGAAAAATTATTTCTAGGTATACCTAATGATAATGTTGGCGATCTTTGATGGTGTGCTTCTTTTTTTAATTGTTTCGTCCCGATAAACCTTTGATGTGTATAGGTCATTGGCGTTCTGAATGAGGCACGTAAATGCTTTGTTGACATTTGTTTTATTTCCGGCATGATATTCTGCGTTTCTGTATATAACCACGAGGGATTTTCCCTTACCCCAGTGTCAGAATACTTCAACTATGAAATTAGCAACTGCGTGCAGCCAGGATTTTATCGTCGGAGTCGGGGTATTTGTTTCATATTTAGGACCTTAATTCTATCTGCTGGCTCAATTTTTGTTCAAATGTTATAAATTTTAATCCACCCTGCCCACCGCGGTATCTAATGTTTCGGAAGCCCTCCTTCCCATCTTTGCTATATTCCACACTCTACAATCCGTTATGTTTTTCCTTTATACGGATGTCTCTTGCATCACATTCCGTCAAACTTTGTGTCCCCAACTGGTTATCATCAGAGGTTTGGGAATGCGATTTGATTAGACTATGATGTGAACCAGTCTAGCGGTCCCAAGGGGTTCCCTACCTGAATTTCAATTTCTAACGAGAGAAATTATTCAGTAATCTAGGACAACCTTTGACCCATGCTCTAGTTATCAGTCATCCCACGAGTTAGAAGCGGGCTCCCATAATGTAATCAATCCCATCAGCGCTGCCCCATAGCTCCGGTAGTGTCATCTGTCTACAGGACTGACAGCAGCTTTGCAAGGATGTCAATCTTTGCCTCTGTAAATCCATGTCTCAACTGTTCCCCTCTTCTCCCTGGTGATCACTCAAAATTCCATGCCCTATATCCCGTGCAAAGATGCAAGCTACAATTCGACTACCTGGAGTTCTCACGTACACACTCATTTAAAAGTGACAGTCGAACCATAGTGTCCAACTCATGACAAGTACTCTACAGGTATTGAACATCCTCGAGGAGTTCGTTACCATGTACCACATATATCCATAAAATAAATGTAGGAATAATTATGGCATCGAAATGTCCGGAATATGCGGCTACGGAACAGCGTAGAACGTTCATTTTCATAGTTATCATTACTCAGATCCTGACCACCAACGTCTGTCTCAGCTCACAGAGGTCATGTCATTGGGCAGCCTCCAAAGGTCGGTGACAGTCTCGCTAGCATTTGCTGCCATTCATCACTTAAAGTGCGTTCATCGAACGAAAACTTAGCAGTTCTTCTTCCACTGTTTTATCACTTCCAATTCTGGAACAGTGGCATGAAGCATTCTTGGGTACCAAGGTATGTACAAGCCCCCTTTTGCCCGTGAGGGAAAAATAGGCGATCCGTCCCAAGCAAAAGACGAGGAAGGATAATGCATTTAGGTTGGGGCCGATGCCGCTAAGGTTTCAACTGAACCAAGGACTACATCGCTCTCAGCCTTACATGACGCAGGTGGACATCTGGACTTACGCTAACCCCAAATTATACTAGCTCATTAATGTCAAACTTTTTGAGTTTAAGCATATCTCAGCCTCAACCAAGACGGATAACAACTCTCACAACAACAGAGATACCAGCAACGGTCAACGGCTCAATGTGCTGTGGAGAGCCCAATTTGCTTGCTTCAAACAATTAGGTTCCTTAAATCTCATTGTTGGAATTGACATCGCGAAGGATGCTTTCTGGTACCCGAGTCTCTAGAGCTATCGCCAAAAGTACGTTGAGATATGTTTTCATTTTGTGAAGATATCTGCTCCCGTCTCAAAAAAACCCACAAATTCATTCTTTGTGAAACTTTCCTTGACCAAAATATCGCACGCATGCATGCGTATTTAATATCCCCTGCCGCAAGGTTGTTCAGCAAAGCCAGGATGGCATAAAGTTGCATAAAAATTGCTGGGCAAAACCACAACCCGGATCCACAGTAATAGTAGGAAAATGTGATTGGAACAACTGTTCACGGGTAGTTACTACCAGATAGCATCCTAATGCAAATTCAAGAAGCTAATGAAATACGCTAAACTTTTTTTTCATTGGAAAGCGTGTGGCAATAGTTAACTAGTCAGAATGTAGTAATGTAATTCCCCATTGAGTGAAAGATTAAATTAAATAGTTTCAATTTCCTAACTCATCCACTTCAACGTGCAATTATGCCACCAATTTCTAATAAAAAAGCAAGAAACTCTATAGAAATAGAGGGAAGAATTGAACTCATGATATCTGCTATTAAAAAGCAAGAAATAATCTCAACTGCTAAAGCTGCATGCTTATTCATTGTTCCCTACAACTACTTTATATCATCAACTGAAGGGCCAGTCTGCATGTGTAAATTTATGTGCAAATTTAACTAAGCTGACTGAGGCTGAAGAGAATCTGATAGTTGAATGGGTGCTAGGTCTATCTAAACAAGAATTACCTCCCTGGCCAGTCTTTGCAGAGAATATGGCCAATCATCTTCTTACTCAACAACAATTCACCTCTATCCCTCACCGCGTTGGCAAGAACTGGATTTCAAGACTGATTAAACACCATATGGAGCTTCAATGTCACTATACCAGATGCTATAACCATGAGTGAGCAAAATGTGAGGATATTAGGGTTATTCAGGATTGGTTTAAGATTCTAGGGAATACTTTGACAGAGCATGGAATTCAGGCTGGAGATATATAAAACTTTGATGAGACTGGCTTCACAATGGGGATGTGTGCCACCACTAAGGTCATTACTAGTGCTGAGTGCTATGACTGGGCAAAGCTGCTACAGTCTGGGAATCTTGAATGAGTCACTGCAATCAAGTCTGTCAATGTGTTAGACTGAGCCCTACCTCCATACATTATTCTGAAAGCTCAGAATCTTCAAGAAGGCTGGTTTGAAGGCTTGCCATATGACTGGACTATAGATGAAATAGGGATGAAATGGCTTACTAAAGTGTTTATCCCTACTGCCAATTCATGTAGAATTGGCACTCATATTCTTCTTATCTTGAATGGGTATGGCAGTCATCTTATCCTGAAATTTGATCAGCTTTGCAAGGATAATAAGATTATTCCTCTCTGCATGCCAGCACATTCATCCCACCTTCTACAGCCTCTGGATGTTGGTGTTTTTGCTGTTTTAAAACAGGCATATGGGGGCTTGGTGAAACAACACATGCAGCTTGGATTCAATACTATTAAGAAGAATGACTTCTTAGATGCCTATCCTGCAGCACGCGCAGAGGCCTTCAAGACTCAGAACATTCAAAGTGACTTCATGACTACTGGAATATCCCCATTTGAACTTGATCAGGTTGTCCAGCAACTAGATATTCAGCTCCAAACTCCTACCCCCCTGAGTAGTTGATTCAGCAACTCAGGGTCATCCTGGATACTTCAAACACCTAGCAACCCGCGACAATTACATAGGCAAGCAGATAAGGTCAAGAATCTTATGGGACAAGGCCTTGAAAATTCCCCCCACAGCTTGGAAGAAGGGCTTGATCAAATTATCAAGGCCTGTGAATATAGGATGGTCAACACCACTATTATGAAGAAGCAATATCAGGATATATTCAACACCAATGAGATTGCAAAGCAAAATTGAAAGAGATCTAATCATCAGATTCAATCTGAAGGGGGTCTAACTAGGCAGGAAGCTCAGGATCTTGTTATTTCATCTACTGAGCCTGTTGTACAGCCTGTCATTCAACCTCACGAGCCTCAGTCAGCAGGCTCTCGTCCGCGCTCAGGAGCTCCACAACAGTGCAGCAACTGCAATTTGCCTGGTCATAAGAGAACAAGATGTCCTAATCCTAGTGTCAATTAACTTAAATTAATTAGTTGTTGTTGAGTGTAAATATTTCAGGTTAAAATCTAGTTAGTTGGGCTACAGTTATTTAATCTTTCGCTAAATGGGGAATTTCGCTCGGTGAGGAATTACGTTAGTCATAAGATAGTAGTATTCGTAACCATAACTAGCTAATCTATATGATGATAACTCTGCCAAAGAAGAAGAGAAAAACAGCGAGAAAAGAATGAAATATACGTGTCCGCGGGGCGTTCGCTAGTTTAGTCATAAGCGAGGCATATATGCCTACGAGCGATATGATGCTCGTGACAAAGCGACGGTAGTTTTTCGGTTTCATATATTTGTTCCTTTTGCACAATAGGATAACTTACGTATGGGGTTATTAAAACTCTACCCATGGATATCATATAATAAATATAAGAACAAAATCTATCAATTGTTGACATAAAAAGGCCACACAATATTGATCACCTCCACTTCCTCACTGAGTGGCATGGACAATGGAGATGCAGAATAGCGTTTTGGAGGAAAACATCTCAAGCTTCCGGGATGAACTTTTTTCATCTGATATATTATGTTAAGACTGTTCAGCCAGACGCAACCGTACAACGCAACAGTTGCTCTTTCGAAATAGAGGACACATACTCCGCAAAGGAGTCTAAGATAGATACGGAATATGAAGACAGAAAAAGAAAAGCAAATGCTAAGCCCACCATGCAAAAATCACAGCTGTATGGGATATGATACAAAAAGAGAATAATGCAAAAAGTGCCAAAAACACTCAAACCATCCAACAAATATGAATTAAAACCAGTAGAACTCATCCAGCTCCCCAAACGCCGCAATCGTGTCACTCTCGCACTTGAACCCCGGCTCATACGCCTTCTGCGGCAAAATCCCCGCATTAAGCCCCTTCTTATAACTCCACTGCACCGCAGTCTCCGTCTGCCACGTCCAATAGAACCACCCATTTCCCTTCTCAAACGCAAACATCTGTGCCTCAGCATACATCCGTAGAAACTTCTTGTACGATTCTGAATATTTGGACGGGTCACCGTTGGCCCGGTCGCAGGAACAGGGAGGACCTTTAGCAGCGGGATTGTCTCGAGGCCACTGGGTCGGGCAGCGGGGTTCCAAGACCTGGTCTTTAGCCTGCGGATGGTCCATGGTCCCTAGCCAGCGGCTGCCGACGTTGACGTTGTTGAGGAATTTGGCGCAGTCGGTATCTGCTTGAGACCACTCGCCGGAGATGGTAGGGCCCCAGCTGCAGAATGGGTGACGGAGAGGTTAGTTGGAAGAATTCTTCAAAAAAGGGTAGTAGGTATCAACTAGGAGAGAGAAAGAGTGAAAGAAACAGAAAGTGCTTACCCTGTGCCTTTCGAATTCGAATTAGATATCAACTTAACCCAGCTCTCGCACACATGCTCTAGTTTCTTCTGATGCACTAGTCCAATCTGGCCTAGATTGAAAACGGTATACTGGTGCGTATCCAACATGAGATTATTATCAACATCCTGCATAATCGTCTTCCATTTACTCAGGTTGAGAAACCCGTCTCCAAACGCAAGTTTTATATCCTTCAAGCCGCTCTTCCTAATTATCGATATTGCTTTTGTAGTCCAGTTAATAACAGTCTCGATATCCAACTTCAGCATCATAGGCTCATTCACGAGCCCATAGATAGTAACCACATTCTTATACCGCTCCTGCGCAAAGAATGTAGCCAGCTGTTCGTGAATTTGGTGAGTGCGATCGCCGTTTTTGGCACCGTCGGGCCCTTGCAGCCAGTTTATCGAGCCCTGGCGACCGCTGTGATTCCACCCGTTTTGGCTACCCGGTGCACCGTGCATGTCGAGTTTGACACGCAAGCCATATTTCCTACAGTACTCGATAGCACGTAGGAGATATCTCCAGCCAATTTTTTCAAGATAAGGGTCATCATCAAAAATTTTCACGATCCAGTAGGAGTAAGGGATGCGGACATGATCGAGACCAGCATCTCGGATTTCTCGGAAGGACTGCTCGGTTATAAATGTTGCATAGTGTTTTTCTAACTGTTGAGCTGCGTTTGGTGCAAGGCGTTTGGAGAGCGTGTACTCGTCAACGATGTTGGCTTTGTACGAGTATTGGCTGAAAAATGAAGGGGTTATGAAGGGTTCCAGGGAGAGCCAGCCACCAACATTAACTCCCCTAATCGGCTGCTTGCCGTAGGGAAATTTTTTGTTTAGTGGGGGAACATGTTCGTTTGCTTGGGCAGAATCGTCCCAGGCCAAGTTCAGTCCCATAATAGGGAGGCCACCCACTGTTTCTTCGGTATATGTAACATTCATATCTGCCGTGTCATACCAAGTACGGGGATCAAAGTATGTTTTCTTAGCGCTCTCCTGTGGTAATAAACAGTCAGCGCGGGTATTTCAAAATCAGGAAAGAAAATAAATAATGGAATCTTACCGGAAGGGACTTCTCATCAAAACTCTCCAACTCCTTTCTTGGTGGCGTCTGCGATTGTGGCGAGTCTCCCGGCTGCGTATTAGAGTCCCCATCATGATCTTCACCTTTCTTCTTCGCTACCAAGGCGGCAATGGGGATGACAATAACCAATAGGAGCGCCAACACACCAACAAGAACCCATATTTTCTTCTTCCTACTCCAACTGAAAAATCCGCCCACAACACCACCTCCTCCATCTCCACCTCCACCCCCTCTCCTCCCCTTCTCCTCTTTTCCCGCACCCCGCCCCCCACCCCCTCGGGTTCTCAACTCTGGACTTCTCCCTTCTTCTAAAAACGCACCGGAAACTAACCTCTTCCCAAACCAGCCACCGCTTTCCCCCCCTTTCCCAACCAAGATACCTTTGTCCCTCTCCCTCTCCCTTTCCTCCTCCTTTCTCCTCTTCTTTTTCTTCTCCAAAAACGCCTTCTCCTCCTTCTCAGCACTAGTTTTTTCTTCTGCTTCCTTTTTTGACGTAGCTGCGTTCAATTTCGCCAACGCATCTGCATTGAGCAATACTGTCGCACTATTTGCAGAATCAGTACTGGCATGTTTAGGCTTCTTACTCCGCACCCTTTTATTTCTAGCCCGATCTGTACCCATTTCCTTTCTCCTTTTTCTCTCGCGGTCTCTATCTGTATCAAAAGCGCCACGATCATTGTCGTCCCATTCCCCTTTCCTCCGATCCCTAACGCGACCCTTCATCGCACATTCTTCATCCGCAGTACTCTCTCGCTGCAGTCTCCCCTCGCGATCTCGTTCGCGGTCCTTCTTCTTAACAGGTGAGGTGGCAGGCGACTCTTTAGCTTTATGTCTTGACTTCTGAATCCCTGAATTATAATTATCTGCAGCTCGACTTGTACTCCGCCGCCTCTCGACACGAACAGGGCTGGGTCTGACATTTGGCGGACGGGCAAAGTTGGGTCTTGAGTCAACGACTATGACAGCTGATGCAGAATCCTCATCGTCGTCAACATCATCGTAGTCGTAATCTCCACGGCGTGTCCGTCGTTGTTGGTGGTGTTGGCTTGGCTGCGTTCGATAGGCAAGCGAATGGCGGGTTATAGGACGGGAAGAGGAATTGGGATGGGCGCGTCTGCTCCGTCTTTGATCGTCGAAAACGTCATCGCCATTATTGTCATCATCTTGAGCATCGTGGTCATTATCATTGTACGTGTTGGAAGTGTATTCGTTTCTATCGTGTGTATTGCCGCGTTGGTAGCGGTATTGTCTCCGATCACGATCGCGAGAGCGAGAGCGGTATTCGACCCGCTCCCGTTCGTGTGGTTGGTGTGGCATGCATGCGGTTATGCTGTTGGGAAGGATTTCTGGTGCCCCCCGAATGTCCAGCTTCTGGAAATTTAAAACTGGATCGCAGTAGTTCCCCGTCGCGAGGGCCTTCTTCAGTTATAACAACTGTGCCCAGCGGACGAACGTGGCTTTTTCCCTCTCCACGCCAAAACTCCCTGCCACAAATACAAGTTTAATGCGCAATGTGCCGTTTGCAGTTGAGTATGACAGACGGTCCTCGAAGGGAGAGGATGGACCGTATACATTCAAATCCAAAACACAATAAAAGAATATCCTAAGTTATTAATTGTAGAAACCCGTCTAGTTGGATTAAACTGAAATACACAAGGATGATGGCCAGCGTAGTGAGGTGGTTGAGCAGTCTACCGTGGCCGTGACAGGTATAAATTTCGGCGGAGGTCTGTATAGACGATAACAGTAGATGGAACGAACGAATTGTATCTATAACGAGCAAAGCAGGTGTAGGTATGCCGGTTGCGATACCGTAAGTATATGGTTCCGGTATTTAATATTGGCTGTGAATAATGTTTGCTGTAGGGTGAGTATGTGCCGCGCTTAATAAATTGATGGTGGCGAGGAGCGTGACAGGCAAAACCCCGGAGAGAGGAGAGAAACCATTAAGTGGAGAAAAGTGTAGGAACTAAAGGAGAGACTCTTTTGACATGTTGATTTTTTTTAACGGGTACGTTGTGCAAAGAAATCCTGATTGACTCAAGGAATAGCGAATTGCGGGGATGGTGAGTGGAGTCGAGGTTCCAAGGTTGGATGTAACTAACTCTGGTAGACAGGGCGCTCTGACAGGAACAGGGTTGAATATGCCCAACGGCGCAATCAAAACCTGCAATAGCAATTGCTGTTAATCAGAAAATGATATACAAAATAGGTTCAATACCATTTATTTTCATCCAATTCTGTCTAATATTTAAAAATGTGTGTACGTCTCTTACAGGTTTCTACACAACTTTTGCTTATTGCTCATTCTGACTGGTTGCCGCAGTAACCAAACCCAAATAGAGCAACCAATAAGAACCAGAGGATGATTTAAAGGTTCAGGTCAGGAACAAAAAGTAAACCAAATATTGCAGAAACTCGGTAGAGAGTATGAGTTAAGTTAGTTTATACGTTGCATAAACCTGGATATGATAATGTATCCTCTGTCGTCCACAAAGAGAGAAGGATAAATAAACTACGAAAGTTTGGGATTGATATCTGGTCAAAGATATTGTCTATCAAGTAGTCGACATTCAACTTAAGAAACCAAGCGGAATAAGGGTATTAATAGAGGAGAGAATTGAGTATGTTCGTTGACAAAATGGGTTTATCTCAAGTATGCAAATTGCTGGACAAGGAAAAAGCAAAAATTCAATAGGAGAGGAAATACAAATCAAAACAATCAAATAACTTGCGCCAGCATATAAAAGACAATCGTTCAATAGATATACGAAACGAAATACGATGGGTATGTCAATGTAAAGCATGTAAAACGAAATCGAGGAGCCAAAAAATAAAAGGAGAAACATGACAAGAAACCGCCGAACCGCTGGTCAATCAATCCCTAAAATTAAAACAGAAGCTGGGTAAAGGGGAAGGAGATATGAACGGAATAGGGACAGAAGCAAATTGAAAAAGAAAAAAAAAAAAACAAGACGTCAAACTGAACAGGAAAGATTAAAAGATAAATATGAACAAGAAGAGGTAAACAAAACGGAAGATGACAAGGAATAGCCGCCTGCAAATGCATCGAAAGGAAGTTGATAATAGAGGGCGGGGGGGAAGAAAAAGAAAAGGAAAAGAAAGAAAAAAGAAAGAAAAAAGAAATACCAGCAAGATCTGCGGGCGGAAGAAAATCGCATATTTCTCATTGCATATGCGATTACGTGCGCATCCAATTTCAAGTGTCTATACATCTCTGTGGAGGAGCCCAAAAGAGACGAAATATAACCTCCAGATCTTTCTTTGAAAATGATGTTCGACTCAATTTTAAAAGAGCCGTTGAATTCATAAAAACGCAAAAATTCGCAAGGACATGAGAAGGCAATGCGCTCTCAAAAAATTGAATTTGGTTAATCGGATATTGCGCGGTAAGAATCCTGTCTCTGCCGTTCAACACGTTTCGGAGATGCACATCGTCATGGCAAGGTTTTAGATGGAAAGTGACGTTCCAAGATTGCTGCTTTGGATCGGGGCGTTCAACGGTGAACGTGGATCGGATTCCTCAACGGTCAAAATAAAAATCCCGGCTAGAACGACGTGCATTAAGCGCGTAGAGACCTTGAGAAACTCGTGACACGTCGAATGAGATTTCCCTGAAGAATTTCCCGCCAGATAGACACCAAATTCATATGAAATAGCAAACGATATGATATCCCCTGCATCCCCTACCCATATGACCCCGTCTAGCAGAAACCTCCACCAACAAAAAAACGTCTGTAATCTTCCATCATCTCATCATCTCGTCTCTCATCTTATCAAATGTCAGCTAATAATCTGCCTCGCACCATCCTTGCCAAGCACCCCAGGTTCCATTGGCTTAGGACTCCGCTCACGACCCTTCTTCCGACTCAGAAACGAAAGTATCCCACTATTAGACCCAGAAGAGCCCTTGGCCTTAATAACATCGCCTCCCCCATCTCCATCGCCAGGTGCCGCTGAACTCTGATCTGCAAGATTACTCCAGCTTCCCGTCTCCTCCAGCACCATCTGAACCCCCCCGCCTTTGCTCGTCTTGCGCGTGGCTCCGCGGTTCCGTTGAGGGATAGGAGGTGGCGGGCGGTATGCTTGGGAATTTGGTTGTGAGGTGGGCGACGGCCGTGGACGTCGGGGGGGCGAGCCTGATTGTCTTCCACTGGCATGTCTTTGCGGTTCATGCGGATAGCGATCCGTTTCGGAAAACGAATTAAACGTATCGGAAGCGTTTGAGCGGCTGAGAGATCTTTCGGTCTTGAGGGAAGGGGAGCCACTCCCCGAGCAGGGTTGGGAGGCGTGGCGGGTATGTGTAGAGGAAGTAGAATTCATACAATCCTCCGGGTTACTAATAACAATGGTGAGTTCCAGTTCAATGAGATTGGGACGGGTGGTAGGAGGGGTTGGTGGTCTAACCTTGATGCTGCTATAGCAGCTGCGGCGGTGCTGTAGGATGCGTCAGCAATGACAAACCAATAACCAAGCGGACATGAACACACCCTTTGTATGAGACGGTTGTGTAGTCGAACGGCTCAAACATAGTCTCGATGACTCGATGTAGCTCGTCTTCCCTTATCTCCTTTGCCGTTGCATCCTCCTTCAATTCTGCTCTAGGTTTTTGTCGACGCGCTCGTGCCTCCAATGGTGCTTCCTCTAGAAGCAGCTCTTCAAGGTCATAGGTTGCATCGAAGTTTGTCTTTTCACTGGAAGGTGTAAAGATCGGGGCAATTTCTTTTCGTTCCAAGGCATCAAAGTCAATGTCTTCAAAGAAAGGATGGGATTCGAATGAATCAAAGCCAGCAGCGCCTATACGTTTTGTCCGGTCTTTTTCCAAGAGAGATGCGATCGCTCGTAGACAAGGCACAGTGACAGCAGGATTTGTAACGTAGTATTTTGGTTGCACCCGTCGAACGTTTTCAGACAGTGCGTCATGGCTCCGCCCATCAAATGGCCGCTGGTAGTGTGTTAGTCGTGATGGGTATACGCCTCGACCAAACTCGGAGTCATACCTTATTATAAATACACTCGTAGAAGGTTACCCCAAGAGACCACCAATCGACTTCATTCAGATACCCGCTCCCTTCAAACACTTCCGGGGCTAGGTATGCCAGTGTACCAGATTTGCTGGTGAGTGGCTTCGAAGGTTTAAAATCGGAAGCGACATTCTGGATGCTGTTGTTAGATCCATATAGCGATTTCTTCGTGTTATCCAGTGCCACTCACAAAATCCGCCAAATGAACGTGTCCCTCAGAATCAAGTAGAACATTATCCGGCTTTAGATCCCGGTGGATTATGCCTTGCGAATGTATGTACCTTAGGGCACAGGCCAACGAGGCAATCCAAAATCGCACAGCATCCTCTGTGAAGGACTTCCTTGAGATATGAAACCGCAAGTCACCGCCATTCATTAGGTCAACCACAAGGTATCTATACGATACAATTAGCAGAGTTCCCCGCCTCGATTTGCTACAAGTTGAACATGATAGGCATGTGCACATACATATACTCGATGTCCTGGAATGAGTATCTCAGGTTGCAGAGGAAAGGGTGATTCAAATGTTCCAGCATTCGTCTTTCTCGTATAATATTTCGAACGCTCTCGGACCGGACAACTTAGCAAGCCCAGAAAAGTCAGTATGATCTCAATGTAAAGGATGGGGGAGTGGATTGAGCCCACCTTCATCTTTCCGTATATATTTCAAAGCGAATGTCAATCCAGAATCTTTCCGTTCAACGATCCGTACTTTACCAAATGCACCTTTTCCAACAACACGCAGGAGTCGGAAGTGGTTCAGGTTCACTATGTGGCAGTGAAATATAAGCTTCTATCTCCATTACACGATTCCAGAACAGTGGAACCAAACATATAGCCAAGGGAGGAGACAAACCAGCATCTGACGAGCACACCTGCTTCCCATGGGAATTGCCCATCACGACCCCGACAACAGGTAGTTGTCAATACCCTGATTCTACAAGATATTGTTGAATCTGCATCACCGGCAGGTGAACAAATTAAGAAGATCTAGCGGTAGGCAAATCCGAAAATTCTAGCGGTCGGTTATAATGGATGTAAATTGCTCCAAGGGTGCGTCGTCTCAAAGTTAGGATCTCAGAACAGCACCAGGCGAGGATTCTAGCCGGAAAGAAGACTGCAATTTAAGGGTTTCGTTGTTGTTAGTATAATGCAATCAACCACAAGACAAAATGGTGAGATATATAACTGCGACAAGCCACCAAAAGGAGGGGAGATTGAAAGAAACAGGTCGAATTGCGCCAGGTTAAAATGCTGGCTAGATTAGCCCCTGTCAACCCACTACCGTTCACTGCAGCGCAGACATTAAAAGCACATGACAAATACAGGAATCAAAAGGGAAACAGGATGACGAACTGGCCAGGACGAGCGGACCGCACAGCTGATTGCTTCCGCTATCCAAGGGATGATGAGGGGAATCGTGGGAAATATTGGAGATGCTTTGGGAGGAGAATGAGGAGGTTTAAAGGCAGAGGAGTTTACCTATTATCCAGAGTAGAGTTACCCTGAAGCAGTGAAAGAGAAGAAGCTAAGCCAAGCGGCCAACTACTGATCCCTGTTTACTATTCTTGAGCTTTAATTTAGGATGGTTAAAGAAGGCTTTAACCCAGAGGAAAATTAGATGGGTTGACAAGACTGATAGAAGCGGTGCGAGAACAAGTGAGCAATAATGTCTCCACCGCCAGCTTTACTTTCTGGGGTCCGTTGGGTAACCCTTTGCTTAGATTTAAAAATCGAGAGCAGTTGGCGCAGGACACGAGGATGGTGATAGGATTGGATTCACTGGAGAAGGAGGTTGGCTTGAAGGGGGTACAAAGAAGAGTATAGGCGCAAAGGAAGGAGTTGAAGGTAGAAGAATGAAAGCCAGAACGACACTCTCAGGCTACGGAGATGAGAGGCTGGGTACCCTACTGAGCGGAGGAAGTACAGGAATTGCCTGCCATAAATAGGATGTTGACAGTCCTTAACCTTGGAAGTGATCTGGAGGTGAGAGTGGGAAAAACAGGGACTGGCGCAAAACGATGGCGATAGAAGCCGACGCTCAAACTAGTAAGCAGAAGATAACAGCGATTGGATTGGCTGGGTCCCTGATTCAGGCTGCGGGTTGGAAACTGATATTATGCTGCAGCCAACGAGACAATTGTACTGTTGGACAGTTGTTCTTGATATTTTTTTTCTTGGGATGTGTGTGCTCTGTTTATTATTAATAATTCTCTGTCTGCCTGCGTTCATCTTGTGTTCATCTGTTCTGTTTATGTCTCTCAAAAAAAGAAAGAAGAAAAAAGAAAAAGAAATTATAAATAACATACAAACATTACATTACAATAACCTCTATTTCCGCTGTGGGGGTGTCTGGGAACCCCATACTACTCCGCAGTTCCGTAGAGTGAAGAGCGACAAACGATACCGCGCCGTACCGTATCCCTCCCATAGCCCAACCGTAATCCTGTCTGTAATTATGCCACATCATTTCTACATTACTCTCACGGTTCTACGCTGGATCAGTATCCTTCTTTCTTCACCTATAATCCGTAGAGGCTATGGAGAGTAGCTCTCTCATCATCAATATCAATCCTTCCAAACTGTACATTACTCGCATCCGCTCTCGTCGTAAGGCTGTACTCAGTAAGAAAGACTAGTACGAACCTGGCTGTTCTCGAATTCACACTAGAGCAGCCGCAAATGGCTCGCGTGTTGCCTCGTGGGCGCCACGTTTCCAATGTTAAACCGGTTCCAGCCTGGTTTCACGGGACATCTCACCCAATCATCAGGCGTCTCGCTGTCAATCGTTGCGCCCAAATACCCAGCGAGACCGGGTACTGGCCCAACTGGCCAAAGTCTGGTCACCGCTCCAGGCTCCCAAGATGCAGTTCCCGAAATCTCGGGATCCACAGGTGAAAAAGAACGGCTCCAGAAGACGCCAGAAAAAGGCAACATGCGGGACAAAACCAAAAGGCAAAATTCAAAAATTCAAAAAGTTGCAAACATGAAGGGGACGATCTTGCTTTTCACTTTTCTTTTCCATTCTTTCTTTTTTTTCTTTTTCTTTTTTCTTTTTTCTTTTTTCTTTTTTCTTTTTTTTTTTTTTTGCATAGAGTCATCGTCAGCACAAGAAAACAAAACCCCCCCAAAAAAAAAGAAAAAAAAAGGGAAGAAAACAAATTCAATCCTAACGCGGAGGATTGTTTGAAATTTAGGACTCCAATATCCGAAATGAAAGCATGACTTTTTTAAGGATACGAGCAGCCAACTTGGCCCAAATTGGTAATGATCATTACTTGGGTCTCTGCCCGGCTGAGCCGATCATGATGATCAGTCAAGCTTGAACACGGCGGAGGAATTCGACTCCCTGGAGGTAAAAGAAAAATCTGGCGATAGGCGAAGTAAAATCACGCACTTCTGGAGCACCTGCAGACGTTGAAGAATTAATGTGGAATTTCTCTGCGCTGTTCCAACAACAGAGTTCAAATCCATCCCCGGAAATCCCCCGTTTGGGACGCCTTTGTTTCTGACATACTGATTCAAACCGAACTAAGTGTATCCAGAAAGATGTCAAGAAACTCCGACCTTCTTATCTTGCACACTAGATCTACTAGTGCAAGGTATGAGAATCGTTTATCATCTTTTCTTGACGGGGTCGGGAACAGGTGATACTTGCCCATCTTCATTTGGGTCATCTTCTGATTGAGGCAAACTCAAGAAGCAATTCAGTTTGTGATAAGTTCGGAAACTAGGATTAAAAGTCGGTCAAACGTTTCAGCCTACCAAAACAATAATATTAATTAATTAAACAAATAAAGAAAAATTAACAAAAGCCATAAATCAATTTCAACATGTTCTCTTTCTTCACAGTTCAAATCACTAATGCTTGTCCGCTCTGTTTCAAGCCCTGGCCATCTGACAGCCTCAGAATGAGAATCCCAACATCATAAATCACATTCATGCGATAAATAAGGCTCATTGCTCAAATTAAGATAGATCAAAAATTATAGAGGAACGGTGTGGTGTGTCAACCATTCCTTTCAATGGCGCATCCTCTCTGTAACTATATGCTAGGCAAATCAAACCCCAAGAAAACAGGGGATTGCTTATCATTGTAAGATCGATACTTGAAATCAATCCATCTCAGAGGTGACCACTTCCCCTTACCAGAATAATCTCCTGGAAGCCTTGAGGGACTCCAAACTAGGGTCCTGCAGGACCTACATCCCCGGGCCCTTCACAGGTTAAACCAGGCAACTCTCACCCCCTGACTCTCCAGCCGACTGACTCTCAGTCACAGGCGGCCAGGGCTAAACAAGGCCTAAGGATCTTTCTCAACCCTTGGCAGCAAAACTACCACATGGGTTAGCTGGCAACGACCAAAAACTGTTAACTGGGTCTTGGTAGAATAAGGCAATTATTGACGATGATGGAACCGCAGCCTGAGGCCATGTTTCCAGTTCTGCATTCGGAAGCATCGCCACCCAAGAATTGACTATTCCTGCCTCTCTTAACGTGCGATCTGACTAGTAATAATACCGCTGGCAGTTGACGTCTCGGAGCGGAGGAGAGCGGAATTGACATGTCAGGAAGCGGACGACCGAGTACGGCGAATATTGTACACGTATGAAGCACTCTGTGCCATGTTGCACTCTGTGTTCTGTCGGTTGACATTTACAATGCGCCCTTTTTGTCACATTGTTTGATCTGCGCTCACCATATCCTGGAACGACTCAGCAAGACGCCGTGGACATCGAGAAAAGGATCAGCAATTAATGCGGCCGTGAACATCACGCAAATTTCAAATGAATGAGTGCGTTCATTCCATCATGTCGAGACAAAAGAACTGGACACCAGTGCGTCAATCCTTGTCACGAGGACCCTAACTTGGTCATGATAAATAACTTACAACCCTTATGTCACGTATCATATTTCCTGGAAGCCATCCGGTCTGATCCATGGGCAAGGAATAAAAACCAGCAGAACAAAAGAGAACATTTAACCCCCGTGACACCTGTTGGGGCGCCTGCAAGTTTCGCTTATTTTGCCCCGTCGAGATCCCAATTTCCCAGCTTCGGGTATTTTGCCCTGATGGTTTTCCCCTGGCCAGTGGGTCAACCACCAGAGACAGCTGCGTGTGAGCGAGCTACCAGCCACCCCACGTGGGAATTCTTCCCCCTTGCGTTTCTACGGAGTTGGTTCTTTGCTGGAGGCTATTTTGTTCCGTCGATTGGATTCTTGGCTTTGCATATATTAGAAAATTTCCTTTGACTCTTCTTCCTTCTTTCCGGTCGGTTGGTCAATCGGGGCTCAATTTTCCCGAATTCTACAAGAAAAGGGGCTCAGCCCATCGGATACCAATTCCCAGCCGATTCCCAAATTCCCGGGTCTTTTGTGTTGCCAATTCTCTCCATCGTTTCATATTGTACGGAGCATCTCGAAGGTTAATAATAGCGATCACAGATTCTCCCCGAAAACGGAACTCCGCATTTTGTTCTAGAGGTTTCCGACAACGCTGCTTGTGAGCTGGTTTATATACCCCAATCCCATCCCATCGACATAACAGGATGATCAATAACTCCTTAGTGTGTTCTCTATCGGTGCCAGACGCCTGGCCCATTGCTTGTATGATGTGTAACGGACTGCATTGGCTGAAGGATTTCCCTTGGTCAGCCAGTATCACTAGAGCCATCGTGGCAAAGAATGCACAGGCGTTTATTAATCAATAATTATTGACTCCCACATGTCATGTTCAAACGAGAGCACACAACATGCAGACCCACCCAAGATTAATGCAAAGGCTATTGTGGAAAGTCTCCCCTGTGGCAAAATCGTGCAGCGATGCGGGCGCCACATACATGCCAATAGGATCATAGCTAAAAAATGATGTGCGAGTAGAAAACTCTAGAATAAATAACGTAGAAAGATTTTTGTTTGCAATTCGTAACCGTTTAGAGTGTGCAAGAAGCACTTTACCGCATTCCTTCCTCAATATCAGCCCCTGTCTAAGTATCAAACTACGATATACATCAAATATGAAATAATTATACAAGTGAAAACAAGAAATATGTCTGTTTGAGTACATTACTCCCATGTCCATGTCTGATAGATGTTGGAAGCTCCAGAGATGCGGAAGAACCGATGTACCATAAATCAATAGCCCATAATACGTACTTCGAAACCGCACTGCGGTACGCAATATCCATTTTATGTTAAAACACAACATTTCTACAAATCCAATCATATCATAATTGACTAGTAGTAAAATAGAAACCCATGCACAAAGGTTCCAGAAAATCCATCATTATCATCTGCCATCGATACACCAGTCTGCCCGCAACATATCAAGACGTCATTAAAAAGTTAATAACAGAATCCCGAAAAGATGAAAACCAAAAAAGAAGGCAGAAACTACCAGTTTCCCTAAAAAGCTTTTGGAGAAAAGTCAGAGACACAACAAAGACGAGATCTTCAAATTGGGTCTAATCGCATACTCAAACGCCTTGCCCAAATCCCCAATCTAAGAAGCCTAAGTGGTACCATGGAATCGGAGGACGATCATGAACACGAGGTAGAGGCGAAGGAAAATGTGTTCTATTGGCCGCGTTGATAACCAAATCGAGAAAACATGCTATCAGTCGAATTAAAATTATCCCAAATCATCACCACCTGCGCTCATAGACCGAGCTCTCAGGCGGAGGCCGTCTACCACTCCCACCACCAGCTTTTCTCTCCATAACCGGTGGCATCGCCCTTCGACTTGGCTGGGAGTGGGACGCAGACGTGCTCGTGGAACCCGATCTTCCGTAGTCCAGCCGATCATCGTCATCTCTCGACCCCAGCAACCTCGTCTTGCTAGAAAGATCCAGCCTAGGATCATCGTCACTGTACCTCGCGCTAGCTTCATGGCTGAAGAGTGCCATCATATCCTTCATGGTGAGTTTTCCAGCGGCAGCCTTCCCTTCTATGGTAGCATTCGCGAGTTCACGCTTGTGTTCCTGCAGGTCGACTATGCGCTCTTCGACAGTATTCCTGATGGTTAGTTTGTATACCTTCACGTCAATGGTTTGGTTGAGGCGATGGACGCGATCGATGGCTTGTTCTTCGACAAACTATGAGAATGAAAAGTCAGTTTCAAATAATGGACTGCGAAAGATTTGACTTTAAGAACGGAAACGAATAGTCGGGCATACCGGATTCCAAAATGGCTCCAATATCACAACTCGACTCGCCGCCGTCAAATTCAACCCCAACGACCCGGCACGCAAACTGCAAAGAAGCACCCTAGTCTTGGGAGAAGTTCGTAGCCTATCCAGACTGTTTTCTCGCATATCATTTCGCATTGCGCCATCGTATCGCGCATAGCCAATATTTGCGCCCTTGAGAAATGGTTCAATCTTAGTAAGCATAGATGTAAAGAAGGAAAAGACAATGAATTTGTAGTCGCCCGATTCTTTCTTCAGGATTTTCATGAGATGTCGGATCTTTGTTGAGGCAAGATGATCCGGAGTCTCCGGTTCATCGTCGCTTTCATCGTTGGTCCCATCCTCGTCCTCTCCCTCCCCCTTCTCGTCCGAGTCGAGATTGATAACATCTCTTGACTTTCCATGAATTTCGCTAGTTTCCCCATCTTCGTCTTCGTCGGTGTAAGAGTCATCAGAGCACAACCAGTCTCCGCCCCCTTCAGCATCCTCGTCATCAGTTCCACCGGCTTTCCCCAAATTTTCAACATGTTGTTGATTATCCGGAAGAAGCCATTCGCCATCATCACCATCTTCATCATCACTGCCAACGATACGTCGCTGCTTCTGCAATCTCGCTCGACGGGCAATATGAGAAATTTCCTGGAAGGAATCACTACCTTCTGCATTCACTTGTTTCTTCTCACTTTTCTTCTTCTTCTTTTTCTTATCCCTCTTCTTCCGCGGGCTAACAACTTGAGTCTCTAGATCAGCTTCACATTCCACACATCTGCTAGTCCCGCTCTTCGCTTCTCTTGCGCTCAACTCAGTCTGACAAACATCGCACAATTTCGTAATAACACTCAATCCACCCATGAGGTTGGCGATGTCATCAACGTCTTCTTCTTTGACTGGGTTCTTAGACTGGCTTCCTCCAAAATTTCCCGTCAACACATCTTTATCCTGAGCAAGGTCGCTTTTCACAAGATCAGGATGGTTGCATGCCTGGCGGAGACGGAGAAGAAGAACCAAAGCACTGGCATAATTGATACTGTTGCCCCCAATCATTCGTTCCAAAGTTTTGTCCGTCCGCTGCTCCAGACGTGAATAAAATTCCCGCTCCGATGGAGTGAAATCTGCCTCAACTTTCAATACTTCGCGATTAGTGATTTTGAATCCGTTAGGCGATTCCTTAGTTTCATTGTTGCTGTCTTCGCGGTCTCCACTACCTAATGCTCCATCCAATTTCAAGACATCCTTCGTTCGACGCTTCATGAACGCTTTAAGATAAACCTGTAATCGCCGGATGGCTAAACCTCCTCGTCCGTTGTTGAGTGGTTTTGTAATCTGGTCACGCCATGACGCAAGGTCGTTGTAAGGTTTGATGCGCAGGAAGTTGATCAAACTCTGTAACTCGTCGAGATTATTCTGCGTTGGAGTGCCAGTGAGGCACCATCTATATTCAGATTTCAGTGAACAGGCAGCCTGGGTTGCTTTGGCATTGCGGTTTTTGATAGTGTGAGCTTCATCAAGGACGACTCTGTACCAGTAAATAGCAAAACATCCAGTAGGCTTCTCTTCGGAGGTTGCATGCTCAGAACTGAGTGTCCCATATGTGGTGATTACAACATCAAACTGAGATAGACTGTTGGCGTATTTCGTCCGGTGTGTTCCATGATAGATACAGGTACGTAGTCGGTGGGTGGCCTCGACTTTGCTTTCAATCTCAGATTCCCATTGTTTAATCAGCGCAAGTGGTGCAACTACCAGTGTTCCTTTCCCAACTTCTGGAGAGATCTTCTTTTGGCTTTTCTCTTTATCCTCGTCAGTCGTCTCCTTTCCTTTTGGGTGGCGCGGATTCGTAAGTAGCAGCGCGATCGTCTGGACGGTTTTGCCAAGACCCATATCATCCGCGAGAATACCACCTTTCGGAATCACGCCTCGGGTTTTTTTCACGCTGCATTCTTTATCTCTCATCCATTCAACCCCTTCCCTTTGATGAGGAAGAAGTTTGACCTTCAGCCCTTCAACAGTGCCATCGTCTTCTTCCTCTTCCTCTTCCTCTTCCTCTCCCATTTCCTTATCGCCCGGTGCTTCACTAACATCCACTTTCTGAAGCTTGATGGCCAACTGATTGACACCACTCTCTATTTTCTTTCGTCGTTGTCTCGCGCGGGGCTTGTCACTTTCATCCTCGAAAGCACCCTCTAGCAGAGCTTTGATATTTTCATTTGCCTTAGCTGCATCGACATAGCTATACACGTCCATAGCACCAAATGCTTCCTCGTGATGCTGTGCATTTGTGGCTGAGCCCGTAAGATCAATGAAATTCTGCAAATTGCTTAAATTCTTTGGCATTTTCGGTTTGGCTTGAGAAGAGAACATGGGAATTGCGGCCGGTTGTGTTGTCTGTATGGCATTCGATGGTCTGACTATCTCGACAACACTGTCATCGCCAAGGAACCCCGGTCGAAGACCGCTGTAGTCTGATGGCTTCATGAGCCTGAAGGGATCGTAGCGTTGATATCCATTGCCTAAGGAGGAAGTATTTCCTGTCGAAATTCCCGCCTGGGCATAGCTAGATCGAGAATCCTTCCCCTGTTGTTGAGTTTGGGTTCGTTGTGGTGGTAGATGATGCTCTGGGCGCGGTCTATTGGGTTTCGGGATATTGAATGGGTTTGCCGTTCTCTGCTTTGCTGGGCCTAGAAGAGATGCTTGCCCAAACACTGGCTCCGATAATTGGCTCTTCTGAGGTTTATTATTGTTTTGGGAGGGAAGAGCAGAATTCCTCGGGGGCTCCCGCTCTTTGACCATTGTGCCGGATGGCTCGATGGCTTAGAGCTACAATCTTTGAGCAGTTGGAGACAATATCTGCACTAGTCCTGCCAATTCAGTGCAGATTATAAATCAATAATGTTCAACTTTTCGCTCTTCACCTTCTTTCGCTTGGAAACCAATGTGCACGTAAATCGTTTGCGATGGAGAGAAGAGGCTGTGGCCTTTGAGCTTTATAGTTACCCTCCTGGCGGGGACGTATCAGCGCAAATGACGTATTTCGCGGATGGTTCTTTACGTTGAAATTTATTGAAAGCTGTCAAATTTATCTCTTTAGAAATAATAAAGAAGAAACATCAGCCTGTAACCTTGGCAATCCTTCTCACAAACTGCCCGAATCTTCTACAGACCTTCAAGCTGACAAAAAAAAAAGGTACAATGCAACGGAGGAAAGTCAACTTACCATTTGATGTCAGGTGTCAGAGCTTAACTGAAGTTGCACCTTATTCCAAGGAGAGAACTTGATAAAAATTAAAAGCCCACAAGTATTGAGAGGAGAAATAGAGACAGTAGTAGCCAGGCGAAAGGAGCATGCGATGCGGACGTAAGTCGTTGTACATGCAATGGTGACAGCATCTGGCTGGTCCGGTCCCAAAGTTCTTTGATAATGTTTGTGTCGTCTCCGAGTCGTCGCTGGTGTTTCTTCGATGCCATGGCAACCAGAGTGCTGAGTCAGAACGCCAAGCCCGGGCCGTTGCAAAATTGGAGCTTTTGTTCTCCGGACCAATTTTGTGTCAAAGCCTGGAACCTTTTCGAAGAGCGGGATGGGTATACGATTGACGTCACTCGATCGGCTGCTTGCAGTCCCTTCTACTGTTTCAATGAGCGGTGGTGTTGAATGAACGTGCTAAGGATGTGCGTAAAGCTCAAAATAAAACACATATAATGATCTCTAAATTGATAGAATTCTATTTGAATCCCATGGTCCATCAACAGGGGATGCTTTAGCCAAACAAACGAAAAACACTAAAATAATAAATAAAAAAGGTATTGGGGGGGAAGAAAAGAAGAAGCAGGAGGGGAAGGAAAACTGAATTTATCTTCGTATCATCGTTAAGGTATAGTTATATATTCAATCATGTAAAGCATGAAAACGTCACAAAGCCAACTATTCTAGGGAATCAGTAAATTTTTAGAAAGTGGTACATAGCACAGTGCACAGTATTGTTCCAACTCCATGCGCTAAACCTCCCCAATCGCATCCCTCAAAAGCTCTGGGACAATCACGCTGGCATCGCCTTGGAAAAACCAATCTCCAGGCAACATTCCCCCGGGCGGTTCGTCGTTGGTATCCATATTGATAACTGCCACACGCGCCCCCTTCTCGCGTGCCATCTCCACATACCCTGCAGCGGGGAAAACCTGCGCACTCGTCCCAATGACAAGAATAAGGTCAATCTTATCAGCATGATCTATCCAATCATCAACAGCGTTAATCGTCTGCTGTGGCAGTGATTCACCAAACCATACAACGCCCGGTCGCAGCAGCTGGTTTTTGCACTTCGGGCACTTCGGGAGGTCTGCGCCACTAATGCTAGGGATAGGTACGTTTGCGTCAGAGATGTTGAGCTCTGCCCCCTCTGCCTTCGATGCTGAGGAAAGGGGCCGTTGATTCTGTTGTTGTTGTTGCTGCTGCTGCTGCTGCCACCGCCGCTGAGGGGTTAGATCTCCTTTCCATTCCATGGCGCTGAACAGATTCTTTGTGGCCTCCTCGCCGGTCTTGTTTGTTGCGGAGGGGACAGGTTGTGGTGCAGCCTTAGGGATTGCTAGCGCTGGCACAATGGGGTCATTGTAGTCCTCTGCGACATACTTGCAGAGTAATGAGCTGCATTTTACTTGGAAGAGTGAGCCATGAAGAAGATGGAGTTGAGATGCCGGATGGTTGGCGCGGGGAGAGAGGCCTGTAGTGTGAGCGAAGGTTTGGTTAGTATTCATTTTATGTGCTTCACGTAGACGCCTAGGTAGGTAGCCTGTCACGCATGAGCGTGATGGATATATTTTTCAATGCTACCGATTTCCATTGTATCGTACCGTCCACATTCTGACTCAAGGTAATGAAGTTCGGATTCCTCTTTGCCAACGCCGCAAGAGCGAAATGCGCCTTATTGGGTTGTGCTTTCAGCGCCATATGGCGCCTGTAGCTGTAGAATTGCCAAACGAGGGCCGGTTTCGACTGAAATGCCTCCGGGGTTGCTAGCGATGTCACATAATGGGACCGCCAGAGGCCGCCAGCTCCTCGAAAAGTGGGCAACCCTGACGCTGCAGAGAGGCCAGCTCCGAGAAGAGCCATGACATTTTTTGAGCCTCGAAGGTACTCTGAGAAGGCTATTCGGTCCGTCTCGGACACAGCAGTGGATCGAAGAGGGGAAGCCATGATGTTAAAAACTATTTATTTGCTTTGGCTCAAGGCAGGATGTACAGGCTTAGGTTCTCTTGATAAATAAAACCCGAACTACCCATGTTAATTAAAAGAATTCCGTGTTTCGTTTCTGAGAGACCTATGGTCGGTCGCATAAATAACACCACAACAGAGGTCTCAGTTAAACACGCTGGAGCTGTAAATAAATAGAAAGCGGAGCTGAGGTACACTAAGAAGTGCATATGAAAGGGCCCATCGTTGGTAACTAGGTTAACTCAATCCAGTGCTATTTGATCAGCCATGCCCTATGGGGCACGGCAGCCTACACTCGGTGAATGAAATCCCAGGGCCAGCTGCCTAACAAGCCCCCAGCTAAGTATTAGTATGCGGATGGATGCAACAAGATTTTGATGCAGTGTACTACCTTCACTATTCTCCTCAAATGGACGTAGTTTGGCATCCCAGACTGGTCGCTCGGTATATAGCCAAAAATGGGTCATGTGTCTATTAAACATGACTGTTGAATTATATTTATGAATGGTTAATAAACTACAATTGGTATTTTGGTATCCCGAAAGAAACGCATCTTATGGGACTACTCCTCTTCCCTTGGCAAACCAACTTTCGCAGCGCTGCGAGCATACACCTTATTTCTCTCATTTACCCTTTCAACATATTCCCCAATATGCGCTGGCACCTCCTTCACCTCATTCCGCGGCGCTGGTATCGGCTCGCCCATCACCTGCCAAACAGGCACCACTCCCGTCCATACCTTGGCCGTAAGCTCCTTATCCTCTTGGTCATGTTTCTCATCCGACACCCCTCCATCCCTAATCTTCGCACTGCCATCCACAATCCTCACCCGTAATATCGTCGTCGACGTCATCTCCGTCTTGTTAGGCGGCACCCGTGTATTATCATACCGATCCGCGACGACACTATTAGTTATTAACTTCATGGCATACTGCTTTTCTGCCTCATCGGTCACGACTTGCGCATAGCCATGCAGCACGGCAGACCGATAGTTGTAACTGTGTGAGTTTGGGGTGAGAGAAAGGACGAGACCGTCGACGTGTGCGGCGGAGATGCAAAGTGGGAGTCCCTTGTTCTCCCGATCACTCTGTCCGTCAGCCGCACGAGCAAGGTTCATCATCCGTGAGCTGACGTAGCCGTGCAGATAGCAATCTAAGGGCTCATTTATGTCTGCGGACGGATAGTCGAATGAGCCCATCTGGCCGATCATGGGGAGCGTGGCGGGGAATGGGTCATCCGGCCCCGGGGTAAAGGAGACATGGAGGATTGGGGAGTTATTGATTATAGTGTGGATTGTGCCCAGATCGTATGTTCCTTGTGGCAAGTGTTAGTTGATGGATGTCTATCTATATGCAGGGTGGTAAATTCGGGTGTTGAAACAAGTATGACTTACCACGGTGTTTATATCGGTTCATAGTGTTGCTGGAACGCTTTGGGTATGCTAACGATTTCCCCATTATCTCGGTTGATCGAATCTGGGAATATGGGATGTGATGATGTGGTATATAGTATATATGCAAGATATGTAGAAGATGACAGTCGTTCAGCAAAGGGAAGAGGTATCAGATCCTCTGCGCTTAGCACAGTACAGATGAGTCCCGAAAGATATAAACTGGAAGTCTTAGAGAATCGTAGACTTCAGAAAGAGGAAAGGAATTGATTTTTAAATGCTCATATTCCTCACCCGCCTCTAATATGACAACATGCTCAAGCATGACTCGCAGTGTCGGAGGGTGACTCTGATTCTTATGGGTGGAGGTTCACCAGCACAACTTTTTGTTGACAACCGCCACCATGATGACAATTATCGCTAGCTTTCTAATACCCGCGAACATGTCAAAATCACGACTCGCCGCCAATCAATCGAATGTCATTTCAAGCCCCCAACATTGAAATGACTCTAGGCAAGGAACTTCGGAGGGTTGAGTCCCTCGGCTTTCGGCCTGCGCAGCCTATCGGATCAGGCTCAGGATTGCAGAACCATGTTCGGCAGATTTGTGTTAGTAATTTCTAAGCTTGGACATCGCCCGTATGGAGGATTAATGTCATAAGTAGTTATTGCGCACAGTGTGATAGTATTAACAGCTCTGTCTATATTGACGGTTGATGCAGTTTCTCCGTACTAACATTCCAGAATTTTGACATTTATCTACACGCCGGGCGTTTGAGATACCAAAATGCGAAAAGACTCGTCTCGTACTCCGCAAATAACCGCCCATATTCCTAATATCATATCCTCATTTTGTCCACAGTTATCGGACTCGAAGGGGGTGTTCTCTTGCAATGCCACTTTATGTACTTTCTTTGGTATCTTTGAGCTTAAAGATGATACATGAACTTACAAATGCAACACAGACCCCTAGAAAGCCGTGTGAACAAACAGGTTAATTTCTGAAATGGGATCAACACTTGTTGCAATGCACCCATTTCCCAATTTCAGCCTTCAGAAATTTTCAGCGACCTGTAGCAAATCCAAGATCTTATATCGTAGCCAGTGCTCTGCCTCTGTAACTATCCAGCAACTCATCACGATCATATCCTCGTGAGATTTCCCACGTGCGATCCATAACTAGGGATCAAGGTCCCTTAGGTCTTAGGAACTGCGACGGGGGTCACTGGTGAGCGCATCAATTTTGCAAGTAAATGCAGCCAAGGAAAAGACATTGAACTCAGTGTTGGTGCCCGCTGGTCGTCCATACGCCCTGTCATTAACACGGAGTGTCCCGATGAACAATTTCTTCTTGTTTGGTGGCTGACCTGTTTTTATCGAGCCGTGATAGTGTGCTGAACGACGTTTTTCAAACATGTCAATGACTGCTCGGTCGGGTGAGCTTTGTAAAAGCAGAAGCACTGATGTTACATTCACAGACTCCGCGCCGATACAGTCCCCTTCTAATTTGGTCGCTGACACATACCTGCATGCAATGCGACCAGCCTTTAACACCTTTCATGAACCCCGTGGCAATCTCCATGTACCCGATCATCTATACTTTACCTCCTCCGCTTCAAATTCGACTTTCCTAGACAGCCCCAACCGATGCATATGTACTAGGATCACCTTTCCAATAACTAGTTGTTCGTCCAACAGTGGCTCACCGGGAGGTATTGACCTTCTACAAAAGAACTTGCGCACTTCCTCCTTGCGGGCATACTTCTTGGCCTTCTTGACTCGCTCCTCGTGATGCCTTGCCATATTTACCAAATCTCAACCGTGGAGAAGTCGTTTCTTGGAGTGCAGGTTCCAGTGTTATCTTCATTATTCCAATGACCAAAGTCGTTATTCGAAGCTCTGAACTCCGAAGGTCATGTGACATATAACAAACTTAAATTCAGTAACTAACTAGTCGATATGATTGGCTGAATTGTTAATTTAAGCTTAAATCCTGGGTCATTCTACGGGGTTTTCATTGGCCCGGAAAATTATCAACAGTGGTTGGGAGACTTTTGACATTACTTGTTGGTGTTCTGTCATCTTGAAAACCACACCGAACTAGGCTGAACGCAAGGAGAAGTGCTGTTATCAACACAACAGTTACTTTCAAAGCACTTGAGTATAGTATGTGAGGTGGGTTAGACATCCATATATATATGGAAGGAAGTGCCTGAGTTATTTTCTAGTCTCTGCTTATTGCCCAGAGGTAACTAGTTAATAGCTGGGATTGGTAACTATTTTTGCTAAGTTGATGAACTCGCTGAATCAAAGGGTCAGGATATCTTCTCCTTTTCCATCGGTTTTATAAAATCCTTGTTAAGCAACAGCAGTTTGTTTTTCTCTGAAACTCAGGCCTTGAGAATGGGCTTTCCCGTGGATTTTTAAGTATATACCAAGCCGCCATCGGAATCACAGTCAAGCATATTATGAGATGAAACTAACCTCTAGCATCCTTCAACTCGTAGAGGGGGAACTTTCTCTGTTCCCAGTTTTCTGAAATATGACTTCATTAATCTACCACTTTATGGGCTCCGATTTGGCTGTTAGTTATATCTAATTATTGGCGGTTTTCTGGTTCTCAGTTCACGTTGCCCATCTGTAACGGCGTCTGCACTTCAAGATATGAGTATGCAGAGGGTCAATAACTTATCCTAAATGTTTCGTAATACAGAATATCGAGCGGAACGGGTGAGTGTTGAGTACATATTTGAATTCAGCTATGTTGAAAAATATATGAGAGGAGTCGTATAGAATTGGAACCTTTGAGGAGATATAAAATGAGAGATTGAATTATACTTTTCAAATCAGATGCAATAATGAGTTGATGAAGATGGTTCTGTGGCTGGGATCTTTTGTTGCAGTTTGGATCGAAAATTTTTACACAGTAATAATGATAAAACACGATGTTACCTAAATACTGTTCAGGATGCTGGAGCGTGGTATTAATGATCTGTAATTTTTGGTTCTCACCACGTGTTTTGGCTCTTTTGTTGCACATCTGACAATACAGTTACACCCCAGTGCGTACGAAATTCGTCTTTTTGTTACCAGCTGAATCGCTGAGCATACGATCGATGATGTCGATGTTCTGGCAGTACAACAACCAAATATGCCACATGTATCTCCCCCCCCATGTCAATGGGCCCGGTATGCGGCCAATATTCCGGTCAGGTGTAGCAGCAGGAAGGGCCTTCTGAAGAATGCATGCAATAGACATGTATCGCAACGTTTCTATGCTTCAGTGTCCGCTGCGGGGCTCCGCTTTGGACAACCGCTTCACGAAACGCATCCCCATCTCCTCAAAGCTGGGGAATGTATGTGAACGATCTCCTCCAGCACAATATATAAAATTAGATACTAACTTCCATTTCACTTCGCTTAGTAACACCTGGCATCACCGCTCGCGAATATGCACATCGTCGGTCCAAGTTAGCATCCAAATTACCCAAGAATGCGATTGCCGTCGTCGCTGCTTCAGACATAAAGTACAGGTCGGGAAGTGTCTTTTACGAACACCACCAGGATCCGGACTTTTTCTATCTAACTGGTGTGGAATATTTCCTTTCCTTTTTTTTTATTTTTATTTTTATTTTTTATATGCTCTGGTATGGTGTTGCTTACCAGGTGGATCAGGTTTTAATGAACCCGGTGCATTAGCGATTATTGGTGAGCTCGAAACTGCTCAGATAAGGTGGGGTCGGAATTCTAATTTACAATAGGCAATGATGGGTCGGAAGGTGATCATGTATTTCACCTCTACGTTCGAGACAAAGATCCAAGAGCAGAACTATGGGAGGGCGCTCGGTCAGGAGTCCAGGCTGCGACGGACGTCTTCAATGCAGATATAGTAAAAGCCAACTACCCACGCAATTGATTAACATCCCCACTAACTCTATAGCTATAGAGCGGTAACATGGAAAACATTAGGAGCAATCCTCCATCAATCCTTTCGGATGCGTCAGCCATTTTTACGGACCTCAGAATTTCCGACCCGCGATCATCATTAACCCATATATTCTCCTCCCTCAAAATTGAAAAAGGAGTATTGGAGAAGATGGCCAACTCGCAAAAATTAAAGCAATTACGCCCGGTTCTCAACGAACTGCGCGTGTTTAAAAGCGAAGCAGAGGTACAAAATATGCGGAAGGCTGGAAAAGTTTCAGGACGGGCATTTACAGACGCCATGAGAAGGGGCTTCACGAGGGAGAAGGATGTCCATGCATTCCTGGATTACCAGTTCAAGGTTAATGGCTGTGATGGTCCAGCCTTCGTACCTGTTGTCGCTGGAGGTCAGGTAAGACATATTTCAATGAGATTCTTGTGATATGCTGCTAGCTAATGTTCTCTCCCGAAGAACGCTCTAAGCATTCACTATGTCAGAAATGATGATATTCTTAGGTATTACAGGAACCTGGTCAATCATGCGATTTGAAACTTACATTTTACTTGCTTAGAAATGAAGATATGGTCCTTGTTGATGGAGGTGGTGTATGGACTCCCTTATTCCCTTGTTGCGTTCCGGTGTGGATTACTGACCGCTTTCTAGGAGTACGGCGGCTATATATCTGACATTACGCGCACATGGCCTGTTAGCGGCAAGTTTTCTGGCCCCCAAAAGGATTTATACAATGCGATTTTGAGCGTACAGCGGGCCTGCGTATCATTATGCCGCGAGTCCGCTGGTCTGTCTCTTGACATGCTGCACGACATTGCAGAAGAGGGATTGCGGGAGCAACTGAAGGCACTTGGCTTTGACGTATCTGGGACCGTGAGTTTCCCATATCACTTTCACAATCATCACTTCATTTAGTCATTACTAAGTGTTACTGCTCTTATAGGCCATGACAACCCTGTTCCCTCACCATCTGGGACATTATATTGGCCTAGATGTCCATGACTGCGTGGGATATCCAAGAACTCACGAACTCGAAACTGGGCAGTGCATTACTATCGAGCCGTAAGCTTTCTTTCAATCATGACCCTGTATAAATTAGTGTGAATTCTGAATTTCCACCGAGCAGTGGTATTTACGTCCCTGATGATGAACGATGGCCAAAGCAATTCCGGGGTATCGGAATACGCATTGAGGATAGTATCTGCGTAGGGGAAGATAACCCATATATTCTGACGACGGAAGCTGTGAAAGAGGTAAGAAGATACGCTTGAAACTTCCACAGTGCTGCTCTTTCTAACATGACTACAAGATCGATGACATTGAAGCTCTACGGGAGAGCTAGTTTCATCTTTTCCGCACATACATATACTCTACTATTATTATTATATACTATTCAATAGAAGAATATTAAGAATTGCTTGTTTCATTGTTTCGTATTCTAGTAGTTTCTCGTTTCTCCAAGTGGCAAATGACCTGGGCCTTAATGACACTGTTGGCAGCAGCCATTTCTGTAGATGTATACAAATAATCAACAGCGGATCCATGCCAAAACTTGAACCCGAGCGGTCATGTTTAATCCGCTGGATCTATGTACATGTCATCTACTCCATGAATTCCGCCTGCAGAAGCGCAACACCTGAGATTTTGTCCGTCAATGGAGGCTAGTAGGGTTAGGGTTGTGGCTGTTTCATGGCCCCCTTCAGAAGGCGCGCTCTCATTGGCCGCCGGACGTCGCGGGTTTTCAACCAGCAAAACAAGGCCGACTCCTCCAAACAACAGTTTCAACCACCAGGGACAAGAACTGGGCCGACGAGAACACACGCCCACGCTTCTGCAGCTCCCTCTGAGAGCTCTCTGCTATCAATTATCTCTATTCTGCTGCTGGTGTTTTCCGTATATTTCTTTCCTTTCCCCTTTACTACTTCTTTGCTCTTGACGTGAACAGCGTGGTTGGGTTCGACATCGCTCCCAATTCACGTCGTGTGGTACCTCGCGTGCTCAACTCTCGGACGTACCTCCACCCTTCTTTTCTCTCGCTGCTGGTTATCTCTCCTCTATATCTCTCAATCTCTCTGTGTTCCTTTTGAGGTATTGTTTACGTATATATGGCAGAAGTATTTATAACTCCTTCACCTCAACCGTCTATTGCCATGTCGACTCTCCGGGTTCCCTTGATCAACGTCCCCAATGGCACCAACTCCCCTCATCGAGGTGCCCTTGCCTCAATGAAACGTACACGCTCCATCCATGGCCAGGGGGAGAACTCATATACCCACCCTCCGCTAAAGAAGCAGATGGTGGAGAAGGACGAATATGAGTTGACTAGCAGGTTTCCACAAAAGGCAACCGTGGTTAGTACGGAGGGAAAGGTGTTTACGCGCAAAAACACCAATTCTCAACCCACTGCCTTCGAAAAGAAACTAGTTGCGGTTAGGGATAAGGACAGGAATAATACACTACGAGGCGCTAAATATGATAGGACTGGGGGAGAGACCGTAGACACTATCCGCCAGTGGCAGAAGCATTATCGCAAGGTGTTCCCCCAGTTCGTATTTTACTTTGAGAGCATACCTGAAGATGTCAGGAACAAGTGCTCAAGACATATTATGGCTCTTGGTGCAGTAGGTTTCATTCCGTGATACATGACTTTGTTCGCTAAATCAATGATCCCAAGATTGGTCATGATTGAGCAAGTCTTACGTATATGATTGGCTGACTTCTTGTATAGACTGAAGAGAAATTTTTTTCCAAAATCGTGACACACGTCGTAACTGCTCGCCCAATTCCGCCGGAAATTGACACCCCAAATTCCACGGAACTATCAACAGGACAAGTACCCCCCGTTAGCCAATTCAATGCAGATGGACCTATCCAAACTGTTGACCCGTCGCTTTTGGACAAGAACACCGAAAACACTCAAAATAACCAAGGGATAGGGAGATCGAAGAAAGCATCTGACAAACGTGCAGGCCAATTAGATGGTGATGGGAAAAGGGACAACAAGGACGTCTTATACCGGGCGAGGCAAATGAACATGAAAATATGGGCCCTGGAGAAACTCCAGCGTGTGATATCAACAATGAACGATGGGAACGCTACCTCCAGTCATAGTCATTACACACGTAGCAATGGCACAGTCTCTGGAACTGGAAGAGGGAGGGCAGAAACTGACTTGTCACAAGTCCTTCGAAACGAGCGCCTTCACGGACCCGCTGACCGGGACTCTATTCTGGCGTCCAAGGAAGTTATTCCTTTCAAAGGACCATTTATATATGTCCACGATTTCGAGGAAAAGACTCGGCCAGTTATGGTTCGCGAGTATCCGAAAGTAGCCAAGCGACAGGACGGAGCATGGCCACAGTTTCGGAGTGCTGCGTTGGGTAAGTGCCCATTTATCGATGAACCACTATCTAAAAAGGAATTGGAGAAGCGGAAAGCTGTTGCCCATCAAGCAAAGGAGAAGGAACCTGCCCCAACGACGAAGTCCAAGGAAACTGTGGAAGTGAAAGCGATGCGCCCCCCCGAACGTTCAGTTGAGAAACAAGCTGTACAAGGGGCAGAGGGAAGGGCAACCCAGCACCAGACACGGGAAGGACCAATGCCTGCCCCAAAGCGGGTTGAGTCTCTATTGATGTTGCCTAAAAAACCAGCTTCCCCTCGGGGTAAAGGCCTAGAGACATTCCCCGGCACCAAGACCTCGCTCGCAACATACCTCGGACGCGAACCGGCAGCATCTGGCGTCCAACCATCGAACATTACGTCAGCTATCAGGTCCCAGATGATATCATCCACCGCAGCAGCTCCTGGTGCAAAAGCAGGAACAAGCAAAGAGGTGCACGAATTGAAGAGGAAGGTTCTAGAGAAAGGGAATAATCCCCTATCAATGAATGTGATGACATCTTCGCATAGGATGACGGATATTTCTGGTGCGCTTAAAGCCAGCAGGGCTCCCGTGACAAGAGGAGCGAAGACTAAAGCTCACGGAAACCTTGATCACATTGATGAGGACGGCATGACTCAATCGGAAGAGGAGAAGGCCCAGAAAGCCTTGCAGGCCGGCAAGAAGAGCAGCAACACAGAGCAGCCCAAGCAAAAGAAACGTGATCCGAAGCCGGGATACTGTGAGAATTGCCGTGACAAGTTCGATGACTTCGAAGAGGTAAGCTGCAAATATACTGGAATTCCATTCTCTAATTGGATACCATTCAGCCTGATTAATGCGATTATAGCACGTAATGACGAGGAAGCACCGAAAGTTCGCATTGACTCTCTCCAACTGGACTGAGTTGGATGAGTTACTCCGCTCTCTTAAACGCTCTCGTAAGCGCCTCCTACCTGACGATGAAGATAAGTGGTAAAGATAAAGCAAAATAATCTCCGTAGCAAGAAGATCCCCTCAAACTCCCAGAATAGTTTATACAAAAAAAAAAGAAATTATTTCTGTGCCCACTAGACGGAGCTAGCCAACTTGGCATTTGATGCAGTTTGTTCTTCCTTTTCTTCCACCGGTCGGCATCTCTGACTCCATTTACCATGACTTAAGAGGCAGGATACATTCAATATTTCGCTAACCCTTCTAATATCTATCGTCTTTTTCCCCTTCCTCTTTGGAATGTGCATAAAATGGAGGCATCTTGTTTTTTCTTTCCTTTTCGTTGCTCCCTTGGGACTTTCGTGGGCGTTGGTTTCGTTGAAGTCATGGATGCCTTCACCTTATAAAACTAGCAAACTTCATCAAATCTACCAACTCGCTTAACTATCCACTCCCCGAATTCCTACGGGGATACACATGAACGCCACCACTTGTTCCCGCCTTACAACCGTTCCCACATTACAACCGTTCCCACCTACCCCTGCCCCTTCAAGTTTCTCACGGACATATTTTGTTGTTTAATAGTAGATCCACTCGGTCTTATTAACTATTGTGGAACTTTTGGCCTAACTCTCCCAACCTTATTTGACAGCCCTATCTTCGCTTCCTTTCCCCGGGCCTCTGGCTTTCTTTTCGGTTTTTGCTGGTAGTTTACATTTTCCAGTTTACAAATATCTGCATAAACCTGCTGTTTGTTCATACATACTTCCGCAATGAGATGTGGCATCTATTATTATTTGACCCGGTGTGATTGAGATTTATGATAAAGTGTTTTGTGGTCTAATCATGATCTGGCGGGGGACGGGAACTCAACGGCAGATGCAACTCCCCCTCGAAACCATGCTTGCATAAAGAAATATCTAACCACCCAGCTTCAAGGATATTGTTGCCTGGATCCGACACCTGCGTTCATTATTGGCTGGTTCTGTTTCCCCAGAAGTCATGAAAAATATTTGACTTGCTGTTGATACGGCCGTAACTTGCAAGAAGCTGCCCGTACATTGGGTTTGAGCGTAATCGGATGGCGCTTTTTTAGCTCTCAGAGTGGGGCACCGCAGTCCACTCTCAGCCCTAATTTGACAATTTGGAATTGCCTGTTGTTTATAGACGGAGTAACCATGGACTGGGATGCGAACAATCGGTACATGTCATGGTAAGGGGTTTTAGCGATGCCTAGAGCTAATGCTTCCTGAAACCGATATCAAAGCGGCTCTGCAGGGCTCCTCGAATTGATTCTTGTACGGAACTGGAAATAGTTGCGATGACGTGAGTGATGATCCTCTTCTTCAAAATTCGTTTTGGTTTGGTCTCTTGCAGCTGCAAGGAGAATTATTATTAGTTATTGGTTTACGGAGTAGTTAACGTAGTTATTATTACTTATTAACTATTATTATTACCTGTTGATGTTCACCCATTTGTCGATACAAGTTGACTTGTTACAATTCAGGCGCTACAAGGATGAGCATTGGTCGGCGCCAGAACCGCACCTGAAAAAGCCAAAGAACGGGGCCTGGGGCCTGACAACCATCCTCTTTCTGGTGGTGGTAGACGAGGCATATTTATAGTTTGCCATTATCCCAGGCACCAAGTGCTGTTAACGGCTGCACATTATTACACCTACTCCGGACTCCTTATCGTAGTGGACCTTAATTTATATGTGGCGCCGGGGCTGCGGGTTTGTTGTCAATCAACTCAAAGCCCCACGTTGAGAGCGCAACTTCACCTCCGCAATATTAGGCAGCTAGTTGCCATTTCGATCGAGAGGAGGTGGTTGAGATACGAACGAGGCCGCGGTTAAATGCCCCTATCTGGAAGATGAAAGACTTAGCTGGGTTCGAATGCACGAGGTGCAACTTCAAGTTTACACAGAGTATACGCACCTTAACTCCGTATTCCAACTGCTATTGTGCTAATAAAGTTTTAAGAGTCCTCACTCATTCGACATTCAAAAAAATGTGTGGATGGACGGCCTCGGAATCTCCGAAAAAAGTCTTGTTGCGAGTGCTCGGCTGCGAAGACGCGCTGTGATCTAAGGCGTCCGTCATGCTCGAGATGTGATCTGCGAAAGACTCTGTGCAGTTATCCCCCTCCTACTACCACTTCTTCTGAGTCTGTAGGACCCGACTTTGCTTCTGGGAATTTTGGACCGACACAAAGTGGTACCACCAAAGATTCTACTTTACCTGAAACTGCTGTATCGGAACCATTGCCCTTCGAATATGGACAAGTTGATGCGATGTTAGCTCACTATTTTGAACCTCCTCTTCCGGTGAGCGTACCGCAGCATATTCCTTCTCCGTATCCTCTATACCTTGGAGTGCCAGAAAATGGCCTATCCACGTTCGGAGATTTTAGTCGCCTTGATAATTTGAGCAACTATGTCCCGTTGATTAGAAACATGCCTGGGATGTGCAGCAACGAATCTACGCAGTTGGCCCCCACGGTTATGGGGTCTGATGCTTCAAAATTTGTGGTGATTCAACGTAACATGGAAATAATTTTTCGAGTAACTCGAACGTGGCCTCGAATGCTAGCTAAGGGTACTCATTTACCACCAATCATACACCGTACCCAACTCTCCGGTGAAACCCTTCCAACAACCCTGGAAAACTGCTTTATCCTCACCAAGATGTGGGGCGCACAGCGGCGTGGAGGAATAAATATTATTCAGCAGACGGTTAAAAAAGAGATGCAGGCCATTGTGAATTTGGTAAGCTGGAAAGAATCCATCCCTTCTACCCCCGTGTGACAACATTTAACGCTAATGGATATGCAGTTCCCAACTTTTGACGAACGGAACCTCATTGCAGCTTTACAAGCACTGACGATATACATGCTACTACTCCTCTTCCCTTCCAACAACCAACCGGGGGTCTCACTAATTGATGAAAAGCTGATCGGAGAAGTGAATGGTTTAATCCGTTACGTTGCGTCGACTGGTCTGGTACTCGAAGAAGAGAGCAACCGCGTTCGACCCTTATGGGAATCATGGATCCACGTTTCGTGCAAACGACGAGCTCTTCTAAGTTTATATACAATACATTGGGCGTACAGTGCATTCTTCTGCTTACCATCTCTTAATTGTGCAGATCTAAGCAATATCCCCGCGCCTGCAGCGAAATACCTATGGGAAGCCAATTCAAAGGAGCAATGGGAGTCACTCTACAACCGCTGGTTAGTCCAATGGGATGGACCGTCGCTATGTCAACGGGAACTTTTCGACATTTCTCGTGGAGTGCGAATGGGGCCCCGAGTGGAGTTGTGGCTTGAAGATGCGGACGAATTTGGCATGCTGTTTGTCGCGCTATGTAAGCATGAAACCCCTACGTAGATGTTTTGAGAAAGAGAAAAGCGACTCCGTTGGATGTACTCACGCGCTACTTTTTTTCTTAGTTAATTCGGTTGAATTTGATCTGGATCCTGCTTGCACCTAAATCCACTTTCTGGGTGGACTCCGTGTCTCGTTCGCATGATTGCGGTTTCTGAAAACGTGGCGACAATAGGCACCTAGACAATTTACACGTCGCGGTGGGGCATCCTTAACGAATGGAACGGTGTTGGGTAGTTCCTGACACAACGCCTTGGGTATGTGAGATTGAGTCGAGCGAGTTCCTCGGTCGAACGAATTCTTTCGAAAGTAAGATGAGGTGGAAGTGTCATCATACTTAACGGATGGCATTACACCCATTCTTCAGACGGTGCATGATTCATTTCTCCTTGAAGGGTCTGAACTACGCCATGTTTCTGGTTAGTGTGGGATTAAGTGTTGGTTGAATTTCATGGCGTTTCAGCGATAGGCCCTTTCGGCGTGGATAGTCTGTTGGACTTTCGTTTCACCTGTATGATTTCCTTCCCTCCCCCTTCCCTCTTGCTTTTCGCGCGAAATGGGATGGTGTACATGTTTTACTATAAAGGTAAATTTGCCGTATCCAAGGAGCTGCTTTCTCTCTCTTTTGTCTTTTTCCACTTTTGAGTACCAACAAGAAAATATGGCGGGGGACCTTGTAAACTTGATTTTGAGCATATAATTTATTTCTTGGTCGTTTTTGTACTTTTTACAGTTGGCCTGTCAACCTGATGATCCGTTAACCGAGTAACTGCCTTCATCTACATAGAGAGGAGTCTTCTCATCTAGTTTTAGGCAGCTATTATACAATCAGGCCAATACGAGCCTTTGCCGGTAATCGTGTTCCCTCTCACGGAAGAGACGTTTTCATGGTACTAACTAGGTCTCATGGTGACAGCATTCTTTGAGACTAGAATGTCTGCGTGGAATATCCGCGTGGAGAGACAGGAACGGCCGAATCTTGATCTTAACCTCGAGACTGACAGTTGAGGGATTGTTATATATATAAGATGCCACTACTTGCGAGGTTTTCACTTCCATCGCCCTGCGTCTCGTCCCTAAGGCTCGCGATCGGTAAAGTTGGGATTCGTGTGGCAGCTATACTATGTATACGTGAGGGCTGTATGTGAAAATGCTGTTCTTCCAGTCCGAACAAACATATTTCGAGGGTTTGAAGTGGGGATAAACCAACACTCCTCGAGAGGCAAATAAAATCCTTCATTTCACGTTTATGTCGCGTCAAAGGGGGGAGGGACCTAATGCGACTGACTGCCTGATGCAACAAGTAGTCGTTCCTCAACGGGTGTGAGACGCACATACGATTACTCCCATGAGTAGGACTTGGATTATCTCTTAATCCCTCAAAAGAGGAACCCCTCCCTCCGTACCAAAGGGACCCTCATTGATATGTGGGAAACCGTCGGTTACAGAACCGGAGGACGACATATCTCCGATTAAAATACTACCGATACCTGTGGGTTCGGGATTTCCCCGCAGGAATCTGGGCCAAATGCCAACGCACACCATAATATTGATTTTCCGGATTTGCAGTGAGCGTCAGAGAAGATATCGAGGAGTGAGCCACCAAAACTGGAAATCTGGTACACTCCGTCTCAATTTCAACTAGAAGGAAGTCCGACAACCTTTTACAAAAAATCATTAAAACTCGTTTCCGGGTCAATTGCCGCAGCATTTGAAACGGAGGGAGTTAATCTAAGCTAATCAAGTCCATATGGAGATTTGGGAAGTGTCTAACATTATGATATTGGCAATGCAGCTTATGAAGCCCAATATCACTAATAGCAGGTTGAAAGACATTCAAGGAATACCCTCCCATAATTCGTGGCGCTAGGAATAATTGTAGACAATCCAACCTGCCTCCCAAGTGCTGGGGTTGTGATCATGGATCATATGGTTCTAGCAAGAGGCGCTGGAACTCATTGAGGAATTAAATTCATTCTGCCCTTATTCTACACATTATGCGAAATTGGCTGCCACTCTCCATATTGAATAACATGCGGACAATTGTTTGGAACAAATTCGCGAATCGGTTGAAAGTGACATTGCGTAATCCGTTGGTGTTTACGGTTGTCAGCCTTCATAACAATTGGTCGTGCTGCATTTGTCGAATTCCAACAAAGATTGACTGCTAGCACCGCAACGGTCTGTACAAGGCAACCTTGTCACGGGAGAAATTGAGCCAGGAGCAATAGGTCATCAGAAGCAGAGACACTTAGTATAGGGTAAACTCCTTTTGAGTTGACGATCCAATTTTAGAAGTATATTGCACGGAGGGGTAGTTGATTGTCATGTATATTTCAAGTTTTGGGGGTGCGTGCGTTAATGACATATATACGGCAAAAGCTAACTCTGCCAGAAATGGATCTCCAGAAAGGATTACAAGGAGCTATGAGAGCCAATGAATGCGCATCCGTAAAGTTATGGATGCGGGTCTTAATATTCGGGTCGCACATTGCAATGTGGACGGGGCTCGCGGGAGGACAAAATCCGGAAACCAGGAATGTATTTCGAGTGTATTTCGAGAAATAATGCTATCCATTGCCCAAAAAAGAATGTGTTGTTGCATTGAGTACAATGCCAGTCGGCACACAAACCGTTCAGCTTCCGACGTTGATGAGGCGCGTGTCTAAGCAGTTTTGAACTGCACCGTCGTTACCTACAGTTAGATATCATAGAAGGAAAACAAAGATATTAAGCGCCACCCATTTACAATGCGTCATGTTTACATCCCGACGGGGGAGAGGGATACAAAGCGTGCCTTTTGTTGGAAGTCGTAGATTAGGATCAGGGGTAAAACTAGGTGATATTGTTGGAATGTTATACGGTTCCTTGATGTATGCTGGCTATGACGTCACAAATATGCTTAATCATCCGCGGTTGCCGACCTCGGTTCGGCAACGGAACGGAAAAACAAGGACGGCAATTAGTTTCAACTTCTCAAAGATTCTCTGGTGTACGCTGCATATACCAGCACGTCGTCGAATTATATATAAACCACCAATTGCATGTCTGTCTTCAGAAAATATGAAGTTCAATTTTTCTCATGTTTCGCTGCGGGATTATCCACCAAATTGTGTCCCGCACCAGTTTTCCCAAAATCCCGGTTGAACTGGTTGAAGTACCGATTACAATGGGCCTCCGCTTCCCCGTTCGGTTGGTCAAGCTAACGTTTTCCACTGCTGTCCAATGTCCACCCCGCTGGTTACCCCTCGCTTCCATATCTGCTGTAACAAGCCCGGGCCCCTCGCGGCGTCAAGTCCGTCACAGCTCTCATTCTCCAATGGGCGCACCCGTCACGCGCAAGAAAGTCACCATCAAGTCACTGCAGGCGCTCTATAAAAGAGATGAGCCCATCACTATGCTTACAGCACATGATTTTCCAAGTGGACATGTGGCAGAAGCTGCTGGAATGGATATGGTCCTCGTCGGTGATAGCTTGGCAATGGTTGCCCTTGGCATGGACGACACTAGCGAGGTGTGCTTGGACGAGATGATACTGCATTGCCGCAGTGTATCTCGTGCGGTTGGGTCAGCTTTCACTGTAAGTTTGGATATATATTGCTACACCTCATCCCGCATGCTTTGGCCCCACCGCAATCACTAACTGAGCTTCCTGCATTAGGTTGGTGACTTGCCAATGGGTTCATATGAGATATCCCCCGAGCAAGGCGTCGCGTCTGCTATACGTATCGTTAAAGAAGGACGAGTACAAAGCGTCAAACTAGAAGGGGGCGAAGAGATGGCACCAACTATCAAAGCCATCACGCAGGCTGGGATTCCAGTTGTCGCCCATGTTGGTCTGACACCCCAACGCCAGAACTCCCTCGGAGGTTTCCTCGTCCAAGGTAAATCAGCCGCTAGCGCTTTAAGGATCCTCAAAGATGCACTTGCAGTGAAAGAGGCTGGGGCATTCATGGTTGTCCTGGAAGCGGTTCCATCGGAAATAGCTCGCATCATCACCAAAAAGTTAAAAATCCCAACCATCGGAATAGGGGCAGGCAAAGGTTGCTCAGGACAAGTCCTAGTTCAGGTCGATATGACCGGGAATTTCCCACCAGGACGCTATCTCCCGAAATTTGTGAAGAAGTACGGCGACGTATGGAACGAAAGCTTGAAAGCAATCGAGCAATATAGAGATGAAGTCAAAAAGCGGGAGTATCCTTCTCCGGAGTACACATACCACATGGCAAAGGAAGACCTCCAGGAGTTTGAGAAATTGGTAGATAGAGATTAGAAACCACATTTCTTTTACAGTCTTAATGTACAATAGTCATATATGCCCTTTGCATTCCATTTATTTATCTCGAGAGTTCGGAAGCCTCATTTTCGCTTTGTGTTTGTTTTAGTTTTATGGGTGGACAATTTCTTGCTGCTTTTGTCTAGTTCTTTGTCCAGCATTCATACCACTGTAGAAGTGGACTATTCTTGTTTTTTTTTTATCGTCTCCATGATCGTGTTCGATTGCAAGTTTGGTGAGAAATTTCGACCATATTGGTTTCGCCAATGCTGCCAAGAGGGCCAAGTCCAACCTGGCTCATAACTTATCATCCAAAAGCCGGTGTCATTGAGTATGCCACAATAAGTTGATCATCCGTTTTAAAACACTAGAGCATCCGATTTAGGTTAGAAAGTTAACTTATATCGCTATATCACAGCTCCTGGACGATGACTAAGTTATACAGAAAGAGACTTACCCTCCAAAGGCCCCCAACTCCTTCGTCCAGCCCAGGAGCGAAGACACTATTCACATAGCAAAAGACGGAATCAGTGTCCTTACAATCAAGCTTCTTTCGTAAGAACTTGACCACTGTCTCAAATTTTTGAGAGGCGCTGATTTTGAAAACGCGGTTTCTCAGGATGGGTGCGGAAGGTAGTGGTTGAAAACGGACAGTTACTAATTAATACCATAAATAACGTAGAGAAAGCAGAGTCAGTTCCCACTGTGCGCGTCGACTGCGTTGATTTGAGGAATATAATGAGTGTAATGTACGAAGAAAGTCGAACAATGGCAAAATATTGACAAAAGCTTATTTACATCCCACAAAGAGTGGCATAAATATGATGATATGGGCAGGGTAGTTATTTGCGTAATGGACGGTATTGTTCGTGGCAAGACAGAATAGGAGAAGAGTCGGGATCACATTGGGTGAGCCCACTCCAGATTGCCGCAAATTCGTAAAGCTAAAGCATACATAAAACACCAGAAAAATAACCAGAAACAGACGGTCAAGATAAACATTCATCCATTTAATATATCAGAAAGGGATGGTCGATTAAACCACGGTAAAATGGCGTACCTTTGCCGGAATCAATGGGCTCGACGACAGCCAGTGCTTGATGCGCGTCCTTTGGCAAGCTGGTGAGCACAACCGATGCCGACATTGTCAAAGGAAGATCAGCTCCATGATCTTCATCAGGGATGGGTGTCGTTGGTGTCCCTTTGCCACCGTTATCATTGTTATTACGCGAAGACTGGCTGACTTGTCTGCTGGTCAGTTCAAGGCCGCGGTTTGAGATTCGCAGAGACGTTGATTTGGACCGGTCTGGTGGAGGAGAAGGGGATGGGGATGAAGCCATAGTAGTTCTTTTGCGCTATATACGTAGATGATCTTCCTTAGACAGCCGCTATTGTTGTTGCGCTGTTGGTTTCTTTTTTAGTTGTATAGGTTTAAGTCGAGGTAGGATGTGCGAGTTAGGTAAAGTTGGGCCAACGAAGAAACCAAGATTGTTTTTTTTGTTTTGTACAACCTTTCGTTGGTTAACTAGTTAACTAATTAACGTCAAACTATGATCGATTAGTCTAACATCTCCATTTCCTCGCGCCAGAACATTAGTTATTAATTATATTTGCGAATAAAAATTTCACCTGCTATTTGATCAACAACAGACAGTGCCGGGTGTGTTTTATTTTGCGCACAGTTCCTCCTGACAGACTTTACCAGCTCAGAACGCCCTCCAGCAAAATCTCTAAGAGTCGGCTTCCAACACACAGCTCTTCAAAACTGAATAAATGGGTGCTATAGCCCTATTGGACAACAGTGGCTAATTTAGTCATGACGAAACTGGCATAATTCAGGAAATGTGTCTTGCTCGTCGCTGGTATAGTTACCATGACAATTCTATCAAGGCTCAGTCATTTCACATCGAATTACAAATGACTTGAAGGTAGTTACCCGTTAGGTTTTAGTATTGAGCTCCAAATGGCATCAGTACCTCAAAATCTCATATACCTTTAGGTATAACAACTGTTATTTATTAGGCACTACACAACGGATCTGAGCTGAACGACAAGTTCACGTAGCACATATCTCTTCTAAGAGTGATTCATTTTCTTTTAATATCTTGGGATATTGATTTGTACAGAGAGATCGCACTACATTCTCTTGATGACTACCCTTGACAGGCAGTTATATTAAGCTGGCACATGAATATAAGAGTCAAATGGCTCTAGAACGCTAAGCGTGAATTTCTTTGGTAAGATGTATGTGACGTATTGTCTCATCGCTTTCTGATTAATCTTGGTGTCCTTCAAGCATTTGTAGAGGCCTAAAATATAACTGACGCTGCCTAGTTGGATGATCAACATATCTCAAACCACCCGAGAACCGGTTCACCAAGATGGTAAGCAATATTAAGCCTCCAGCTTGAAACAAAAGAATCAGAATTTTGGTGCAGAAGTTTACTTGAGTCTGGGTCGTATCAGCTGCCCAAGGGGACCATTCTGTCATGTTCCTTTCCATAGGATATTTTCTGTGGGACGTTAGATTTTCGTATGCCAGAACAATTCAAGCTTGGTGTGCATTAGAATATGAATAGCCAGTAATGGACCGTCCACATAAAGTCTCATCGGAGACAACGCATCAACTTGGGTCAATTATTTATTTGCAAGTATCAACTTTGGTGCCTTTCACATGGTCATGAACATGAACATGGTTATATTCACTGCCCATAGTTCTGCTGGTAAATGTTAATTTCTCTCATAGTATCAGAATACTTAAATTGTTATTTTAAAGACAGCAGAGAATAACACAGAGAGTATTTCAGCAGGGCATTTTCGTTGCTGACAATCGTTCCACACTTCCCATATCTCTTTGAAGATTTTGTCGTGTAGCAGACACAAAAGTTGGACACGAAGTAGATTAGGAGCCTCCTGAACAATAACTTTGATATGTCTTGTGATTATACGTATGTATGCTGCTATGTGGAATGGAGATTTAACATTTTAGTCCTACAGAGTCCAATTTATTTCCTACAATCAGAATCTGATAGGTGAAATGGAAGTTTATGACACTATTTTCTGGCTAGCCTGTAAGCTATGGGCTGCTATGGGGTATTCCTCTTAACTTGGTGGAACACCAGGCAATTAATAACTATAATTACTCCCATGCCGCCATATGTTTTGGCAAATTATATATATTCCACTAATTTTTTGACCACTTAACATGGATGTTGGACATAGATAAGGGGAATTGATACATACAACCATAATTTTGCTTAGATTGAGCTTGAAGGGAGGATCAAGAGTGTATATGATCCAGGTCTACATTAGCTGATACTGAAATATGATTTTACATGTTCGACTAAGGAAGCAATCAATCTCAAGTCCGCTGCGGATAAGAGACCAGGTCATATAGTATTCTTCCTATCTAGTGATACAACTCTCATCATGTCACTTTCATAGATCAATATTGAAATTGAGTCCTCCTGCCATACTGTGCAACCTGTAGAAAATATAAACAGATGAAAGAGCTGGAATGCCAAACTCAGACGTAATGACGTAATCATTAAAGAACCAAACAAAGCAGCTCAATAGATGAAATTTGATTCTCAATGATGGGTCCTGTGAATCTCCAAGCAACTACCTAGAAAACATATATTATGATGGTGCTTCACTTGTAAGAAGGGTAGGTGCAGATAAACTTTATCTAAGGTTGACTAGCTCCCGAAACATGAACCAAGACAAATCGCACTTCGACCCTGGTCAGCAAAGCTTAAATCAGCCTTATAGAATCCAAGTTCCCTCGCAACAACTTCTATTTTCTTCATGGAACGGAAACACGAAGACATATTTTGGATTCATACTACTAATTTTATTGAGTCCTTTAATGCAGCATTTTCATATATGATTTCTTGATTTAAATGCTGCAAGGTCACAGTTCCACATAGAGTTGGAGGTTTGTGATACTTGATCCCTAACCAACAGCCAGTCCTTTATTGATGCTGAGAATTTATTATTACACCTGAAATACGGCATAACTATTCACCTAATATTCAATTAATTACGACGTGGCTTGGCATTTATCAAGTTCTAGGATTGTAGCTTGTAATTGCTGAAGCTTATGATGCGCCGTGGGCCTCTCATAGCGGTTGTCTCCTGACCTGATCATCAAATTGTGACAATGAAAAGTAGAAACAAATTCCATTTCCTTATTCTAAACTGCATTCATGAAGCGGTTTTAAACATGAGTAGTATACATATCTACCCGTTCACACCCTTACTATCCATGACTGATGGCCAAATTCCATCAATTCCCCGTGTCGCTTCGATGGTTCCTCCTTACTTGGGTCAAACTCCATCCAGCCAGCCAGTGACAACGATGCGTTGTTCCGTGTTTACAGCGCAAACGTAAGGCACATAATGACAAGAATACCCGCGAGGCCTGTAACCGAGAAGTCGACTAGATGGGGAGCACTGCTGCTAAGTTCGAGAGGGGGCTTCTGGGGTGGTGGTGGTACGTAACCGGGGCTTGTAGCGTTGGGAGATGTGCTTAGGGTGAAGGAAGGTGTATGGATTGGAATCGTTGGGGGAGGGTTGTTCGCTGGTGGAGGAACAGGATAGTCGGTTGGAGTTGCCTCCGCTACAGGTGGATACTCCGGTGAATTGGGTGTCGCTTCTGGTGGCGGAGCGGAGACAGGAACCTCGGGAGGAGCTGCTTCTTCAGGTGGAGCACCAGTGTGAGGTCCGGTTGGTCCGGATGGGCCCCCAGTTGTATATGTAGGGTGTCCATCCGTTCGTGTCTCTTCTGGAATACGGGGATGTTCTGGGGTTTCGTCCTCTGGGTAAGGGGGATATTCAGGCTCTTTACCCCCATCCGGGGTTGTTGGCAATGGCGACACAGGTGTTCTACAGAGAAAGGTTTCAAGTGAGTTATCGAGTCCAGTGACACGAATTATCATAGAGCAAATTTCACTCTTTGATACAATGTCTTTCAGATTTCGCCAAATAGGAGAAGGCGTTTATGAACAACCAGGACGACATAAGAGAGAAACTTGACATACAATTCGGCCTCGTCTACCGTTGCTGACGTCGCAAAGGCAATACTGGAAAAGGCCAAGATAATAAGGTATTTGGCATGCATATTGGAATATCTAGCTCTTCGGTTTGGGTTCTCACAGGGAGAATGTCTCGATTCAAGAGAGCGGAAGGGGTATATTTGATATCAAGGATTAGAGGAAATAGAAATTGTGAGACTAGAGAGAAAGAGGAGGATCGTGTGTTAAATATCTAAAACCCCTTCGAAGACACATTGAGCCATATCTTCGCTGGGGTTTTCTTGTCTATCTATTTTAGGTAAATTGACTATGGGCTCACGGAGTTGTGTGTGGCAATCGAGTTGCAATTGTTCAGCAGCTAGCGATATGCATTGGTCTAAAATGAGAGTAGTCGGGTTCCTGTAAGGTTCATTCAACCTGCTCAGAGCGATGGGAATACAGTGCATGCAGGTACACGGAACAACCCAGAGCAGCACGTTCTTGGGTCATATCGAATAGCGCCGGAATTGGTAACACGTCGAGTTGTCAAGGGAGTATCGCCTAGGCCTAGAGACGGCCAAGTAAAAAGTATCAACACTGATGTTATTGACACAAGGGAGTACAAATCGACAATCCTGTAACAGAGTACCTGTTCATGGTGCCTAAGGGTGGTTATACTTGAAGCATTGTCAGGGAGTGTCAAACACGCGCCATGACATTGACACCCATTACTATTGACTGGAATCATCGAAGCAATTTTGCATAGCAGAATCTCAATATATTTGCATGGCCACTCAATGAATGCAGCTAAGTTTGAGAACACTGAGAAAATACTGAGGCTTTCAAGTGTGGAAGATAAAAATCTGCATGACCTGTAACTAACTTGTAACTACCACTTAATCTTGGAGGTTAGTAAACTCACTCCTTAACCAGCTGTGGCTAATTAGTAGTTACTAGTCAAGTTAGTTAAACAGTTAGTTAATTCTTAATAATTCAATCTGACATCAATCTGACATCAATCTCCACACCAAGGAAATTGATGGCGAACTTTAGCAGACACATGAGGGTGATATCCCTTGTGTTTTACGGAAAAGTGGCTTCTTATATTGCAGGCGACTTCTCTCCTTACACTCTTGATCCACCCAGTCGACATTGTTTATCTTTCCTCGCCAGTGCACAGTCGAGGCCGCCTGAAAAGATCAGCAATGCTCCCATTCAATTCTGTCATTGTTTTGCCCTACACTGTTCCACTGATGTTTGGTCGCTGTCCTTGGGATAAGATGCTTTCGGACCCATCAACCTGGGGTTGAGCAAATTCGTCATCTAATCCACATTTTAAGCAGAAACAAAAGTCTGTACCACAGCAGCCCGACTTTTCTCGGGCCAACCAGAGCAGAACTTTTATCACGGGGGTCTACCATCCAAAGAAAGGCAATACCTGACTATAAAAACTTCAAGACACCTGTTATTCGCCGAGGTTGAAATAACAATGACAAGATACATGATTGTGTTGAAACATCACAGTTCCTTCTGTTGAAAGACACCTTCAAACAAATTTGTTTTCATTAGACTTACACTTCGTTGTTATGCTGTTATCATTAACACTGACAAACATGTAATTGAACTTGAAATTTTCTCTCAACCAATATGAAACCGGATCCGTGAAGATGTTTGATCTAGGCCCTTAGGAATTAGAAGAGGACCATGAGAGCGCTGAATAATACACAGCCTATTCCTACAGAATTCTGAGCGTGGATCTCGCTCTTCTCCCCTGCGACTGGATTACGATTGGAGTGGCTTGGGGTTGCTTTCGGCAACAATATGGGCTGTATCATTCCTACCAGCGGCAGCCTTGCTGCTCAGATGAAGGCCACTTGTCAATGCTGGCCCCACCGTAGACGTGGTGGTTGTTGATGCTCCGTTACTATATTCAGCACCGAGAGTCTCTGAAGAAATTCAACAAGTATTAATATATGTATGGCTTTCGGTTACAAGGTAAATGGACACACGGTTAATCATGGACTGGCATATCCCGGGAAGAAACATGATAAAGCTAATGAAAAAGGGAGCCACATGTCTGTGTTTCATGCGCCACATACAATCCAGGTCCGTCGAGTTTCTGAGACGGATCGAATTGAAGACAACAAGCAACTCCCTATGCCCATGAAACAAGAGTTGCAATGAGCAATAACACTGCCTCAAGTGAACATGACCCTTCCCATTTTATACATACCCTACAATCTGCAATTATTTTTTGATGATGTCGCAGAGGCTGCAGAAGTCTCTGGTACGGTGATGGTTGATGGAGAAGTCTCTGTGTCTCTATCTGTGCCACGGTTGTTTATTTTCCTGTCTACCGCTTTGACGGATTGCTAGTTTCCCGTTTGATCGGTATACTCATACATTATTCCCGTCGAATAATCGGCCGCTTTTATGGATTTAACATACATAACGAAAGGGGCTGCGGAATAATCGACTTTACCTCCAGCCCATTCTAGTATATGCACTCTCAGCTTTTCCCCAAAATGAGAATAACAATGATTGTGGATAATTAAAATTACCAATAGTTCCCTTTTGTACTATGGGCTCTGTGCGAAATATAGACGCCATTGAACTACGATGCTACTCACACTTTTTGAGAGGATCGCATGCGGTATATGTTTGGCCTAACGCCATGTAGAACAAACAGAAGGAGATGGATAATAGTTGAAGCCCAAGCTGGCGCAACATTCTGGCCAATTCAGGAAAACAGGAAATGCTATGATTTGATGAATGGGATAGCGGCTTATGGAGGGGTGATGGGGAAACAGGATATGATAAAGGGTGGGCTTCCAGTCAGCTAAGTTTTATTTTGGAAACATTATGCATTATTTAGAGAACGAGATTATCCAAGGGCCACATTGAATGCACTGGTTGTTATGCCGACCATGCGAATACCCACATACTGTATACATACTACACATACAAAGAAATCAGCAGTCCCTGTTTATTAAAATTATAATCGAGGTAATTTAACATTATTTACAGATTATCGCACAATTGCTCTTCTCTAATCTAGAAAAATATTTCTTCCCTGTTCCTGGGGAGCCAGAATGAACTGGGATTATCCCATCTGGGATTTGTTAACTTGTTTATGGATAACTAGTTCAGGGTCAGCTGAAATTTAATGTCGTTTAAGCTTAACTTTATATCAACCCTGTTGTAACCTCTAAACCACCCAGAACAAATTCAAGTGAATATTTATTATGAATTTTTAAGTCCGGTAGATACGATTTCTATATGTATGGAGGATTGAATGGACTAGCTATTGGTCCATGTTCACAACCTTCACCATGAGCTCTAAATACATCCTGCATACATCTTGACCCAATACTCTGATGGCTGTTTAACTAGCAGGTATTTTTTTCACAAAGATACAAGACCGCTTTTCATACTAGCTTAAACCTCATAAATATGTTCTCTTTACGAAGGAACTAAGTTACCATTCTAGCACCCTGATCGTGGATGCTGGGGGGCGGGCTCTGCAGCATCGGAGTCTGTTTGTCTCCGCTGCATTGCTAAACCCGTCCGTATCAACAGCAGATATTACAGACTACTGTGAGGTGCGAAAAGCTCGAATCGCATCGGAAAAAATTATTTTACTATTATTACTATTTAAATCTGCCACAGATCGTTGAGAGTCCATTTAACAAAGTGGGATTATCAGAAGGTTTGGCGCAAAATGCAATATTCGATTATCAAAAAGGGGCACAGTGCCATATTGCACCGACAAACAATTCTTCCTGGCCTTTGCCTTATGGCGAATTGTGTACGAGTCAGCCAGCAGCGAGTAATCGCAAAAGGGAGGGGCAATCTGCACTTCATGGCAAGCCTAAAACATTTAACTACGTACAGTTCCCAGGTAGCAAACCGTTTATTGGCAACGGCAACAAGATCCCGAAATATTTATATTGATTTGAACCTCATCTGAAGCTCATTGAACTTGTACAACCTCTTTCTCTTCGCTCAAGCAAAACAAGAGCTCATCCCTTCGCTTGTGTAACTATCCAACCCTCAACTCTGGTCCAATTTCCAGTTATTTGCACAGCACTCTTTCAACAACGAACTTATTTACCCACTATGTCCTCCACAAACGGCACCCATACAGTTCCTCCCAGCAGTGCTAACTGCAGCATCACGTTCCATTACGACATATTCCCATCAAAGACGCCACATGCGCCGTCACAAAATTAGTGAAAATAATAATATGAAAAATTTCTCCAAAAGTGCGTCAGTTGCCTCTTTCAGTGGCGGCTCTTCCTTCTACTTCTTTGCCGCGCCAACGCTTATGTGCAGTTGGGTTCAACAGCAAAAGCAGGACTGGCTTTTTTTTTTTTTTTTAATAATAATATAGGCTATTCTCGAGGCATGATGTGACGAACAGTCTTTGTTGTGGAATTGGGTCTTTCGCTTGGAATTCCACGGAACATTGTGTTTTAACTTCTCATTTTTGTGAGTCGTCTCACTTTTGTAATGTTTCTGAATCGGAATGTGATGATAGCAACTTTTATGTTTTTAAATAGAATCATGGTTTGGGAATTATTTCTTTCGTTTTGTGGCCTGCGTAACTAACCAAATGGTACCGAAGAGCTTGACGATTTTTCTGCGACGAGCAATAAACAGCATGATGTCATTTGTGATCCCAAGGAAACGGAAGAGTCCCATGTAAGAAATCTAGAACACTGGAGTGTGTACGCAACCGTGGGTTTCGCGCGTCCCCTTGGGAGGTCCAACCCTTATTATCCCAGAGGTAAGATGTAAGAGAGATATCCATACGAGGAATGGAAAATTGAACATGCATAGCCCGATATTGCAGCCAGGGAACCTTTTGTACACATTGTATTGCTTTGGATTTAGAATTCAGCGGTGTAAATTAGGTTAGTCAGTTGATAAACGGATTTGCGCATAGGAATATCGCGATAAAGTAATATACGGTTCGATAATGGAAGTACCCTGGCGGGTGACAACAGGGTCAGTTTCCCAAAGTTTGTATTCGGCTGTCCGGCTAAAATAAGATGTGGAGAAGCAAATAAAAAGGAAAGGAAATCAACACCAATGATATTCTATTGTACATGATCAGTATACCCTGTCGTAGTTTGTATCACCGCTATAAGAACCATAGTCTTAATCCCAAACCAGCACTTTTATAGCATGGCCTTGGGCATCTGCTTAATTGCCTGCCTCACACCAAGATCAGCCAGAATCTCCTCCGTACCGCCAAGAATGGCATCGAACTTATAGGTACGGTGGAATTGCTCGACCACTCTGCCCATTCCAGTCTGTGTGATCCCACGACCTCCAAAGATATTGACAGCATCATCCGCGATCTGATGAGCGCAGCGGGTGGCATACGACTTGAGAAGCCCGATGGGACCACCGAGGTGCTTTGTCTGCTGTGCATAGCTCATATTGCACATCTGATACGTGATGGTTTCCAACCAGGATTGCGACGCTTCTGTGAGAGAGATCATCTTGGCTAGCTTCTGACGGATGACTGGTTGATTAATGAGGGGCTTGCCAAAGACGATTCGCTGGTTGGCCCATTTGAGACACTCTTCGACAACAGTGCGGTTCCAACGGCTGACCATACAGGCCATGGCCCAACGCTCGTGGTTGAAGTTGCTCATTATCACGATGAAGCCGTTGTGTTCTTCGCCAAGCAGATTTTCAACGGGGACCTTGACATTGTCGAACTGAATAAAAGTAGTGGCTGCAGTAGTTGAGTAGGCGGTCTTGATGCGTTTGGTCTCGATGTTCTCGTCGCGTGGGACAAGAATGACGGAGTATCCCTTTTCGGTTTTGCAAGCCGTGACAAAGTAGTCGGCCCACATGCCGTTGGTGATCCATTTCTTGGTTCCTGGTAGAGCAATAATGAGTGAGATTGTGAAAGAAAGAAGAAGAGAAAATAAAGAAAAAAGAAAAAAGAAAAAAGAGAAAATAAAAGAAAAAGAAAAAGAAAAAAAAGAGAAAGAGGGAGGGGGGGGGGGTCTGAGGGGAACACGGGATTCAATTAGTGATGACTTACCATTGATTATGTAGTGCCTGCCATCGGGAGTTTTTGTAGCCGTAGTGCGGATGCCCGAGACGTCAGATCCGGCAAAAGCCTCCGAAACTGCCAGGCACATGAATTTCTTCCCGGAAAGACATTCTTCAGTGACCCTGTCGCGTAATTCCGTGTTCTTAAGCCACTGTCGTATGGCTGTTAAAGAAATCATCATGCCAGCCATGTTGCCATCTTGGAATCCTCGAGCATTGGCTCTCGCCAGCTCCTGCGCAACGATAAGGTCATGAAAGTAATCAAACTCCTCTCCCTTGATGATGCCGCCGAACAGTTTTCGACCATGCAAATGCGGCCCCGGACCCAATCGCATAGCTAACAAATTCGTCTCCGCCATCTTATCCACGAGGTCTTGGGAGATATAAGTGCCGTCAAGTTCCTTCTCCTGCGCTTCTGGATACACATGCGTATCGACAAACTTTCGTAACGCCTTCTGTAGTCTACGGTGCGAATCGTTGTAGTAAGGACTCTTGTAGACAGGGGATAGCCATATGGGTTCGCCATATGGCACCTTGCTGAGATCCCCAGGCTGTGGGTCAACCACCTCGGGCATCTCGTTCTCGACGGTGCCGATGCAAAGGTTGGCATATTTTTGCAGCACCTCGTGTCGATGGAGGTTGTAGAAGGCGGTTGTCGCATCTGTTCCGGCAATCTGGGTGAGGACGACATTGCCACCGGGATGCGCATCGAGGAAATCAGTCAAGTCGTAGACCTTGTGGTCGATGATACACCAACAGGAATCTTCCGTGTTGTTTTGCGCAACTTCCTCCCGCGAGATCTTCCTATCTGCTAGTTTGGATGCCATGGCGTTCACTTGATGGTGTGTTTCAGAGGGAGGAATAGAGGGTCAAAGGGGGCAAACAAAAGGGATAATAACTAACGGTGCTATGATACCTCTCTGCTAACTTTGCCAGATTTCCCCTGTGCGGTGGAGTGCCTGTGCCATTTTAAGTCCCTGTTTTCCCTTTCGGCCTGTATGAAGGTTGGGGGGCAGCCGTAGACTGAGTTGGTGAGCATTGGTTGAGAGCTCCGATGAACTACCTCGGCTCTCACAGCAGAGAAGTTCGACCACTCAGATCGCCCGTGTTAATAACCCAAGATTAACCTTTTTACCAACTTCCAAAGTCCATTTATTATTTTGCGGTTAACTGTCGGCCTTGGACTCTAGCCTTGAAAACATTCAAGCGGAGCTACGAATCAACTAGTTATTAAAATATCTCTATTCTACGGTGGCGAGAATTATCGAACAGCGGCGGGGAGGGATCCTAGTGCTTTGTTTATTGCAGAAGAGTTCGTTGACTAACTAACTAGATAGTTAACTAACTGCAAGCCACACATGGAGGACAGAATCGCTGGTGTTCATTTATCAACTTACCATACCTAATTGCTGATGGAAACATGGGCCTGATGACACCGAAACACCATGCTCTACCACTCATCTCCCCATCCAGCCTAAATATACGTAATTACAGCTATATTTGGCCACATTCTGCTTCAAAACCAGAGTAATATGACCGAGCTCCGAATCCAGCCGTGAGCCTCCAGTAAAACCTAGCAACTGCTGGAATCCATCGTTGCTAGAAATTCGGGGTGATCTGCCTTTCCAAGCAAATCTCATGTTATCTGTGATATAGCTAGCGCCAGGCTCATGTTGTAGATACCACCTACTGAGCTGCAGAGCACCGATGAAGGAAATCCCAGTGAAGATTGGCTCGAAGCTCCTAATGTCTTTGAATGAAGATCATGTCCCATGACCTGACCAGCCGCTGTGATGGGGCGACGGCTCATTACTCGACCGTCAAAGGGAGGCTTAAGTTTGGTCCAAAATCACTTGGACATCAACCTGGAAAGGTAAATCTAGGCTTCACATTTTACGCAAGGTAGCAGGCCCTCAGCACCGCTCAACTGTTCCCCGACTCCCGCTTAATAATCAACTGGCGAAGACAACATCGGACCAGATAGCTTCTGAGAAGTCGGTTCTTTCACCGCCACCCGCACAGGTAGATTCTAGTGCAAGTGGACAATGTGGACATCTATCTCTCTTTGCAATGCGACAACGGCGATTGTTGCAGCCAGTATGGCAGTTGGTAAGTAAAACCCCGCCTTCCTTCCTCCCAAGATCCAAGCTTTTTACTTTTCGCATACTGGAATTCGCGGAATATGCTATGTAGAATATATTAACAAAGATAGTGGCTCAAAGAAAGAATACTGCGGGATGGTCTGTCAGTCCGAAAATGAACGTTGTGGCTAAGTTGTTCTGGACGGGGGGTGCTCCGGACCTCATTCAGAGGAAGATTAAGGACAATTGTACATGAGCAGAAGATGTGCGGAGTTATGGCGTGGAGTCTTGGGGAGGACATCTATGAATGGAGCCACCCTTGCTGCGCCGCAGAAAGATAGGGGAAACCCCGGGGGATCAGAGGAAACAGTGATATGGAGAAGCAGATTCGCACGGAAAGGGGTGGATGCTCATTTATTACTTCTGGCCCTGGCAAATCCCTCTGCAGGCAAGGGATGTATTGTTCCTCTCTAGGTTCTTCCGTTCGGTTAGCCAAATGAGACCACTTTCTGGATTTCTTTGATACCTTATCTAGGCTATGTTCAAGTGTTTTGGGGGGGTTGGCATGATTTTTGTGTTTGCTCTTCAACAGACTTTAGAATATGACAAGAAGACATTTTTGGAGGACAGCATGAGCAGGTTACAGTCACATAGGGCAAATATCAGACATGGTTTTGTCTTTGAGTATCATCTCTGTTCAAGCGTTGTCGTGATGTGGTGCAGTCAACAGTCACAACACTCAACTCTGGACTGCAATAACACATGTTCATCATCAGTATAATCAAAACACACTTATTTATTAAATTCATCAACATTTGTGCTACCTTTTTTCTTACCATCTGTATACCAGATTGTTTATTGGTGATCCTCTACAATAGCAACAAAGTCACTCTGAAGTTCTGAATAGGGGCAGAATGATGCTGCTCAGCCCAGCCAGCTGTCGCACTGAGCTCAGAGCACTATGTATCAGACGTGAAATCGTGGGTGCTATTTTGCTGATCACACATATCTCAGTTTGGGTTCATCTTCGCTGAATGCTGATATCTTGATTCTCAGAAAAAGCAAAACAAACGCTGCAACAACCAGAAAAAGAAGGGATGGCTGCAAAGGGTTGGCCCCAGAGTCTGGCACCGAGTGAGCAAGAAAATGCCCCTCGTGGAAACCATCAAGAGAAAGGTTTGTACTTCGTCCAATCTAATATATAAATAAAAGGGGGGGTGAGGGGGGGGGATCGTTTCCAAAGAGTTTTAACATTTCTGACTGCCCCTGAAGCGCCATGAGAGTCTAACCGCAAGAGGGCCGTTTCAGCCAATCCTGTTGCCTTCCGATATCGAGGGTATTCAAGCGGTCACGATGCCTAGTACACCAGAGCCGCCTGAAGAAGCCTATTCATATAGTGACATTTCTGGAGAGCTCTCAGATAGTTCATCCATGAGGGAAGACATGTTCCACCTTGACGTGCTCGATTTGCTGGAGGACCTGGCAGCAATCGACGTGGGAACTGATGCTATCACTGGGAATTTGGATTTTGACACTTGGCTGTCCATGTTCTTGTATAATACCCCATCCCTTTACACCTCACATAACAATAAGCCACGGGTGAGGTGCAGTGTGTACTGATGTTAGCGAATAGAGAGGAGATCAGCTCGAGAATTGAAGCTGTTCAACTTATGCAGGCAACATAACATGCTGTTGGAACAGGTCACTTTTTGCTTCAGAAAACATTTCGTCAGGATATGAGCCAATAATGGGGCTCTTTTTTTTCTTTTCTTCTCTTTTCTTTTCTTTTCTCTCAATTTTGGGAAAGCAAAATTTGCTGATTCCACCCCCAATTGAGATATGTACTGTATGTATTGAACATACTACATAAACAGGCAAAGGCAAGCATACGGGGCAAATAACGACACTTGGCAGATGTATTAGCAAGGTTAGTTGGTGTTTGGGATTCCCGCGCTGTTTGTTTCAGGGGTAGTTACCAAAAGGAAAAAGGGGACTGTAGAATAAAATAGTTGACGAAGCAATCAATTGGTTTGTCTGGAAGATACTATCACGTGATATACAGGACAGGAACCGGGGGCCTGGAGTTGGGCCAAATGGACGGGTAGTTGATGGGGGAGGATACTGCAGATATGATATCACCTAGCCTGGCAGGTAACTAAAGCTTATGCTTATATGGGGGGACGGGGACATTGGTTGGTTCGCACCGTGGTTAGTATGGCAGTTCGGTGGGTGTAAGCCCTTTCACTACTCTCAGCCAATTAAACCTGGTATGAAGACCTTTGAAAAACGCCTATGAGTAGGAGATCACCTAAATGCGAGGCCCCTCCCGCCCGGCCTGCAGCCCTCTTGCTCAATCCCCCGTTCTTTCTCCCTGCCCCCCTGCTCCTCTTCTCCGTACGCAGCTGCCCTGGCTCCTGCATGCACCTGTGAGCCAGCCCAGTTTTTTTTATACACTTCCCCTGTCAATTGTACGGAACTGCCTTGAAGATGAATCTCCTGATTCTTCGGTCGGATGCCCCCGTGGAAGTGGATTGAGAGTGAGAGCTGCTGGATCTGGACAGTCAGCTCTATGAAAATGTCAGGCAGATTATGCTAGAGGGTTGGCAAAGCAGACCCAAGTGTTCACAGCAGGCATACAGTTTAAAGCAGAAGGAGTTCATGGTAAGTTGCAGAGCTGGAGGCCATATGATGTCAGAAGTGCCGGGTTGACTCTTTTCTTTCACTCGTACAAGGCAGATATGATGCTGGCAGAGAAACTTTTCAGATGAGTATGTCACTGATTGGAAGATGACTTTCTTTCTGAGGGAGAAGATTATAGATTAAAAGATTTTTTCCTGTTGATTCAAGACTGAGTGTATGATAGTGGATGAAGCACCTGCGATTCAAACTCCGGGGGCTGCCTCAATTTCAGATCTTTAGGCATATGCACTTGTTATCTCATCTATATATCTCTAAAAGTTAATGCCCTGCTTCATACGCGGGCCAAGAAGGAAACAAAGTCGCAGAAGGTGGAATATATGGACTTCGATGTCAACATCATGCTTCATGGATTTAATAACAATCAGAGCCTCATACAGCTGCAAAAGTATTGCTGAATGCAGAGTTATATGAATGACTCAGCTCAAGGTGCAAAGGTCTATCTTTGTATGAACTTCAATCTTCTGAGCAGTATGATGCTGTATAATATCATTCTTCTTAGAAATAGATAATATATAACTTTTAAAAAACAATGATTAATGCTGTCATGTAAAGTCATATAAAGAATTTAGATAAAAAATGAAATTCTTTGCATGACAATTTAGCAGTTAGATAAAGTTTGAATGCAGTAAAGATTTAATTTTTTCTGTTCTTATTATTACTTTGAAGAAAAACTCAAATCTAATTCCTTCTAAAAAAATAAAGAAACAATACTATATTTTCTCTATATATATTTTAATATAATATATAAAGATCTTTACTTTTCTTCTTTATGTTTTCCAGTTTAGTATATAAAGTTATATAAACTGTATTTCTATAAAATATTATATATAAAGTATTATATAGAGTAACATATAGAAATAAATACTAAATGCTCTTATTCTTCTTCTTTGAAACTATTTAGTTCATACATAAAGCTGCATAAGAAAGTGAATTGAGAGTGAAAGAGAAGTTGCTTACTGACTGTGAGGTTACATCAGTCAGTTTGCGAAGCATTTTCTTCTACTCACTCTCACTCACTCTCACTCACTCAAACACAAAAATAAATATGTACAAATACATACAGACTAAGCATTTAGCTCTTTTACTGACAGAGCAACTGGCTGCTAACAATGTCTTCATACAGAAGAACAACACAATGACATTTTATTCTGATCATACACATACTCTCTGTCTCACTCACGCACAAAAACAATGCATGTGCAAACACACCAGTCTAAGCATTTAGCCTTTTCACTGGCAGAGCAACTGGCTAATAACATCTTTGTACAGAAGAACAACAGGCCAACAACATCTTTTTACAGAAGAACAACTGACAAATGACATCTTCATATAGAAGCAGTTTATCAAGTTGAGAATGTAAGTGCACCCACTGCCTACCTGCCTGCTGAGCTGAGAGCTGACCTTTGTCTGACAGGGCTTTGATCAGAAACAATGCAGGTCTGCTGCAACACCAGACTCTCTATGTTGAAGGCCAGCAGCTCGCGCCCCTTGCCTTCTCCTCTCATGGTTAGAATGTCCTTGCCCTTCCAGGGCGAGATGCACTGATCGTAAGTGAGAGTATGACAGAAGTCCAAGTGCAGAGCCGGCAGCCATCATACAATAATAGCATCCTCATCCAGTCCCGAGGAATGGTGGTGAGGCCTCAGGTCTGTGTCACTTGTTGACACAGGTCTGATGGTCCCCGCCCCTTTCCTGAGTGCATTCGGCTACCCGGGCACTTCCGGAGGACATGTGAGAATTGCAAGTGGCGCGATCACAGAGCTAGATGCTCCGTACGATATGGTAATGACGCTCAGAGGGATGACTCTGGCCTGGACAATGACAAGACCCACGTCGTGGTCTCTTCTCTTCCTCCCCTCCTCCCTCCTCCCTCCCGCAAGCGCCCCCGGCCACCACCCAGCCCCGGTGCTGGCCTTCCCCAGGTCATCCGGCGCCGAGGAGGCCCGTGATCACTTGTACGGGGACTGAGGACAATCCCATTGTCCTTGTTTAGGTATGTACAATCTATCTTTTTTCTCTGCTCCCTTTGCTTCATTCTCTCCCTCCCCCTCCCCTTCTCGGGCTGCGGGGGTCAGATACATATGGTTTCCATATACTCCAGTTGTACGGGGCCTATGTGCGACACCCAGAGCAGTCACTTTGGCCTCTCTATGTGGTTCTTGAGACCAGCAGCCGTCTTCTTATGATGGTGTGGTCAAACAAATCAGGGGAGGCCTCCATCACCCCCTTCTCAGCAATGACATCCTTTCTTACACGTAAACAGTTAAAAGCTTAACTACCGGCTTCAGTTGCTTACAAATAGGCTTCCGTATGGTCGAACTGACCTCTATTGTTGATGGCAGAGGGAGCAAGCAGCACCTTGACTGGGGAATCAAATAATTTAATCATTCTGGGAGGGTTCACAGCCGTATGGCGGTCAAAAAAGCAGCTAAATGGGGTTGGCGGACTGTTCGTGAACTGTGACTAGCGCCGGTGGACAACTAGTTAGTTAAACTAGTTAACTAGTTAACTAATGACTAATTATCATCTGGTGTTCATTTTGGTGGCAATTCCCAATATCATTCATTCATGTTCCTTGCTGAGGTTCTAATATACGCAGAGTTATCTAACCTAAAAATAGGCGTTGGGTAGAACGCCTTTTGAACCTTTTTTGCACCATTTGCTGCACCACATGACCGCCAAGCCATGGACCCATGAAGGTCGCATCGCTTGCCATAACGCCTTTATCCGACTGCCACGGACTCCCGACTTCCATGAATCACGACCAGCCAACGAACGCTTCGCAGCTTGCGTCCTTTACATGTCAACACCCTGCTCTTTGCCCAAACAACGCATTTTTCCAGCTTGAGCAGATCTGCAAAAGCACGCACCGTTCTACCTTTCACCCAACTCTCACCGTCGACTATCTTAATTAACCCCTCCCTCTCCACCTCGTTCCCCGCACCCCGATCCCGTTAGCCACAGCCGTAACCTCTTCTATCCCTAGGTTCTCTAGAGTTAGGCCACCCTCTCGAGGGCCATTCACCGCAGCTCTAGTGATATATCCCTATAGAAGGAAATCCACTCTGCAGAATCTCGAAGTTCGGCCTACTCTATATAGAACCCACCTAAGCTTAGCAGTTCCAAAACATCTGTCAACATGAGCAGTCCAAAGCGGAGGATCGAAACAGATGTGAGTCCAACTGTGGGAAGAGAGGGCTTCATTGAGGATGGAATCCCTTTCCTAGATGCATAGACTAACCCCTTCAATCTACTCTTCTGGTTCCCACAGGTTATGAAGTATGGTTCCCCTTCATCCTACCCTGATGCTGCGTTGCGAGCTTGTACTAACTTCGACTGCAGGATGTATGCAAATCCACCTTACCTTCGATTGAACGTGTCATATATCCGGGGCTCGGTTGACATCAGTCCTTAACTGTTTCAACAGAATGCTTGGAAGGGTTAATTTAGCCTGCTAACAGTAGTGGTCCAGGTTGATGAGTGACTATGAGGTCACCCTGGTTAATGACAACAGTAAGTGGAGTTATATCCATTCTAATGGGCAAACATCGGGTGCAGCTAACATACTCCTTTCTACATTATAGTGTCCGTAGCATATCCCTCCTATGATAGCCTTTTAACTCAATCCTTCCTGTCAACTTTAATACAGTAAATTAACTGGGTGGTGGATTTCTAGGCAAGAATTCTACGTACGGTTTAAGGGACCGGAAGAGAGTGGGTTCTTTCTCAACTAGCTCATACGACGTAACAGGGCTGACAATATTATCACAGCACCATTTGAGGGTGGTCTCTGGAAAATCCACGTCGAACTTCCCGATCAATACCCGTACAAGAGCCCCAGTATTGGCTTCGTGAACAGAATTTACCATCCCAATATCGATGAGCTGTGAGACTATACCTGAATTAAACATTTGTTTATCTCAGGTCTAATGGAATTATTAGGTCGGGCTCTGTATGTCTCGATGTTATTAACCAGACATGGTCACCTATGTACGACATGATCAATATTTTCGAGGTCTTCCTTCCACAACTACTCCGATATCCCAACCCTTCAGACCCCCTAAATGGAGATGCTGCTGCCGTATTGATGCGGGATCCAAAGAAATATGAGGCCAGGGTTCGAGGTACGAAAAGTCGAGACGGGGCTGCGAGAACTCTACGAATTCTGTATGCTGATCGCTTTGTATCCTAGAATACGTTGCCAAGTACGCAAGCAAAGATGCTGCCGATGAAGCCGGTGAGGACACCGAATCAGACGACGAATTGAGCTCAGTTGGGAGCTATGAGTCTGGAAATGAAGAACCCGCCGGAGAAATGGACGACGTATGACGATCCTGTGGTTCCCTTTTTCGCTTTTTTTCTTGGACCTCAAGAACCAAATTTTTTTGCATATGCCTATTTAGGCTTTGGACATGGAGCAAAGAAGGATATCTGGATTTTCTGTAGTTTGCCCAACTGGACAACATCTGCTACACGGCGTTTCTTACGGAGTTGAGACAGCAATGACGGTTTGATTTTAGCCCTCCCAGGTTTTTCTCATGGTTGCCATGGGGCGATAATGCTGTGCTTCAGTGAAGGGCAGTACCAACATTATTTTCAACAGCTATTTCAAGGAGTAGTTCCGGGGAATGTTTTATTGGGTGGAGACTGACTCTGTTAAGCATTTTATTTTCTTCATATTTGTCTCCACTCTGCCCCATCACTCCCGTTTCTAGCTTTTTTTTAATCCTTTTATTTTCCAGTTGTGTTTCTTGTTTCTTGTTTTCTGATTTTTCCTTTTCTAGTTTGTTAGGCAGCATGCGGATAGTTTCTAAATCTCCTCTTTTTTTTTTTAAATAAGCTTAATTTTCCGCAGGTGCACTTCGTCATGGTTTCTCTTGGTGATGGTGTTGCAAATATTTGGAAAGGCCCGAATCTTGCTGTTGGGTAGCTCAACTTCCTCAATACCCACAGCTCTACGGATATCTCCATTATCTCAATATCAAACCAAACCACGCAGTTCAGGAACCCCCAGATCACCACTAGCTATTGAGCAGATCTGAATCGCTTCTTACAATATCCATATCAAAGTCCCTGAAATATACAGTGAGACTAAATTTTCTAAAAGGCATCTTTCCCATATAAAACGGCAGGTAATCTTAACCAACCGTTCTTCTTCCCCTCCCTAACCCCTGATTTTGACTCTAACTGATTATTATTCTACGATTAACGACAACAGGCTCTTAAGAATCAGCTAACTACCCCAATTGGTCCTATATTCTTGGAAAGGAACCTTTTTTTTTTTTTTTGGGCCAGGATATTACAGTTGTCATTTTACTCTGAAGATCGGTTTAGACATAGGGAGAGCATCTGCAGACGAAAATATTGAACAGATACAGGTCGAAAATTTCTATACATTTTTGATCCAAGATATACAATACAAAAATATGTGTCTATATATATGTATAAATAGGAGGGCAATTCATCCTCCTAGGGTATAAACGGCCAATTCAAGACGATGTTCTAGAATGGTGACCTAAAAGCAGTTATGTACCCGTTCCGATATAGGCGATTCTCCCACACCTCGTGCCCCCGCACATGGCCCCTCATTTAGCACCTCATTCCCAGGCAACACCCCATCGCAAAACGGAGCCTGCACCGATAACGTCCTCTCCCTCTCCCGACTCCGATACCCCCACCCACCACAACATCTGCCGTGTCAGCAGCATTGAACAACCCATTCCTCTCGCCTTTGACCCAGGCTTCCTCCTTGCTTTTGTGTGCCAGACCCTGGAGGGAGATGAGGAGTAGGGGGCTGAGGGAATGCATCACCACTGCAAGTGTAAATGCAGAGGTGATTATAATAAATGCAAACGAATGGTACGAATTGTGTAAGAGGAGGGCGGAGCCTTGGAGATGGTGGTTCCAAGGGGAATAGTTGGGGTATATGTCAATTCAAGGGTAGTTTGACTATCTTTCTGCGGATATCAAGATCTAACTACCCCAGGTAATGCATCATGTGCAGGCAATAAGGATAGTCGCCTGATCGCAAGGAAGCTAGGTTTAATATGTGGTGGCTGGCTGGCTTTGGAAATGGCGCATCTTTGCTGGATTGGGAAATATCTCAATCTTTGCCTGAAGACTCTTTTGCATAAGGTGATCAGAGCATTCGATACTCGGAGCAAAGTCAACAGGGGTTGAAGAATGTCCGTCATCCATCTTATCCAGACACTTGTCGGTTGGCAGGCTCAGGGTTGTGACTCGGCCCCCAAACCTGTGAACAGGTGGCTATCATCGTGCTCAGAATAACGGATATGTTATTCCATCGCCATTTCATCCCCCAAGACATGTTTCTCAGGACTCTATTAAGAAGACCCAACCTGTAGTTGGAGAAGCGCAATTGGATTGTATGGGTTGGAGAATCTGAGGAGTGGATATGAGGCCTTTGCAGAAGCTAAAAAACTGGTTAATTAGCTAAAGAATAGTTATCTAGTTCTGCTCAGCAGCTCCAACTATCTCTATCCGAATAATCATGAGCGAGAAACCCGTATATATTGGCGTCATGTACTGTACTGCACCGATTCCCTCGTCCTCAACAGTGGACAGGAAACTAACCCCGTTAGTCCTATACGAAAGATCGACGCATTAATAGAAAACCCAGAAACCATCTCCCAAGGCGATGCATAGTCGTGCGGGAGAATGGCACCGCCCTTGTGATCGAGTGGCCATTCTCAGCTAACAAAGAGAGCGACCATACGCAACTAAGGGGCATCATGCCCATGGGCTGCGTCTCGGTATTCCCCGCCGGAGAAGAGAAAGGACGAAGAAGTCAAGTCAGCATTTGCCATAAGAAATTAAACACAATTTTATTCCACTGTATATAACATATTATAGCTATGGTGTGTGTACTGATTGGATCCCCATGTTTGCCTTGCGGTTGGCATATGTCATTGTATGGGGCTTGACATGCGATCGAATGTGTAAATGTGTGGTCATTCTCCCTTCATTATGAACATACAGTCTGGAGCATATAGGAATACAAGGAAGCAAAGCCGAAATGGGAAGGGAGGTATCATTTTACAACAAGAAATAGGGGATCAAAATCACGAAGTAAGAAACTGAAAAGCAGACGAAAAATAGAAGAAGACTTATATGTAAAATGAAAAAAAAAAAAAAAAAAAAAAAAAAAAAAAACTTGATGAAACTGAACGCTTCCCGCGTCAACTTCCACACTAACAATTAAGGACTAAGTTTTTAGGCTTATTTTCTACCACTGCTATCGTTTAAACTGAAAACTGGAAAGGACAACATCTGTCATCGCAATAATGAAACATAGCGAGGAAAATGTTAGGGAAAATGAGGACGAAGACAAAAGAAAAACGATAGCCTGGCAGCTGATTCTAAAATGGGTTTGAAACAACAGCAATCTGTGGGCATCGAAAGAAAATGGATATGTGAATAGGGATTAAGGCCGACAAAGGGTCGAAATGGAATAACAAAAGGAAGAATTTATATGAAGAGCAAAGACATGATGTCTAGAAAGTAGTTCAAATGGCCAACAGGAAAAAGAAAAGTGGGCAGCCGGAGGCAGTTTTAGGAAGGCGGAAGTAACGGAATAAAACCATTCTCCGCAGGCGTAAATATTGTGCTTGGAATACATATCAACTCCGGGTGAATTCCCTTCTTCTCCTTTTTTGTCGTACATTAGTTCCACATTTTCCAGCGATATTCGGGAAAAGTCTTATGATCGAAGGACGAGATTCTGCAGATGGCGAACGAACATGCTCCTGGGTCGAATTAGGCGTGTCGCGGTTAATCATCGAATTGTTGATTACGTCCTCCTCAACGGGTAAATTGAGGAAAATGGGCGCAGATCATAGCAGATGCATTTGACCAACATCGTCATGTAACGCTTGTTTTTCTTTTTAAGTTCTTCCCCATTCGCTTTAATCCACAACCAACACTCCGAATAGGTCCTTGGACTTGCCGCCGTTCCGATCGGTATTCACACCGGGTCTTGTCTTCTTACCCTTTCTCGTCGTCATCACCACCTCTCCCCAATGTTTTGGCACGGCTGATAAGTTAATATTCTTTGACGTAGTCAGTGGTGCATAGCGAAGCCTCCCAAATTCTCCTGGGACCGGCGACGCATCCCGCCTCGCGCCATCTGCTGGACTCTGTGTTTTTTGTATGTGGGGGGGATATTGAGGTGATACGGAATATTGTTGCCCGTCTGAAGTAGCTGATGTGGCTGTCTCGTGGCTTGCTACTCTTGAAGAGGATGCGGTGGAGGCGTCTAGGGACAGAGTGGCATATCCGGACTGGTGAGGTTGCAGCGCCCAGATGTCAACCACAGAACTATGGATGTTGATAATGGTGATTAGTTAAGGTGTTTTTGAGCTCGTGATAGCCAAGTTTTGTTGTCAGATGGCCATTTATATGTATGAGAGCAGACATACTCTGACGTTCGCTGGCATATCGCCTCCAGAGCTTCTCTCTCCCGTTTCAGATATTCTGGATCGCGAGCCTGGCGTTGAACTGACCCCACACTCCCATACCCGTAGCCTGACTGGTATAGCTCATCGTCGAGGAGTCGGGATGATTCAGACTACACAAAGTCAGTAAGGGATTTTATACTTAAATACGGAAGCAAGAGCCTGCGAAGCTTCGTCGCATTGAAGGACAAGAGAAGGTAGTGCCCGGGCGATGGGTAGAAGCAAAACCCGGACGACCCTACAACTCACATCATGGCTATCTCTCCCGCCCCGACCCAAGCAGGAAGCGCACACGCCCATTTATTGCGACAGGGTAAGACGCTCTGCTGCCGATGGAACCTAGATAGAAAGACGGTTCTCAGGTTCTGCGAACGAGGAGTAAACAGGACGTAAGATTGACTATATTGTGACAACCGGGGAGCTAGTCAGGCAAGAGGCCTGGGGAGATAGTCATTGAGGCGTCCGAAGAATCTTCATCTGCCGAACGAGGAGGGGTTGAATATTTGGATCGGTGCTTTATGCAGGATGAAAAGAATGAAGTTGGGGGATGATTGAACTGGCAGCATCACAAGAATAGGCAGGGCCTGGCTCCCTGCTGACCAATCAACCGCCTTGTCCAACGCCTACAAGATTCACTTGTTTAATTATACCAACCACTTGAAATTTGACAACCCAGACTCTAACTTTACGTTGCCGTGTTATATATTATTTTCGTATAGGAAGAACTCCGTAGCTATGGAAGTCTAAAGCGCAGAGAACAGAATATAGCTTTAATCGGCATCTTGCCTCAATATCTCGCGATTGCGGTCCCACCTTCAAATCTCTTCCATCTACTTCCCGTTCAGCACCTGATATGCAACCATGGCAGAACGGAAGCCGTGGAGAATTTCCAAATTCGAAAATCAGCGAAGACAAACTCTGGTTGTCCAAGGGTTTCACTAGTCCTTTTCTCGATGCAAAGTTATTGGTCGTTGTAAGACACTATTCTCGATATCCGTGATCATTTATAACCATCCACCAAATGTGGTGTGACAGAAATTGTAGACGTCATATGGAGATCCTGCTAAATTTAAATGACGGGAAGACGAATCTGAATAGGAGATATCAACATTAATCCTGAAGCAATTCTGCCAAATCTTGACCTTATAATCCTATTGGGAGATAGTTCTATAAAATTCAGTGTCCTTTGTTGAGAAGTTGAGAAGAATTCCGCGAAGATCGGATTTGGCCGCATAAAAGAGCGTGGAAGTAAATAAATAAACCGTTCCAAGCTCAAATCCGGCTAAAATTTGTCACTTCCGCCCAACGTCTCCGCTCCGGCGCCCAAATCTGAATATAGCCACTCTTAATCAGTTCCCATCTCCACTTGTGTCTTGCATCTCTTTACAAATAGCCATTACAATCTAATAAAATCCTTACATTTTAATCTCTTTGCGACTCGGGCATAATGTTCGACCTCCCAGACGCAAAGCGGTACGTAATGCGCCGTCCATATTCCATCAATCATCACCAGTCACTATCCTTATTTGGATATGACCTCCCCAAATAAATCCCCTAGGAAACATAAGCGAAGATCAATCCATTACATGCTTAATGGTTGATTTCTAACCACCTACCTCGCTAACAGCGTACGTCGCGAGGATCTACGGGACCGTCACTCATCATCCCGCTCCCCTTCTCCAGTCGAACGCATCACTGCCACATATGCAGCAAACACTCTACGAGACATATTCTCATCAATAGAAACATATACTCCGCCTGACTTGAAAGAATCGCGTCCCGCTGTTGATTTGGAACATATCCAAGATGAAGAGGAGGAACAGGAATTCGAGTTTAGGCTTTTTCATTCAGCAGCACTGCCTGCTAGAAAGGGCTCGACAGACCAGAAGCCAGGGGATGGGGGGAAAATTGCCAATAGACCAGTTGATGGTGTACATATGAGTCCTAAAGAGCACAATGAAGCAGCAGACGCTGGTATTCAAAGGTTTCGTATCAGGCTACGATCTCCAACACCTGCCGCGAGGGATGAGAAGGGAGAGTTTGTGATTCCGTTTCGGGGCTGGGAATATTACTTTTCAAACCCAGAATGGATTAAACGGAAATCGGCGGTAAAGCAGGGAGAAGGGCAGAGGTTTGAGTTGGATACGCCAGGGAGGGAGCGATTCATCGATGCGGCAGTTAGTGGGAAATCAATAATTGAACACTCGAAGAATGGTCCATGGGTAAGCGCACCTGAGATTTAACCTCCCCCCTTTCCGTCATGTACATCGTCTCGATTTGAGCAGGTAAAAATATCAGCGTACAGAGAAGGCAAAGAGTGGAGATGCGAGAGATGGTCGAACAACCTCGAAGGTATCATAAATTAATTGATATATCGAATTTAGCCCGGTTGCCATCTTCCCTGGCGAGTCATCCACCTAAAGACTATTGCTCCATCCAGAAAGAAGGATAAAGGGCTCTCTGACCCTGCACAAGCGGCGAATGCTACATTGATAAACATGTCGTCCGCTGTAGAAAAGGTGCCCAAGTCTAAAAAAAAACCTGGCAAAAGGCGGCGAATAGCCATTCGACGGCGTCTAGCCACTGCCAAGATAGCGGAAGAAGCGGACAGGGAAAAGCGGGCAAGGAGGAACCGGGAGAAGAAGATTAAAAGGAGACAGAAAGAGAAGGAGAAGAAGGCTGCTCTTCGTGAGGCGGCTGGGGGTCAAGAGAAAACTAAGGACGGAGATTCGGCGGAGGTTGATACGAGTGATTAGAGGGCAACAAATATCACTGCATAATTTTTACTGGCCATCGTAGGCAAGTAACGAGAAATTTTCCGTGATACCCATGTTCTTGATGCTTCGAACATAACGTACACTACTCGCATATTACCATTTTAAGTGCCTATTTCCACATTTCCTTGATCATCCCCCTTCGCTTGGATGTCTTCTTCACAAGTCATACGATATTTCACATAACTCACAATGCTCAATTGATTATGAAGTCTTCTCCCCCAAAATAATGTTTTTCCCACAGCATTCCTTCAATCACCAAGGTTCAATCCCTGACACAGCAAACATTTCGCTCTACGGAAAGCCGAGAGCAACTAATGACATCATCTATTTGAATCTCTGGGTATAGGAATTTAAGAGACAACAAACCACCGTCCACAATATCGATTTTTGTATTGTGGAAAGGCAGTATATGGGCACATTATAGCACTAGTCCTGTACGGAAATAATGCTTACCGGTCATGTAATTATTGCGCGCTGCATCCCGATCTTCTCTCGTAGAGGCCTGTAGATCATATCTTTCCTTACTCCCCATTTCAAACAATCCAAAACGTGACACACTGAAATGCCAGCAGAGATAAACTAACCTCTGATTTCACCATTGCCTGCTAAAGAGTGGCGGAGAAGAGAAAGACAGTTCATTGCGATCAACCAAAGTGAGCGCTTGCATTCCCACTCTTGCTAGTCAACAACTCAATGCACCACATAGTAATGGTTCCCACATCCAAAAATACCCCGGATTACACGCCATCGCAGTAAGAAATATACTTTGTAAGGCTTCTCCATCTAGCCCTGTTTGCACCTCAACTTGCAAACCTGCATCTTACCCCTATCACAATTGACATAGATGATGCAGCACAGATCAAAGACAACCTCTGATCAAACATTGATTTTTTTTTTCCAAGCAGGCAGCACCCTCGACTCTTCCCCGAATCGCTGCCCGGGCGACCTGAAAATGTCGTGGAAGTGGGCGTCCCACCGGTCAACGGCGTTATCTGAAGAAGACCGCAGGGAATATAAGCAGGTCCTGTCTCAGGTCAACTTTAACATGAAGCAGCATAACGCGCGTGTCGGCCTCGTCTTGACTGACACTGAGTTAGTAACAATTAAAAAACTAGACGGGAATGGCAACCTTTTGGTGGCACAGTATATATCGTGGGAAGACAGGTACGCTTAACTATTCCTTTGGGACTGTAGGTTTCTTGGGATGTTGGGGGCGGAATGGATAATGACTGGCGGCTTTGATAAACAGTCGCGAGGCTCAACAAGAGGTACAGAATTTCTGCCAGAGATTGTGTTGCAAGTAGTACTTTGCATCTGGGCGGAGGCCCCTCTTTTGATCATCTGCCTGTGAAGCATACTAGACGCAGAAATGGATGGGAAAAAGCTGTCTGCCACTCAGGGAAACTAGCAATCTTCATTCCAAAGTCTTTGACGCAACTTTGACGCATTCAGTGCCCTCCTTAATCCAGCCACGATCCCTGTTTCTAATATATGTATAGCTAGTATAAGTGATGGCAACATCAAAATCAATCTAAACAACTCTTTCTGAGTCGCCCAGAATGATGAGAACGTTCCTAACAAAAAGGGTGCAAAACAAAAATAGTCTGGGGTAAGCATCATTGTGTTCAATTAAAGCTGAATGAATTTGTTGGATGCCGATGATGGTTTTGTTCATACACTCTTTGCTGTAAGTACCACAGTTCATCATCAAGGGACCTGGAAGATACTCCATCAAAAACTCACTTGGAAGGCCACCATCACGTTGAAAGGCATCAAGGTGAGGTGCAGAGCTGGTTGAATTTACAGAAGCATAAACCTGTAAATCTTTAGCACATAGCCGTCAACAAGAATTCCAAATAGTTCCAGATTGCAATACGCCCCTGATCTTGTAATGAGAGCGATTCAAATCACGCACACCATTGCTAGCATATCCCTCCAGAGAGAAAATGCAACCGAGAAGCCTAAAGATTCGCCAACACGTCATTAGCGAGGGCAGAGCTGAGGCCCCCATCATACTATCTCGTGGGGGGATGCGGAAATGATACGCTACTCCCGTTGAGCTAGTTATATCCCACGTTGGCCACCACTTCAAAACGTTCTGCTTTGGAAAATGCTCCTTCTGATACACAACGTAACTAGAAGCAGCGGAGAGGCAAAATGCGGAATAGTAAGTTCGACCTGGCAGGTGTTTCAGAATTTTAAGGCAACAGACATATAAATATGCTTCCGGGTAGTGACAGGCAGAAAAGCATGTGGTTGCGAGGTTTATGTTGTATAGAGATGCACTGACGAGGTTGGTCTCCATATTGGAGGAAATTCAGTCTTTGGGTTGCGCTTGAGCTAATTAACTACCCTCTCCACATGGTTGCGGGACATCCCGTAACTTACCAGACGGTTAATTAACGTTAAACAAAGTGGGGCTGGACCCGATCTACGGAACAAAGGCACACAAGTCTGGGATGGGAAGGCCTGATATTCTCTACACTCAGCATCAAAATAAAGGGTTAAACGGATGGGATGAAAAATTGACATATTGTAGTCTATTCAAAGTTAGGATTCAGTAACTAATAAGCCTTTTTCTTTTTCAGAGAAAAATGCATGCGTGTCTACATAGTCTACATAGATACTTGATGACATGGCAATGCAGTCCCCGATGCTAGGGCTCTTATCAAGAGAAGTTGTTTTGCAGCATTGGAGGAAATTCAGTGTTTTGTGTTGCTCTTGAGCTAATTGCCCTCTCCACATGGCTGCGGGACATCGGTTGACAAGTCAGGGATAATAAACATTTGAATTCCCATTTGATACAATTATATGCACGAAATAAATGACCAAATATACTGAAAAGAAAAGGAGGTAAAATTTCTTATGCAAAGAAAGAAACCGTGAATGTGAGAGTGACTTTGACTTACTTCTGAACGAACAGAGAAACGTAAACAGCTGGATAAATAGGTTCCAAGATTGTGAGAACAAAAGAGAGAAGGGGGAAATATGACGAATACGATCCGAATAGGAAAATAAGTCCCCATATGTAGTTGTGCCCAATTTGCCAAATACTCAATATCATAGACGTATTGACGCATTTTTTTTAAGACACGGAGCCAAGGGTGCTGCCCGTAGTAACCAGAGATGCTTATTTGGCCCGTAATTAACCCTCCCAAGTTCTCAAATTGCATAAGAACTGGCGGCTTGATGTGGCTCAATAGGTCTGCCGTCATCCTAAATGACCTCCCAACGTGGCGGCTTGTGCACCCGCTTTAGACTCCGGTAGAAACAACGAGGCTCTCGGGCTGATCATCTTAACCCAAGATAATTTGGTGACTTACGTGACATAGCTTTGGTTTGAAAATTCGAATGGAAATCACTCCACCGGGTCGCGGAGCTTCGACGTTGAAACCTTCCACTGCGAAACCTATAGGTAAATGACCGTCCGAAACGCTCTCCTCAATTCTTCTCAGAATCTCTAGTTAGATTGGTCGCATTCGGGAATCGCTTCAGGTGGCGGAAACCCCCCTCGTCATCGTTCGGACCATCCTGGACAGGAGGAACACTTTTTATTGAAGTCTGTATGTTGGAATGGCATAGCTATTGCTGCAGAAGCGGTGGAACATATCTTTCAACTACAACTGATCATCTCTCAAGTGGTTCATAGAAAAATATGAGCTCACGCTCGATTTAGTGTAGATAATCTCGGAAGTGTTAATACTTATATGAAATAAGCACAGAAGAAGTAAGGAAGAAAATGCGGTATTTCGATGGCTCAACTTCAAATGTGATGTCTCGAAATCTATACTTTAGGGACAACGGATTTATATGCAATTCTCATCTCCAGTGGATAAGAGAATCAGTTGAATTGCCAATCATATATTGAAACCATGCCATTGCACGTGCAGTGCAAGTATTACACTCGCTAATATGTGAACTCCACGAATCTCTGATTGAACGACATATAACAGTGCTCATTCACAGAGAGATAGATTTCAATCCAAACTCCATCCGTTCAATAAGGAAAAAGCTTATTATGCTTGTAGTCCCTACGAAGCGGAGCAGCTTGTTGACTCAAAGATTCAAAATCCATGTCACCAAGAGGTCGAATGAATTAGGTCAACTTGCTGACTCTCAAAATGTTTGATACGTCATCATATCTGCAACTGGGATTTTGCCTAGTTCCACTCCTTCAGCCCCATCATCGACATTCGATCGAGACCGGCACGAACTATGTAGTGATTCTCAGATAAACATACGCGCAGGAGATGCATGAATAATAGATATAACGGAGGTATCATTACCGTTATGCGTGTCAGCTGATAAGTGAGGCATATGGAATATTCAACGCGATAAAAGAGAGTTCATTTCAAGGAACAGATTTCTCCGTCAAGATTCGAAGTTGTCAACAGCTAGATTAGAGCTCTAGACTCTGTTTTAGATATTTCAGCTTTTGCAACAACGATGTATTGAGTAGCAACTGTTTCGAGTTAATGGGTATGAGTTATATATTAAAAGCAAACATCAATGAACCCGAGAGAAAACCTCACCATCAAAAGTAAACGATAAAATCCGGGAAACTAGAACCAAAGGCCACCGTGCACAGCAACGACTTTGCCACATTCCATCGCAGCAATATATTGATAACCCGAAAACTCTGATATCTAGAAATACTCAGGGTGTGCTTGAACTTGAAACACTGAGCGAGAAATAACAGAAAAGCGGGTATTATGCAAGCCAGACTCATTGAAAATAAAAAAAAAAATAAAAAAAACCTACAAGCTGACGCAGCACCGGCATAGAAAGCATATCAGCAAAGTAAAACGAATAGAAAACATAACAGGTACAAAAGATCCAATGGGTAGGAATTCTGAAATGTACAGATATTCCGATGCGAAATATCAAAATGTTACAGTCAATTGTGGCCAGATAAGGGGACTCAGTCATGTCAGGGTAAGGGCATGCAGATCACGTTCTATGGTGTCTGTGGCATCGGAGAATAAAGCAGAAAATGGGTTTGAAATGTTGTCAACACATTATCAAAAGGGTATCCTGAGCTGAAATATGTTTACGAAGCGGGAGCTGCAGGAGCCGGAGCAGTTTTGGTGGCATCTGTTGGTTCAGCGTCGGCCTTTGCGGATTGGGCATTTTCAGCGGGCGCAGGTTCAGCAGTCTTGGGGGCTCCGGTAGGAGTATCTGCGGCAGTAGCATCAGGCACATTAGAGGTGGCGGCTGGTGCAGCCGAAGAAGCAGCTACATTTGAGGTTTGACTACGATTAGTTTTCTGATACGATCGCGCTACCAACTGGAAGTATGGGGTGTCCAATTACCGTCAGTAGCGGGAGCCGGTGTTGGAGTAGCATTCACAGCTGCTGGGGTTGCTTCTTTTGCCGGTTCAGGAGCTGGAGTGGCTGAGGTGCTGGCATCTGCTGCAGCAGGCGTGGGTTCTGTCGTAGGAGCAGTATTAGTGGTTGCAGAAGGCGCATCCGTGGGGGCAGGTGTTGCGGCAGCCCCTGGAGTATCTGCAGGAGTCGCAACTGATGCTGCCTCGGGAGCCGGAGCCGAGGTGGAGGTAATATCCGCGGGAGCAGCTGGCAGCCCTGAGGCGGCTGGTCCGCCTGCAGGAGCGGCCTCTGCTGGTTTAGTCTCTGCGGGCTTCGTCTCCGGTGGAGGAGCTGCGTTCGTAGCAGCAGTTGTCGCAGTGGCTGTCGCCACAGGTGCCTCCGCTGCTGAAGCTTTTTGGGATGCTACTCCGCGTCGCTTACGATTCTTGAAGAAGTTCTTGAACCCTTTCTTCAGCTGGTCAAGCGCGTCAGATGCTATTCGAGAGTCAGGCTACGAAAACCAGTCGAAAGCAAAGTCCGAAGCGTATGGGTCGATCTCCGTCAAGGAGGCAAGCGGCCTAGAATGGTGGTATAACTTACGAACACCGGGCATGATTAAGAGTGGTGTGGACGCCGGGTGTGGAGCGGAAAGGGGAAGCAGGATAAAACACCAGGATTAAGAATTGTTAGTTATATATTGCGCAGGCAAAAAACAGAAGCGGTCGTTCTAGACTATATAGCCGTTCAAACTTCAGAAAAATCGATGGTGAGGACACAAAACTTGACATTTGACTTGCAGAGGGAGAAGCAGAAAGGAACAGACGTGGCGCAGTGCAGACGAAGTGAGGAGGTTCGGCTTTTTTAAGCTCCAAATAACCTGCACGGGATCATCAATGCCCGTCCGTCATGGCGGGTTGAAAATGAAGAAAGGAGAGAGAGACATGTGACATGGTCTTGTTTGCGGACTAACTAGTTTTAGTGTTTGAAACTCCCCATCGTTGCCCCTATTATTTTCCCGCATCCACCACAACTGAAACATCTCACGTCCGCTGGCATTTACAACTTTCAATCGACACTTGTAGCTAACCTGCTCCGTATGGGCTCTGGAATATGGAGACTCCAGACACACCCCCAGTGAGGAGCTTTTTACCATCATTCGAGGGTTCTCTTGAATTTGCTGTCTCACAGTTACTGTTTTGCAGTAACCCCACCATTCATGTGTCGCTCCTAACTCTGTCCAACCTTTATATTGACAGCCTGACAGAATATCTGCATGACCTAAAGTTTTATGCGCTTCTGATTGGAAAATAACGATACATTCTCAAGCAGGGGCCTGTTTTCGCTGAACGAACATTCATTCGCAGCTTGTTCCATGGTACGTTCCTGAATCTTAATGAACCGCAATTAGCTACCAAGCTTTAAAACAACCGCTGCTTAACCGTCCTATGTTTAAAGACCTAACCAGGGGTGCCCCTTTGTAATTCTTTTCTTTTGTATAATTCCTTCTTGTGGTTTGTGAATAATCCAACACACAGAGATTAGAGAGGGAGGGAGGGAGAGAGGGAGAGAGACACAGACCCAACTGAGCAATCTCAACCCTTGGATTTAAAATGAAGCAAAGACACGCGGGTGCGCCCCAACAACCAGTTGATCTTGTGTTATGAAATACAATTCTCTCCACTAACCTCATAACACGCAAATAGTCAACACTACTAAACATTGCTCTGTGCGACTGCTATCGATACAAGGCTCATAGAACTCGGTCCTTCCCAGCTTTCTTAGACTCCGCAACAGCGTCTGTGTTCTTGTCTGCGTGCTCGTCTGCGTGCTCGTCTGCGTGCTTGTCTGTGTCCTTGTCTGCGTCCTCGTCTGCGTGCTTGTCTGTGTCCTTGTCTGCGTGCTCGTCTGCGTCCTTGTCTGCGTCCTTGTCTGCGTCTTCGTCTGCGTGCTCGTCTGCGTCCTTGTCTGCGTCTTCGTCTGCGTGCACGTCTGCGTGCTCGTCTGCGTGCTCGTCTGCGTGCTCGTCTGCGTGCTCGTCTGCGTCCTTGTCTGCGTCTTCGTCTGCGGGTTGGGTAGTGGTGGCCTCTAGGTTTACTTTGTAATCTGCAGGCATAATCGCTGTCGAAACTCGAATTTCAACATAAGTCTTCAATCCATAAAGAACGTGCGCATCTCGAATCCAATTAAACAAACAGCTACCAGTTCCTCCCATCGCCCCGAACCCATTGATATCGACCAGTCGCCCTTCCATACCAGGCGTCAAAAGGAAGTCGAATACGAACCCACGAGTGTGGATATCATGCGACACGGTTCTATCGGGTATCTGCATGGAATATTCAAGAATCTCATATCGAAGGCGATTTGCGCACTGAAAGACAACCTTTGCCAACCATATCATATTTTCAATTGTGCCATTGGGGAATGGAGTGAGCCAATGTCTCTGTGAAACGGCAGTCACGTGTGGAGAACCTGGGGGACAAAACGCTCGAAATTCAAGGGACTGGCGGAACGTGTCGTCGAATGGGATTAAGAAGAGCTTTGGCTGTTGTTCTACGTCAATCAGGAGCGCCCCGTGCGCCAAAGATGATGTGCAAAGGCGCCAGACAAGCTCTTTGAGCGACGTGACTGGTAACTTTTGTTCAAGCTCATCTGTTGGGTTTGTAAGATCGAGACGACAGAACCATTTCTTTCCAGGCCGAAAAACAAAATCTATCGGCATATCCGACATAGTTTTCGGAAAATGCGCTGCAATGTGAGCAATCCGTGTCTCGTCCGCCTTGTCCTCCACTAGCCAGTGGTAATTCGCTTCTATTATCTCCTCAATTACTAGTTTTGGCAATTCGAAGACATGCCACTCGTCGTACCCGTTATGATTCATTATCGCCTTGGCCCAATGGCTATATCGCTCGACATTTGGCATCACATTTTCGTGTTTTCGCCCTGGCTCTTCTGGAATGACGGCGCAGATTTGCTCGTGGGTGTGGCTATGAGAGTTACAGCACATGTTGGTGCTCATCGTTGGGTCATTGGAAAATCCAACCAAAAGCGTTAGGTGGTAATGTGGAAAAACCGTAAGAGCTAGCGTCCCGCCCTCCTCAAAGGACATTGGAATGATAGTCCCTAACATTTGGCTGGGGTACCCTCTATGCGGCGAGTAAGTATAAAAGACAGGAAGAGAAAAAATAATGACTAACAAACGTGATAACTCTAACGATAGCAGAACTTGTTAAATGGCTAGTATGCATATGAACTATACATGCACCCGATTCATTTGGAAATATCCAAGTGTTGGGAGTGCCGAATTCATGAGAGCGAAGGACTTTGAGGGAAAGGAAAACTCGCAAGCAGAGTCCTTTGTCGTTTCCTTACCGGGGCCTCGAGCTTATGTATTTCTCGGCATCTCGCCCCTCCCCAGACATCCATTTCTGAGAAGTCCAGCCCGGCCCTGGGTAAAAATGGCTTCTCGTGATGTCCCTTCTCTAAGGAAATTGCTGGGACTCCCGTCACGCATGTTCAGCAAGAGGAACCTATGTGCAGAAGCCCAGCAGGAAGGTGCATTATTTTCTGTCGGCCAATGTTGGCACTATACTTTGCGCATACTTTCGTCCACGGGTGCACTCATCAAATACCAGAAGTGGATGCTGTTGTAATCGTCATTGCTTCGATCCATTCCAGGGCTGTCATCACGCGGTTTGTGGGGCCTGTTCACTGCTTATAGCTTAAGCGTTATTCTGTCCCCAAGTGCCGTTTCTGTCCCGACGCAGAATATCATTCGTGTCGGGTATACTTTTCATTATATCCTCCGAGAAATTCAATGAAGATCGAAAGATCTCTACTCCGGAGCTTCGAAGGCTTTCTCTGACGGACTGTCAAGCATCGTCTTTTGCTGACATAGTCTTACTAATGTTCTCAAATAGATTCCTCAACAGGTACAAGTTATTCAACATCTAGGACACGTCAAAGGAACCAATTGAAACGAACTTGAATATATTTCTTATCTAGTTTCCAATGTCAACCACTTCATTCTCACTAACTACCGCTACTATATTATCGTCTTTAAGTATCTTTCAACTCAGCTATTTTGAATAAGAACTCTGATTCTCTCACTTTGATTTTACATGTCACAATTATCAGCCTCATTCTTAAGTAGTATTATTATTATTTATTCATTTTAGATGCATGCAATCAAAGATGATAATATCCATCTGCTTAAACTAGGATTTAACTATGTTTTGAATCTAATCAACAAACATAACTTGAAACATACAATTATGAAATTTTATTCCAGGATGATATAGAATTTAAAAGAAGTTATAATAGAAGACAAGCTTATACAGTCTCAATTTAATGAAAAAATAATAAAACAATCAAAATGAATATCACAAACAGAGAAAAACAAACATTACAAAGAGAGTATTGATAAATAAAACATATAGAAAGTGATATAATATTTAAATTTAATATTTACTAATTATATACTTTAAGTTTTATTTGAATTTAAGATTCATTTTTTCTATAATATTAGAAACTTTCTTCCTAATTCATCATTAAAAATATATATATTCTTTAATTGATTAATAGAGTATTTCTATTTTAATTTCTTTTTATTATTTAATAAATAATTTATTAAAAAATAATCTGAATTTTCAACTAAGTCATAGAACTCTTATCTGTTTGAGTTTATAAAAGTCTTTTATTTTTTTAATAAGTTTAGTTTCATTTTTCAAGAATAAAGCTCTTATCCAGGTACCATTCATCGTATTTGGTGACCTGGAAAGTCAACATCCCCGTGAAAGTCACGGACAAATCACGACTGAAGCGCATTGATTTTCTGGGCGTGGGAACACTGGTGGTGAGTCTCGTTCTATGGGCTTGAGTTGCGGAGGCAATCAAGTCCCCTGGAACCATCCGCTCATCTGGACAACGTTGCCGTTCATTGGAGTGTTCTCTCGTTGTTTTTATCTCCATTGAAAAAAAGTATCGCGACAGAGTCCGTTAAATCGGTCCGTTTCCTCCTGGATCGCACTATTCTTTCAGCCTGTTTAACTCACTGGTTTACCACCATGGCTGTCATTGCCGTGCTCTTCTACGCCCCGCTTTACCTCTCGGCGACTATGACAGGACTGCGATTAATCCCTCAGGCAGTAAAGGGTGCTGCTGGATCCTTGGGGCTTGGGTATCCTGATGCGCGTGGCCGGTCGTTACCTTTACTTCAAATATGCGTCCACTTTCTTGCTTGTTCTGGCTTCCTCACTAATTACCACGTACACCCTCACGACCCCTTCTTGGCATCGGTTTCTTTATTTCTTCATTTTTGGTCTGGGTTATGGCGGCATGCTCACCGTGACACTTGTGGCATTGATTTCTGCGGTCGAGCACAAGCACCAAGCCGTTGTAGCATCAGCTTCATACGCATTCCGGAGCTCGGGAAGCTCGATAAGTATCACAGCTGCTTCAGCTGTTTTTCCAGAATCTGCTCAAATGCAGGTTATGGTCTCGGTTTGGAGACCGGGAGGGTGCGATTGAGATAATCCAGAAGATCCGTAATAGCCTCGATTACATCAATAAGGGTGCCAGCGGACTGGGCATCCTGGAGTATTAGACTCTTACATGGATGCTTTAAGGGCTTTGTTTGTTTCCAAGTTGAGTCTGGAAATACTGGGTTTTGGTGTCAAGTCTTTATGAAGGAATAAACCCCCCATAAACCTTGCGAGGAAATGAAATACTGGAAGGGCGTAATCATATACCCTTCTTTTTTTGTGTGGGCTTCGATACCTTTTATAATTCTCCATATAGACGATAAGGCGTTCAAAAGATATATTGGGTTGGGTTTCGGTACTTCCATGTGCTTTCGCTTCGGGATTTCATTGGGCCCCATAGAACTGCTCTATTCTCACTCGCGGGAAGATTCACACACAATTCTTGCATGTTACTTTTGTAGATATATGGCTAAGATTTGCATTACTCACCAAATTCTCAATATGGATACAAATGGCGGCAATGCGCAAGCCCAAGAAGGATACGCAGACAACGTTTCCTAGACGGCGGTGGATCCTTTACGATCCCCAATCCCGGCAATTGTATGACGTCGAGTGCTCGCTTTGCCGAGCGTCAGCCAAATAGTTACCTCCACTCGTCTCTCGAGTTTGTCCACAGAGGAACACATCTAACTACTACAATTTTTATTTAAGAAATGAATATCGTATTGTAGTATTGCAGAACATAGTTGAGATCATTGATATGACAAATACAAGATCCAAGCAAAATCCCAAAACCCCCGTGCTTATAAATATCTGCGCTCTGTGTCTGTAGAAGAAGATGGCGGTGGCAATAAGCCCACGCTTATTTTTGGCAAGTCGCCAATTTGGTGGACTTTACTGAACACTCGAACCATTATGCTTTTCCGTCCGTAACTATTGTCAAGTCTCTTGTTCTCCTCCAACCTTCTTTCATATTCCAGATAGAATCATTGCTGACAACGAATCTGCGTTGTCCTCCGTAGTTTCTGAAGAGACATTCATTTAACATCACCATTAAACCTCCAGATTGATCCTATAGACCCTGTGTGATACACAACCCTTTTGGACTAGCTTCATCCTGCAATCTACGGATAAAACGTCCTGATTCAAGCCGCTATCAGAGCGGACAGCCTGTCAGTGACTGAGAGTGAGATACAAGTCTTTAAACTCGTATGTGTCTACCAAATCCCCCACTTTCGACGGATGTGACTTCCGATGACAAAAATTGAACATAAATCACCCTGTCATTGAACGTGGCACCAGTCCACCATCCAGAGACAGCCAACGCAAGCAGAGACTGTTAGGACCCTATTTGATGCGCACGTAACTTCGGGTCTTTCCACCTACTCACTGGTGTTTGTTGGTGATTTGCAGTATATCGACCCAAGCGACAGACAAGCCCCTACGAATCGAACAATCGAATACGTTGCGTTTGAAATACAGGCCCAAGTTCGTCGATAGGGGTAGAAGGGGTTTGAGAAATATAAGGGAATCCCTTCCGTGATCAAAACAGCTGTCGCAACAAGGGGAAGAGCGTGGAGCACACGAGAGGTTATATACTGTCGCGAAATTCGCCGGACGACTGACCTGTGCTACGTACAAACCTCAAAATTATGAATTTATCGATCCAACTTCCCATTGCTGCGGAAATTACAACTAGCTATTCAGGTACATGAGAAAGAGTTAGGAAGAGATAGGGTCCTTCGCGTGAATAAGGCAGAAGCCACAGCAAGCTTGACACTTAGCAGCGGATCTGCGAACTCTTACGGCCGCAATTTTTCAAACTTCTGCATATTTTTTTTAGCCTCAGATTTCAAGGTGCTGAAACTAACAAATAGATTGGTAAGGATGCCAGGTGTGGTGGCCCTTGAGAATAGAGATGAGGATATGGACACTGGGGGCGACGACTCCCATACCAATGGAGTCAAAAACGATCATGTTATGGGAAGGCTCGAAGTAGAACTGGATAGAAGCTGTTGGCCGCCGTCATTCCCATTCGCTTATAATAACAAACTTCGAAAACGGGTGCTTATTTCGACCACTGCATCCTTTGCAAATGTTGCGATTCTTTTTCTTATGAAAATACCAGATATCGAACTGCGGGTCATATCCGATGATGTTTTGGATCTTGCACAAATAACAAGGGAGGCTGCCTGTTATGCTGACACACCTGTTCCAGCTCAACCCGGTTCCAAATCGAATTCACGGTCTTGGATAAGTGTTACCGGTGCGGAGTTAATCAGCTGGGCGGATATGTTGATTCTCAGCCCTATGGCTGCCGGAACATTGGGGGCCATGCTAGCAGGCCTCACCACAAGTCTTACATTGACAGTTTTACGAGGGTGGGATATTACGAAAACGGTCTTGCTGGTGCCTGGAATGACCTTGTCAGAATGGCAATTCCCACTGACCAAGCGGCAGCTCAACGACTTAGCATCGTCTTGGCCGTGGGTAAGGGTTCTGCCCCCGATTCTTTCCGGATATAAGCCTCCCACTGGGTTGGTAGAAATTCCCTGGGATAGCTGGGCTATGTTTGGCAACGAAGTTGGGAAATGCCTCGGTTATTCATCAATTCCTATCAGCATACAGGAAGATGAAAATTTGGCCAAGAATAATTTCAGCCGCGATGGGAGGGACTTATCAACTGACCGCGACAAAAACGCCCAACAACGGAACAGGGAGCTTTCTCATAGCAAAGATACTGAGATTTGCACCAATGGCCTTGCCAAAGAGAAGACCATCCTTCCCCCGGAAATATTGACTATGATATTTGAGATCCTTGATGACTGGGAAACAGCAACCTCGGTCGGCATATATACTAAGATTCCGATGCCCCGGAAATGGAAAAATTACATCCCTACGTCGATGAAACCCTCCACAATTGAGTACGCTGTTCTTCGCGGGTCAATGAAAGAGATTGAACAACATCTCTCCAAAATTCCAGCCTGCAAGCCATTATCCATTCTTGTCACAGATCTGATCCTTAAGTTCTCCCGAACAGATATTCTGGACTATCTCCGCAAATCGCGAATGGATCTGTATTTAGCGACACCCCAGCTCAAAAATCTTCCCTTGTCGGTGTCAGCCAAATTCGGCAGCACAGCCATCCTTACATGGTGGCAGAATTGCTCCGCACTTCCGACACTCCCTGTAAAAGACTATCTCCCTGAAGCGATCGACGCAGCCTCACGCGCCGGTTTTGTGCATATGCTAGAATGGTGGCGCAAATCTGGCCTTCCTTTCCACTACACAGAGCGCTCCCTCGAGTCAGCCTCCGCGGAGGGCCGCATCGCCGTCCTCGACTGGTGGAAAAACACCTCAAAAACGGCACCGCCTTATGACCCAGTCCCTCTGAAAGTTGGCAAATCTGTCCTTCTCGCAGCACAGACCGGGCGCACTGATTCGCTTGCCTGGTGGACAAAATCCGATATTCCGTTCGGCCATGCAGAAGCTGTGACTCGGATTGCCAGCAGTCATGGCCATGTGCCAGTTCTGGACTTCTGGTACCGACAGAAGCGTGAGAAGCTAATTTTTGATAATCAAGTTCTCGTTGGCGCAACGAAGAATGGCCATGTCGATGTGCTTGAGTGGTGGAAACGGAGTGGTCTGCCTGTAGAGTTCAAAACGTGCGATATCGAAGAGGCGTTGGAAGACGCGGTTTCAGGTGTGGAAGAGCGCGTACGACTGTGGTGGGCGCGGAATGGATTGAACTTAGGGGTTGGAACTAACGAATGGATGATGGTTAAGTCGTTAAATTAAACCGAGAAAACTTGGTGATCATTTTTGTTAATCTCTACTCTTATCAACTCTTTATTTTATTTTGAATTTCGCTTTTCGTTTCAATTTGAAATGCAGTTGTATTTGCATGGTGACGTGTTGTGTGGTTTTCTTCCGGTCTTTTGCAGTCACAAATCCCACCTTCTGTCTCGATTTCGGCAATGCATATTTAGGTTGCGGACTGCATTAATGATTGGTTTTTCTTTTTATCCCTAACATTGTCTACCTTCCTCCATCTAATTTCTTAATGTTCTGCTGCGTTCGGTGTTAAAATCGGACATTTCTTTCTTAGTGCCACTTACTTTCTTCCTCTCCGAATGCCACCTGTCAGATCAGCAAATTTGAAAAAAGTGCGAAAGTTAATAGCTGGCCGCCCTGGATTCCTGTCCTTACCAACAATTGGTGTCTGCATGCCATCATCCCTGCGACGTGGGCTGAGGCTGGGCATCGAGCTGCCAGATCGAACACCGACAAACTACGGGGCTGCTGATATTTGGCCGCGCCAAACCCTCCTTTCCCCGGAAAACGTCGTTTCGACCTGAAGGGGAAGCTGAATGTTGGAAGGGCTTCTTGTGGGTTTAAAACCCCTGATTAGGAACGACGCTTTTTACCTTGCCCGTGTATTCTCCCCCTCAACGATTTGGATTCTATGTTCCGATCGCACCCCTCATGGTTAGATAATTAAAACTACATCCTTGATCTGACACGTTTTGAACCTCATTCGGTCCCATCTACGAAGCAGCGATATGTGGAGAGAAGGGCTCTTACAATTCGGTCAAATTCAACAAATCACAAAGCTTCTGCGATAATTGTTACCCTAACAGGCGCCCTTTGAAATCCCAGGTTGAGTGGATAAATATATTAATTGGTATCGTCAAAGCACACCGTGAAAGACATCTGCGAGCTTGCCTTAATTACCTTTTCGACATTTCATTTCCTGTGGTCAACAGATGGGGGCCTAGTTACTCACCAATCTCGTCTCTCTGCTCGTGATTGGAAACACACGCCTCCGTAGCTAGATCATGAGCATAACTTCTCTTTTGAAGTAAACACTGTTTTAAAAAACCTTTCTGACTCTTTTCCATTGCCTGAATATTCGTGAACTATGGCAATCATGGCTTTTGGGTTTGTATTTTGGAGCGGCCTTTCCTTGTGCCTAACAACCACTGGCGAAATTTTTTTTCCAGCTTTTACGATGCGCCAGTCATTCGTACTGACATTTATCACCTTGTTCATGTTTTTCTCACTTGCTCGCATTTTCTACTATTTGATTCTTTATCCAGCATTCTTTACACCCCTCAAACATCTTCCAATGCCACCTGTAAGCCCATTTGCTCATCCTTTTTAGTATTCTAACCCTCCATTTACATGAACCAGCGTTAATAATTCATGAACAGGGCCGGAGTATATGGAATGGTCATTTTGCTGCCCTTATTCGAGAACCCCAAGGATATCCGGCCCGACGCTGGATGCAAGAAATTCCAAACAACAGCGTTATCCGATTTTATCACATTGCAAATACCGAAAGAGTCTTAGCACTTAGTCCTAGAGCTTTGGGAGAGATTTTGGTTTCAAAGGCTCATGACTATGAGAAAACTACCCATTTGAAAATGTCATTGCAACAAGTAGCTGGTGATGGTCTCCTCGTCGCAGAGGGTGATGTCCATAAAGTACGTTACTTCTCTCTCCTTTAGCTGATATGATGATATTTTGCATCGCTCATTAATTTTTTGTCAACAGCATCAACGAAGGATTCTAAACCCTGCCTTTTCTTACCGTCATGTTAAGGACCTCTACCCAACATTTTGGAACAAAGGGATTGAGATGGTCAAAGCCATTGAAAAAAGCTTTGAAAAATCCTATGAAAGCCCAAAAATCATAGAGATTTCCGATTGGGCAAGTCGCACAACTCTAGATCTTATCGGTCTCGCTGGAATGGGCCACGACTTTGGGTCGATCTACAACCCGACAAATAAAGTCAACGTAGAATACAGAAAAGTGTTTAGCGAACCATCAAAGTTGATGGTAATCCTCGGGTTTCTCGGTGTGATTTTGAATCCGTGGATCGTTTTCAATCTCCCCTTGCCGCGGAACCGCAAAGTCAAGGAGGGATCAAATTACATCCGCAGCGTTTGCCAGGAGATAATCAATGAGAAGAGGCAGAAGATGACAAGGAAAACAGAACGCGGCGTAGACATACTTTCCGTCGCAATTGAAAACGGCGGATTCAACGACAAAGAGCTTGTTGACCAGGTCATGACATTTATCACCGCTGGACATGAAACAATTGCATCTGCGGTACAGTGGACGATCTACGCGCTTTGCAAATATCCAGAAATACAATCTCGCCTCCGAAAAGAAATACGCTCCTCGTTGCCCTCAATATCGACGGATAATCCAACAGCCATATCCTCCTCCACCATTGACAACCTCCCATACCTGCAGGCTGTCTGTAACGAATCGCTCCGCTTCTACCCCCCAATTCCGTTAACAGTTCGTGTAGCCATCAGGGACACGATGCTCCATGATGCATTCATCCCCAAGGGAACTAGTGTTAACATTGCGCCTGCCGCGACAAACCACGATCCCCAGCTCTGGGGCCCAGATGCCGGAATATTCAATCCGGAACGATGGATGGGGCCTGGAAGGGCAAATACCGGTGGTGCAACAAGTAACTATTCCTTTTTGACATTTATTCACGGGCCGAGGAGTTGTATCGGCTCAGCCTTCGCGCGTGGAGAGCTGGCATGTCTTGTGGCGATTATTGTGGGCAGATTTGAGATGGAGTTGGTGGACCCGCACAAGGAATTGCTGGTTAAGGATGGGATTTCAGGGGCGCCAAGGGATGGGGTTGTAGTGAAGGTGAAAATTTTGGAGGGATGGTGAGTCAGTTGAATATTGAGTCCGTTGTTAAGTTTTATGCGTAAGTACAGTGCCGGATATCTACGAATAGCCGGGTGCGAATGCATGTTTATCAAAGAGAATGGGACGGTTTTTGGCTGCGCGATTTGCGTTTGATTCCAAATATATGTTTTATGGATGCTTTGGTAGTTACTGTGTAACAAGGTTATCAATGTCAAGAGCTGTGGAAATGGTTTTATGATGCAAGATATGTTCAATAATTACAATACTTGAACGAGACATCTGGATGAGTAATGAAGCAATGGTTTGTCTGTTCACTAACCAACTCTGTGTCCCTGAGCATCATGACAACTTGATTGATTGATACTCCTCAAACTTCCTGCCACTCCCATTCTGCGCGAGTTCATAACTGTACATAAACTGAGAGCCTCTATGTTCATCCAGTCTTTTTGCAGGAAGAAGTGTCTCTGGGTGTAGGGGAGTCCAGTGCCAATTATCCATGTGCTAGCAGATCCAGAAACCTGAATCAACAAACACACAATCCTCTTGCATCCCGGCGATGCATGTCCCCTGCAGCAGAAGCGAGGTTTGGGAAGAATAACTCGTGGCACTGCCCACCCAAGGAATGTTCACTGAGACGGAGCATCGAAGACATGTTGTAACTATTCTAAAGCCTTCTGTTGCTGCCTTCTGTCAGAAGCTTAAATGGACTTGAAGCCACCGCTTCTAAGGTTGATGATCCCTTGAATTAGCCACTCCATCAAAAGTCCATACTTTCTCACACGCCGATCTCACTCTCTGCGGGTATCTAGAGCAGCCGTGGTGGAACATAATAATCACCCGTAGCATCCAGGTCGTGAGGAATATGAGGCAAGATGATGTGGTGATCCTTGAGAACGTATCACTTTTTCCCGAAGTTCTGGCAGGTTAATAAACAGGGTTTCTTACTCTGACCTCTTCCCACCCTCGACACTGATTATGTCGTATATATTTTTGGTACTCCCATGAGATGTTCAAATCACTCTCCACGGAGAGGTACGGTGGTATCAATATGGTCACACTTTACTGATTAACGCCGTCGAACTTGATGGCTTACCCACCAGCTGTTTTGTCAAAATGCCCTTGATATTCCCGTATTTCTTAATCGATCTTCTTCCCAACTTTCACAATATATCATACCAAAGCATGGCGATCTCCAACTGAAAGAGAATGCACTGGAAGGCTCGAGACTTACAACACCGCACCACACAAAGTCATCAAGCCCTATAGCTATGGAAAAGATGCCTTCAGAGCCTTGCCTCTCTTTCACGTTTGCAATTACATTCCACTGATCCAGGGTATATCAGATCCCGTAAAACTGGCCCAACTCGTTGCAGACCTTCACAAGTCATCGAAGTCCCCGACAGGGAAAATCGGATTTTACCTTCCGGAAAGTATGATGGATGGCAAACCTATGATGTCGCGTCCTGGGACGATACATGGACTGCATGTTTCTCCAGGTTGTTGAAAGGACTCGGGAATTCGACGCCAAGATGAACAGGACCTGGAATGAGCTAGACTCCGCAATGAAACTTATCCTCGCAAAGGTTGTCCTCAGGCTGAAAGGTATTCTAGAACGAAATGGGAGGGTGGTCAAACCGTATCTTTTCCAGGTTACCTGTGGAAGACCAACATTGGCACGAACTCCACAACGGGAGATATTTACACTTTCAACGCTGCCACCATCTATATATGGCCACAATGAAATGGAAAATGGAATCTCACGGGTTAACCATCACCAGATGGAGGATAGGAGGAACAGCAAGGAATACGCGAAGCATTTCGAGAGAAGCGAACCAGTGGAGGAGTGGGACGATAGGCTGAAGCTGTATGGTGTGAAAATCAAGCCATTATATCCGGCAGCAGTAGTTACAGGAAGGAAAAAAATTCGACATCAGAATTTGGAGGATCTTATGGAGTTGATTTAAACGTATGTCGATGGGGATTGAGGATGTGTGCACATGCCACCTTGTTTGATTGTCTTCTTTTGCAATTTTCCTTTCTTCTCGCAACCATCCTCAAGTTCCATTCCTTTGGTTTCGCCTTTGCCACACTTTGGTAGTTGCGAATGTGAAATAATTAACTCGCTATACGCGGGCGTTAGTTGTTATGTGCTTTCGACAATATGAGATTTAGGGGTTGTCTAGAGGGAAGTTTAGCATGACTTGGTGAGAAGTCACGAAAACAGATATACCGCGCTATGCACCACCTATCCAATCACTCATACTCGTTCCTAAAAGCCATCACCCTCTCCACATCCTGGCCACCCTTATTCTCCATCCAAGCCCGAAACATCCCCTCACAATTGAAATCAAACACAACCTTAGCCCTCTGCAAACATTCCCTATCCACTCCCTGTCCATCCCCATCAATATTCAACTCTGCCTCTATCCCGATGATTCCTCCTTCACCCTCTCCCGTCTTCCCCCATCGATTTCCAGCGGAACGCTGCAATTCCCCACCAGGCCCCGCGACTGCTGTGATTGCGTGCGCAAGTGAGACCGGCTTTTCAGATGGAGAGAAACGGGCCATTGCGGCGGCAGTGCGGGCGGCTGCTGTTCGGAGAAAGGAGTCACCGTTGCCCGTACCAGACAGTGCGAGAATTCGCCGGCGGTGATTGAGCTTGCGATAACAGGGTGAATCGTCTCTGTAAGTGGTGAAAGGCGCGTCGTTTAAGGGCGCTTTTTCATAGGAGAATTGGGATGTTGGTAGGGAGGTATATGCAGGCGATCGTGGTGGTGGAGAGAAACAATCGCGGAATATTTCTAAATCGATTGGCCAAGGTAACCCAGAAGAAGCAGGTAACATTGTAGTTGAAATAGAAGCCGACACAAGTGGCATGGGAGTCGCATCTTGGCCTTGATAAATCATTTGTCTCTTGGATTGCATATCACGTTGCGATCCATCTCCAACATTATAATGGTCGGCCGCCGCCCCCTCGATTGCCTCAACATCCCATGCCTCGGCCCAGAACCCGGCTCCCAGCGTCGGAGTATCTCCAATGCGTCCAGGACATTTATTCGTCAATCCACCCGTACTGGTTGCAACAGCAATATTCCCCCAGCGATCGAGACAAACACATCCCACCGTTCCCTGACTCAAATACAAGCTAAAGCCATCACCTTCGTTTCCACCTTCTGCGCCCACAATCTCCATCTCTCCACCACCTGTCCTCCAGCCTTTCGTCTTTCCCTTTTCCAATCCCCGCTTATGCTCCTCCCACCTCTTCTTCGTCCAAAACCAGTCATCAGGACAAAACTCCAAGCCCCACTCCTTCGCCAATCCTTCTACATACTCCCCGCTCAGCTGAGAATGCATACTACCTCCGTCATCGCCATTATCACCGTCGCTTGCATACCCAGTCCTAAGCAGCACTTCCCTCGCCAACTGAATCGGATGCCTCACATTGCGAACCAGCATCACACCTGCACCTCGCTTTATCGACCCTAGGTTTCGCCCAGATAATATCCCACTACCATCACCGCCACCTCCAACGCTGTTAACATCACTATCTTCGTCGACCAGCGACGCAACCATCACCGAAGCCTCCATCTCAATAGTACCCGCCAATGTAAACACGCTGCCACGGCCGCAATTGAATAGCTCGTCATCTTCCATAAGCGATACAGCATGAACTGCAGCATTTAGAGCGCTGGCGGACGAGATGTGATGGTCGTTTTCGACAGCATCGTTATTGCTAATATCACAAGTACTGGTATCTTCTAGACCTGCATTGAGAAGCGCAGTGGTGGAGCGGAGATACGTGAGGAGAGATGCGTGGTATTGGCTATAAAGCTCTGGAGGAAGACGGGAGCGCTGAATATTTCCTGCACCACCGTGGAGGATGACTGCTGGTTTGAAAAGGGGTTTTTGGGGAGGTCGCTTGGTTTGTTTGGAGGCTGTTGGTGACATTGCGTGTTGACTATTCAGTTCTTGCGATATGCAGGTTCCGATGTAATGGATGCCAAGAGTGGCCAAGACACTAACCGATCCCCAATTGTTCGGTTTGCCCACATCTACCAGAATTAGAGTAGTTAAATTTGCTTGGAGATGTTTTGTCTGAGGGCGAAGTTTGTCCTTTGGGATGAACGTTCAGGTTGATGTCGTCAAGATCACGTGCTGATAACGAAATCCGGCCAAACTGGATTATTATATAGGAATCTGCTGGTCAGTCAGCAGCATCAAGGACAAAGTCCAGTTGGTAACGCTCGAAAGACTTTAATTATGGAATCTCGGATATATATATTATACTGTTTCTTTTGCTGGTGTTAAATATATTGTACACGGAAGTGGTAGAGAAATGTTAACCCCTTTCTCTTTCACATTCCAAAATCATCGCTGGAGGGTTGGAAAGCTTTGTAATAGGAAAGAATCTCCTGTTACATGTCCTGAATATAAAGGATATGTGAGGGCGCTCAGGATACCTAGGTGGTGTGTGGTAGAGCGCCTTATCAACAAGGGGATGAGAGAAAAACACAATCGGGGAATGTGAAACTGGAAACAAGAGTATCGGAAACATGAGCCATGAGAGAGGGATAAGGAAAGCAAAAACATATATAAAAAGGGTACATGAACAAATAAACTGAGGTTAGAATTGACAAGAGACCGTGAATAAAAGTGATAGAATGGAGATATCTATAACCATGCCTCCGAGACGAATGATATGATCCAATGACTGAACTCCCGCATGAAAGATGAGGGATTAGAATGGGTAGGAATTTGATACCCTATGGCGAGTATGTGGATGGGAAAATAGTTATAGGGCGGCGTTTAGGCCAACATTGGTGACTGCGGAGACTTATCTTCCGAAGGGGGTGGTGGTGGAAGCTAATTATAGTAACATTTGTTAGCACAACAGAAGAACCTCTCAGGCATTGACAGATTGGAGCAGACGGGTGGACGTCGACGTACGTCTAATCGTGTATTTTCCGCCATCATTCTTTGAAACCCGATTCCGACTCCTTCAATAACAGCCAAGAAGCAGGCGCACATAATGGCGGAGTTCCTGGCAGCCCTCATTCCACCACGGATGGCAAGCGCACCACCTGTGAAAAATCCCGCAATAACTAAAATAAAACATGTTAGACAAAACAAAGGCCCGGTATAAGAAGCGCTCCTTTTTCCATCAAGCAGGCGGCATAGTAGCAACACTACAAACCCATTTCACTCTCTCAACAGAAGATAGGTTGAACAGAGACGCAAAATCGACCAGCCATGAAGAGTTCAGCACATACTGGCATTATACGGGTCCTCCTTCTTCCTGATTCCCTTAACTGCACAATCGAATGTCGAAAACATGCCACCCCATACGCCAAAGTTACCACCAACAACCGGTGCTCGAGCCTTAATTGCGGTAATAGCTCCTATCCGCCGTTCGCCGTAGGGACTGTTTCGGAATCCTTTCACACCGTGCCATACCGCTCCACCAATGGCCTGTTTTTAAATTACGTTCAGTCATATAGAACAGTCCAGGGTACAAGCAACCAAACAAGCATTTATTGAATGACAGAGGGGGATTGATTAACATACACCCATACTGAACGCACCACCAAAGTCGCTGAGCGCGACCCACGGGCAGGGATCCCTTGTGTGATCCATTGTGATGGTGACTGTGAAAGGGTCTTAGGCAAGATAGGAAAAGACAAAGAGTTCGTACACAAAGGGTGTGTAGTCGAGACCAGGTCCAACTAGATTGATTCGGAGGAATGGACGGAATGAAAAATTAAAATATTAAGACTAGAAATAGACGGAGTATCCGGCAGCCCTATTCGTTGCTGGACTTTGGCTGCTGCTCTCGTGTCTTCTCAAGTTGATAATATCCACAGCTCAGCTCAACAGCAACATCCAGGTCCCGGCTCAAGTGAATAAAATGGCGGAAAGATTCGTTATAATCCCCGAGGAAAGTTGAGACGCGGCCAAACAATTCAACTACGCAAATGGATGAACACAGATGGAAGATAGGAGAGGGAAGAAGAGGGGTAGATCGGTCAATGTGTCGTCGCTGGTGATAGGGAAGACTCAAGGGCCAGTTCTACTCAAGCCTTTGGGATCTTTTGCGTCGCAAAACTTTTTGAACCAGTCACGTGATATAATTAAAAAAAAGAACAGTCATGTGATTTCACTACATCATTCATTCCTCGCAATCGAACAAGGAGACATTGGAAACTGGCAGCTCAGGAATAGCCAACTAGAACATGAACCTGCTGAGAGAAGCCTTCTTGTTACTCTATCATCATTCAGTTGTGGTCTATTCAATGTCTATTCGATGAACCGTATTGAAACTTCGCTGGCTACATACTTTAACTTCACAGACACGGTGTCTTCGCAAGAAGTTATTCAATCTTAAATCACCCCCATTCCAATCAACAATCCAAGTGGCTGAGTGTTGCCCTACTTACCCTCCTCCAGAATTCATCGGATTCATATTTCACCAAGGGTCTGTCTTAACGCTTGGGTTTTTCTTTGGGGTCATATCCCCTCATTTCCCAATCAGTTGCAGGCCCACAATTAGGGGTCACCGCTCTAATTGCAACATCTCTTTCAACAACTCCGGATATTTGCTTCCTTCCCGTCGGGGGGTTATTAAATGTGCAATATCTGTGGCTTTCATCCCCATCGCCTTGAGGTTCCGTCTGATGAGCTCATTTCTAGCTTTGCTATCGGCCACGCAATTCAAAAAACTATCTCGCCCAAGTAATATCTGACGTGAAATAACTAATATCCTTTCCACATTTGGATCTGGCGTATTTTGACTCCTGCGAATCCGTACCAGGGTGGGTGTAGAAGACAGTATTGTCACCGATACCTTTTCCTTCGAGAAAGGTGACAATCTCGCTCAGCACAGGGCATTTATTGCTGTCACTGTCCCGTTTCTGCAGTTGGCTTTCAAACGGTCGAAGCTAGCCAGCAGGAACGAAAGTCACTTGGAGATAGTTGATTTGCTGCTCCAGCATGGGCACAGACAAGAATCAGAAGAACCAGGAGGGAAACATGGCGCTTGGAGTTGCTGAGGCTAAAGGTCCTCCTGTACACAAATATTGGAGTTGTTGAAAGCAAACCAGAGGGTCATTACCTCCTCCGCTCCTCGCTTGGCAGACAAAACAGATTGGTTTTTCTAAGTGGTAGTAAAATTTGACTCTTCCTGTTTTCATTCAACCTGCTACTCGCAATACACCTTAAATGAAGAAGAATAAGAATAAGAATAATAATAATAATAATAATAATAACCACCTGCTACTCGCTCCATATAGTTACTAGCAGTGAAAACCTCGCGTGAATCTCACCATTGACCTCAAACTAGCTTCGGACGTAAAGATCAATATCTAAATAGTCAACTTCAATGTCTAAATCAATATCGTCGATTTATAGGATGTGGATATGTTTCTAATCTGACTTCGCCCGTATTTTTTTAAGCAACGCTGTTGTCAGGTAGAGAAAGGTTGGCAAGAGAATAATTCCCTTGACGGACAGGCCGTTTGACTTAGGAAATCATTTTCTGACCTAGCAAGTCGGAATTCGCCCCCGTTACTATTTTCGATTCATTGCATGTAATAAATAGGCTTCAAGATTATAGCTGGTGAAGTTACTGATTTTGTGTTAATATACCTCAGAGCGTGCAACAAGAGACCGATACAGTCAAGGCTTGACGCTACAGATCGTGAGATTGAGAAATCGGCAAGTTCATATTTATGTGCCCGTATATCTTGCCTAGTTTTGCATGCGGGTGGCTAATGACTCCCGGCTTGAATCTTTAAACCAACCTTTCATTATTAAAAAGTTTTTTGAGGCCGAGAGGCAAAAATTTTAATATGCACAAACGTATATGGTCATCTCACGATAATCAGTGCCTCATTAATGGTGTTTCTAGAAATAAATATGAGTATGAGAATGAGAATAGGTCTCACAAAAGAAATAATAAATGGCCACGAAGATAGGAGCGAAAAATATAAACCCAAAAGAAGAAAAGAGAAATCCACATTACGCCTCCATGGTATCTATCAACTTTCAAACTTCTCCAAAAGTCCAGTATATATATATATATATATTATCGATAAAGCCAAGCAGTCATATAGATTTTGCAAAATTAGAAGACATGCAAGGTAGATCTAGTCATTAGTCATTATGACCAGGAACGAAAAAGGAAGAAACGGAGGAGGGTTGATGTGTTAGAGACGACAGCCCTATTTACTAGGCTTGAACAGAAGTCTTAAAGGACTTGGCTTTTTCGTCTTGTCCTTCCTCTTCTTGTCTTTCCTGTCCTTATCACCTGAATCAGTCGGCTCCTTGGCTCTCCTGGACCGCCTGGAACTTCTGGTAGTATTGCTGTACTTCGAAGAGGTATCACGGATAGACTCCACGCCTCTGACACTTCGTCGACCACCATACTCTGAGCGAAGGTTGCTGGCATGGCAATGAGGCGAAATTCCAGACACAGCAGCTGCTCGTGGTGTGATGAATTCCCCATCTACAGATGTTGCAACACTTTCTGCTTCGTAATCGGCCACACCACGCCTCCATGTCTCGACGTGGCTAAGGTTCTGGTTGAGTTCTATCAACTCATCCGTGCTGCCTTCCGGTTTGGCAGAGCCAGCAGTAATTCGCTTGACAATCTTGTATCCCCCGAACATAACAATGGTAACGCCGACGCCGACGCCAGCAGCAATCATGAACTGGGGGCTTGACAATAGGGCAAAAACAGCGGGTGCGCTGGATTTCAACGCCGCCAGTGCGCCTGGAGCTAGTTTGGAGACGAGGTTGCTTATTTCAGCCAGTGTGAGAGCGACCGCAGCCATGGCTTCGGGGTTTTTCTGCAAGTGGGCCATCGTAGCTTGCACAGAGTGTTGTGCACACTTGGCTTCGACGAGGAGGTCTTTGGCTTTGGCAACCAGTCCGTTTACATCTTTCTCTGAATTTGGGCTCCTGATTAGTTCTAAAGATGTAGGATAATATTCACCATAAGCTAGGTTCATGTCGATATGAGGAGTAGAGTGGGACCGGGTTCCGGGATGGTGTTGCTGGCGTTGAACAGCAACATCATGAGAAGTGTGTCTCCGTGAGAGTTCTCGTTTTGGTATTTGGTCTGGGTAAATGTGTGTGGAGGGTGAACCATTTTCAACGTCGTGAGGGTAACGGCGGGAGGGATGACGATCCAGTTCACCGTCCCTAACCACAGATCTCGTTCTTCCTAGGCGCCTTCTTGAGGACGCAACGGAGCGGGAATCGTAGATGGTGTAGTTGGCTAGGGCTCGACGAGCTTCCAACTCCGCGCTCTTGACTGCTTTCTCTGCGTGAATTTCAGCCTTCCTTTCTCGATAAGCTGATCTAGCTTCTTTGAAGACACCAAATAAATGTTTGCTCTAGAAAGATTGTAGAAAGATTGACAAATGTGAGAACGAATTTTTGGTTATAAAAAATAAGCGTACAGGAATAACTTACAGTGCTCACCACCTTTCCCGACTTGTCAAATACTGCGATCGTCTGGCCTATGGTTGCCATGTTGATATGGGATTGTCGTTCTGCTTGTGAAATCAGGTGTGTATATTCAAAACAATAGCCAAAAAAAAAAAAAAAAAAAAAAAAAAAAAAAAACAAAGATGGAGGTAATTATGTTTTTTTCCCGAGGCTTATGTTGACATTTACTTGAGAGTTTAGGGGGAAGATGACGGTTAGAACGGAGATTGGCGATGTAGATTGGTGATGGTGGCCCGAACAGTCACAGCTTGACAAGACTGTTCGAAGGAGGTGATAAAGCTTTGGTGTAATGGATAGAGAAATAAGAATGACGGTCAGAATCTGATATTGGTAGTGCTTGAGAGAGCTTCCCAGATATGGGGAAGAAACTCTTTAAACGAAAACGCGGCAGGAAATATGAGCTTTTCAAGTGAGTTGGATAGCTGGCCAGATATGTAACGGGTGGATCGAGGACCATTAGAAATGGATGTGGAGAAGGCATTCACAACAGTTGGTTCAAATAAATCATAGACGATATGGCTAAGTATGTTCGTGGCAGATGGTGATTGTTGGGCGACAATTTAGTATGGTGCCTGAGACATAAAACTCCCCCCCGCGGCTGGGTATATGAAGGTTCTTGTGGAGCATCCAACTTGTAAACTGCAGCTAATCGCTAAAAATGAAGCCAGATGCCGTGCAGAGCAGGACTCCGCGCATGAGAGAAAGATAGAGAAACAAAATTGAAGAATCCTAGAAGGCGACGAGATATGTGGATGTCGCAGGTGGCGTCTCAGAATGCAGGGACACCATTTTTGACTGGTTGCTTCTATTCGGTGGGCAGGGCAGCATACGACAGCTGTTGCTTCGTCCCAAGTGGCAGACGTGGGATGGGGGGTGACATCTGGGGAGGTGAGGCGTAGCAACGGCGTGTACGCTGGTTGGGCACAACAGCTAAACCGGAAAGGGGAAGCAGTTTTACATAGCGCCGACGGCTTTAGCAGCGAGTAGAATGGGCGTTGATGACTCCGTGTCACCAGAACTGACGGCAAGTAGATGCTGTTGGTCAACAGCTGTTTATAAATTACTGTAGAGGGAATTTGGCTGTCGTATTTTTGAGCGGTTTGAGGTTCGATGCAACCGATGTTGAATATGTCACGTGATAAAAATTATGGGGAGAATCGGGTTATTACTAATCCGATGTATGTAACTAGCACTAGCTTGACACAGCCACACGAGGGCTTCTGCGTCATGCGCCACAGCAGAGTTTTACCGGATTTCTCCGTCCACTTTAGCCCCTTAGTGTATTATCATGTTGTGCTTCTGCCAATTGACTGGTTCAAGCGCTTCGACTTCAACCATTCCAGCTGAAAGAAAAGGTTATTATCTTGTTGATGGGTCGGGTTAAGGTTACCCATGGAGACATGGGGAGGGTATGAAGTCCCCGGGTTGCTGAAGGGGGTCTAGAGCTTTGTGGATGCTTATATTCAGGCAGCAGGATTCGGACGTAGCTTTCACTAGCATGATTATTGTTCTCATCATACTTCCCTCTCCTCTGTTGTTCTCTGGGGCGTATCCAATGAGACTGGTGTTGAACTTGGATATCGTGGTATACTTTCCACAGGTTGAGAAACTGCTGTTCAAAAAATAAGACTCTTGAAGAACTGGAGAATTTCTTCCAAGTTTCTATTAAAATCCAGTCTGCATATCCATATGCAATCATCAACTCGCTCACTCCCAAACCTAGACAGTATGCTGAATTCTCTTCTGGTATGTCAGTCGAAGGCGGGTGTTATGCGCAAACATTAGATACTGTGCTGGTGGACTCCGCTCTCATTCGTGTTGTGAGGAGGAAAAAGTTGATCTACATGCAACCTCGTCATTCAGCCCAACCAAAGAGACACATACACACACACACACACACAAACCCGTGCCAGCTGTGGTTCTGTTTCCATTGACGGGTAAAGGAAAGAAATTATATATAGAATTGCTGTAAATCCTTTGCCCTTGTTGCATGATGTGTCTGGCGGCCAATGCGTTATTCCGGTTGCAAAATATTTCGGCTTGTTGTACTCCATATCCCCCATCAGTTTGCCGTTATTGGCGCTTTTTCCCTATGGGCAAAAAAATACACCAAACAACAGAATGCTGCGATTAAAATGTTTTATTTGTCCGCGTAGCCCAAGGGTCGTAGATGGCATTCTCTGAAACCAAAGACGCACTTAGAGACGTTCGTAGATCCCGATTTCCGGGAAGCGTCCTGGAGAATCTGTTTAATTGTATCGCAATGGCATGAAATATTGATGGTTTTGTGTCAGTTGAGAGATTCTCGATAAAATTCTGGCTCATATTTCAATTGCAACCAGTGTGGGCATTTCTTCAAAGACTGAAGTGGGCCTAAATATGGCAGACGATCGTCTCAAGTTTTAACCCTCAATAGTCAACGATCATCGTAATCAGCGGAGGCAAGATAAAAGACCGAAAATAAATATAATATAACAAAATAAAATAAAATAAAAATAACATACAAACCAAGAATAGGACAAGCCACAAATAGATCTTCATAATCGGTGAGAAAGAATCATCTCACTGACAAAACTACTCCCTCCCTCTGCTCTCCGCGCCTGTGTCCGCGCCTGTGTCCCCTCTAAAACATCCTGCACATCGAACAACGTGGATGCCACCATTTTTTAATCTCATTGCATCATTTCGGACGCACATAATTCGCGAGAAAATTCCACAAATGGAGGCGTGTAAAGAGCAGCCCGGAAAAGCCCCCCTCGCACGGCTTTGCTGGGACAGAGGACCAAGGTTAGTCACCAGGTAGAACAAGTAACAGAGAGAGGGGGAAAAAGAAAAGAAAAGAAAAGAAAAGAAAAGAAAAGAAAAAAGAAAAGGGCCGCTATCTGTGGCTGACTTGAATCGCTCGCTTTTTCTCCCTTAACCAAGCCAAGATCCAGGGATGGATTCACACCACAATAGCCGCGCTGTCAGGAGGAAGACGACCCTGTTTGAGCTCTAATGGAGGAGTTTATTTTTTTAAACCTACCTATTCCCTTTGTATTCCCAAGCTCGACAAGCTAACGCTGCTCTCTTGGTGGTGATCCACTGTCGATATCAAGGCCCCGAAAGATGTGCACCAAAGACATGGGCTGCATGCAACCAGGAAGAACATGTGGTGAGATTTCTGAGCATTTCATTTTTATCACTAGCCCTTTTCATATATTTGTTGATACGCGAAAGGCGCATAAAAATATTCCCAAAATAATTCTCGTTATGCTGTTGTCTTGGGGTAAAATATTGGAAACATTTTTGTTGTTGAAATGGCACTGCGACAGAAATATGTTTACATTTTACTTCCCCAGAAGATGCTCTGTTTTCATGGATGTTCCAGGCTCGGGAGGCACGCGGAAACTTCGCCTCCTCCCAGTTGAACATCGACAATTATCCAACTCGCCCACCATCATCTACTTAATATGCCATCGTTTAGTTATGCGAATGACGGTGGAAAATTAGCATGCCCTCTTCCATTGCCCTACGCTGCTTAGTAATGAGCCCTATTTAGGCCCCTTTGGATGCCCGCTGACAACAGGCGTCATGGATGATTCAGACTTCGATGGCCCCTCTGATATTGAGTTAGAGTTGGACAGGCGGCCTCAATTCCAGCCTCAGCATAGTTACTGCAACGGCGAAACTCCCCCTGATGCTCAATTAAACAATCCATGTGCTGTGGGCCACCGGGTGCAGGCCGTTCGCTCCGTTCTCGCCTTGGTCATCGACGAGGAGTGCGTTTTTGCTGGTCTGCAAGGTGGCGATATTGTTGTATGCTTAACCCCTATAGATTATCCCAATGTCCAATATGTGCTACTCGCAGATGGCTAACGTCAAGACACATATTTATGTGCCTGATATGTCCAGGCTTGGTCACTTGAGACTTATGAACTGATTCTTTCAGTCAAAGCCCACCAGGAAAGCGTACTGGGCTTGTATCTATCTGACGACGGAAGCTTGCTGTTCTCGAGCGGTGGGGACTCCGTTGTTAATGTATGTCGTAATGTCATATTCTTCCTCTCTTCCTGGCTCTCATGCTCATCTTGAGTGTGAATTTCGACGACCATGCATGCAGGATTTGGAAGCTAATACTATCTAGGTCTGGTCAACGAGGACGTTCGAACGCCTCTATTCAATTTACTCGCACCACGATGTGGGCGATATTTTCACTGCGGTTTACTCAACTAAACTGAAAACTGTTTATTGCGGTGCTCAAAATACAAGCATTCAAGTACGACTCCAGAGCCCTTGCAATAAATACTGTTGGTATCATATGACTAATCCTCAAGTCGACAGTGGTGTGATGTCCAACTGGAGGCTCATCCGACCCCGCCGGCTGGAGTGCATCCGTCAAGCAGGAGACATCGATTTTTCGATTCCAAGGGTCCCGGTGGCACTGTGACTCTAAACCCTGATGTTAGCGAAGCAGCTGCAAAGCTTGGCCATGGTGGTCAAACTCTCACTTTCAAACGAGACCACCACAAACCATATGCCCACAATGGCTATATATATTGTATGCTTTTGATTCGAGGCCTAGAGGAGTGGGCAAATGGTGAGGAAGTGCTTTTAACTGGCTCGGGAGATGGATCAGTCAAGCTCTGGGAGCTTGGCAATGGTCCAGATGGTTCTCCGGTTGAGCTGGCTGAGTTTAAGAATGGCAGTGATTCTGTACTGTCTATTGCGGTTGACGGTGCATTTCTTTACTGTGGACTTTCAGGAGGCGCAGTTTACATTTGGAACCTGGATTCTCGTCAGATCATCAGGAAGCTCACAGCCCACAGCGGAGACCTTTGGGCGATTGATGTTGTCGGAGGCATTACTATTACTGGTGACTCCTCTGGTGTGATTAGAGTATGTATGCCCTTCTCTATATGAGTTAACGTTTCCTATTAACCGTCGATCGTAGAAATTCAACTCCAGATTTGAAGAGATCGGCTCATGGGTTGCTCACGAAGGAACTATGCTGGCATCAGCCGCAGGTGTTTTCGACGATAGGCGTATCTATGCCACTGGTGGCAATGATAACACCGTAGCCATTTGGGATTTAACGGAACACCCACATGATTCCCGTGAGGCCCCTGCAATTGGCAACGGTAAGTAAATATCATGTCCACAGTCATAACCGCCCACTAAACTTCTTTAGATGAGATGGTCAATAGCCTGGCAAAGTTTGTTGCCTTTAAAACAATATCTTCGAGACCTAAGTTTGCCGGAGAATGCAACCAGGGCGCGGCTTTTCTCCGTCGTCACTGCAATTACCTGGGAGCTCAAACTAAACTTTTGGGCACGGGACCAGATACGAACCCGATTGTCTTTGCGAGATTCGATGCCGTTTCAAAGTCATCGACTAGCAAGACTCTATTATTTTACGGCCATTATGATGTTGTTGGTGCAGATACCAATCATCTGAAATGGAATAGCGACCCATTCCAACTTACCTCAGTCAATGGGTTTTTGTATGGTAGGGGTGTATCAGATAACAAGGGCCCGGTCCTCGCGGCTCTGTATGCGGCCGCTGAGTTAAGCCAAAAGAAAGCCTTAAGTTGCAATGTCGTTTTCTTGATTGAAGGCGAAGAAGAATCTGGTTCCCAGGGATTTGCCAATACAGTTAAGAAACACAAGGACTTGATTGGGAATGTTGACTGGATTCTCTTGGCAAACAGCTACTGGCTAGATGACCACATTCCGTGCCTGACCTACGGCCTAAGAGGAGTGGTCCATGCCAATTTTGTCGTGACAAGCAGTAATCCAGATTTGCACAGCGGTATTGATGGCAGTTCCCTTCTTGACGAACCATTGAAGGACCTAACGATGCTGCTGGGCACTATTGTTGGTGCGAAAGGGAAAATAAATATACCAGGATTTCATAACCCAGTTTTACCCCTGACAGAGGTGGAAAAGGAACGATACGACGCAATTGCTGAAGCCCTACTTCCTCACCATCCAGAGATTGAAGATAGTGAATCATTCACTGATTCTCTAATGCATCGTTGGCGTGAGCCTTCACTCACAATTCATCGCGTCGAAGTCCCAGGCTGCCAAAATACGTCGACGACTATCTCGCGAAAAGCACGAGCCACACTTTCCGTCCGTCTCGTACCAAACCAAGACGCAGGCAAGGTGGCCGCCGACCTGACAGAATTCGCACAGGCCCAATTTGCAAAATTTGACTCCCAAAACACCCTCACAGTCGAAATAACGGGTAAAGCGGACCCCTGGCTAGGAGATCCAGAGAACGATATTTTCAAATCGCTCTCCCGTGCCGTAACTGCAGCCTGGTCTTCTGCCAAAGGAGAACGGCACTACAGCTACCCGCCAGTAAACATACCAAACCAGTTGTCCCGGCGTGAACTTCTCCACACAAACTCGACAGATAGCATGGCTTCGCGGTTCGATCGGATTATCTCATCTTCCTCCTCAGCACCCAAAACCAGTTCGGGACACAGACTTTCCACTTCTGCTGTTCCGACCTCTTCGACCCTCGCTCACGGCCCCGACTTACCAAGTGCAAACCTTCCTAGTAGACCACGCGCGCTCTGCAGACATGGTGCATCCTCATCCACTTGTGAAATCAGTTCCGCAGCGGCAGTCGTGGCAGCAGGGGGGTCAACGTGTCATCACCACCTCCAAGATCCACAACGTTCCCACACACGAACCTCTACATCGACGTCTCAGCCCCCATTAGCTCAGCCCCGCTCTTGCCAAGTAGTTAAACCAATTTACATTCGTGAGGGCGGTTCGATTCCAACAATCCGCTATTTGGAGAAAGCATTCAACGCCCCCGCGGCCCATTTACCCTGCGGCCAGGCCAGCGATCATGCGCATTTGGATAATGAGCGATTGAGGGTTGAGAATTTGTACAAGAGTAGGGAGATTATTGGCAGAGTGTTTAGGGATTTGGGGAGGGATGATAAGAGTGCCGTAGTTGAGGATGAGGGGAGTGAGAGTGATAGAGAGCCTGAGGAAGATTTGGAGGAGTAAACCAGGAGGCACTCCGTAAAAGGATGAATGGATTGTAGCCGGTGGCAAATGGATGAGATATGGGTATTGTTTATCACTCGAAGTAGCCGATATCGTGTATTAATGTATTGATAGACTCTTTTACCCTCTCCTTTTTCATGTTCCCTGTCTTTGACCCTCGTTTCTTTGGTTACTTGTTTCCACTACGTTCACTGGTTCCTTGTCTCTAATAGCCGTCCATATCATTTTATATTCTAATGGCACACGGGTGGAACAAAAAAACAGCAGACTAAAACGCATAGCCAGGACACCTCAGCAACACATGTGAGGAAAATTTGAATTTAGAAAGAAGACAAACACCGTAAAGCTTGAAACATAACACACTTCTCTGAATTGGGCGCAAAACGAGAAGATTATTCCATGGCGCAAGCCTCTAATAAAATAAAACTACAGTACAATGCCAATATGTACATAAAATTAAAGCATGTTGTCAAACTCCAAGCCAATAATACAGATGCCATAGCACAGAAAGGGCGTACCCACATTCCCAACACCATTTGAAAAGCAAAATGAAGATTCTCACCAAATCCTCTTAGCAGCCATTTCATACCTCATGACACCTTCAATACCGTCACTGCCTCCGGCATTAGACTTACCAACTCTATCCCTCTCCTCTCTCTCCCTCAATCGTCTCGCACCATCGGGATCGTCCGCGTAAATCCACCTTCTCCGATCCTCACCGATCTCCACAGCACCCCAACCACCAACGCGGCGGGCACCCTCAACGATGTCGGGATTCGGAGCTTTAGCTGGGGAATGTAACACAGCCGTGGTGGATGGAGTTGCTGTTGGTTTGGAGGCAGAGAATGAATTTGTGACGGTAGATGTGGTTGAAGATACAGGCCCGCGTTCTCGCAATTTCATTTTCTTGTATCGGGAGCGGGCATAGCTAAGGAGTATTATGCCGAGGACGAGCTTTGAGAAGAGAAGGGTAAGGTATAAAAGGAGAATAAGGATGGCGGTGAAGATGGGTATAAAAGTCGCGGGTGATGGCGTTGCATGGGAAATCAGGGTTTGGAATAAGGGAGAGATTTTGGTGAGGGAGAAAGCGGTTTCGAGTGGCTGAAATGGGAATAAGAGCGAAGGTGAAGGAGAAGGTGATGGGGAGTAATGGTCATGGATTGATGTTAGGGAGGTTGTGTTTGAGGGCGGGAGGAAGGGCTGTGTTTGTGGGAGCCATGAGGTCAGAAACATCTGGTATGTCTGGACCGACACACGGAAGAAAAGGCAGGCCAGAGGTATAACCGGAAGACCTAGTCGACGGTTGAGATTTTGATCTGCAAAGGCATTTGTGTAGTAATCCTTGGCGAGGACATCGATGAAACGTCCGTACATGGAGGGGCGGGTGTTGTTGAATTTGTTGATATATGCATGTTTTAGCCAGTCGACGATCATCTCAGAGCCCAAAACTACCAGGAACGGTCCAAGGACATGCGGGAGAAGTGAATTCACTTTGCTAAGTGAAGAAAGTATAGATGATGGGAGGATGGTGAAAGCCTGTGGAAGAATGGATGACGCCGTCCTAGGTGGTGTTACGAAAGATGTATTGTTTGGACTTGTGGATGGACTGCTGCTGGCGAACAAACTCAAACCGCTGCCAGAGCTGAAGATACCAGTTTCAACAATATTTCGAGATGCAATGATGGTAAGCATTAGCCAAAGTTGAAACCGTTCGACAACGTCAGCACAAGTAAGCTGAAAGAGGTTTTCCTTTTCGAATTTTTTGAAGACCGTTGATTTAATTTCCACGAATTGGTTCGACAATAGCAAAGTAATCAGGGCATTTGAGTACGAGTTCACTGCTACATTAAGGGTCATGACTTGGTAGAATAGTGCCGTGGAATGGATAACTGTATATATAAGCGCAATGATAAACAGCCAGAATGGACGTAGTATCTTGCTGCGGCCGTCTGGTTTCCTCTCGAGAGCTTCTCGTGAAAACAGACATTCAAGGACGTCTTGGCCAATGGCTGACAACAACCTATCACCGACCTGTAGATATGTATATTAGACTAGAAAGTAGAAAAAGGAACGATCGGGCAGTTCGAAAACATACTTCAAGTACATTGTAAATAACGTAAAGTTTAATTGCAGCCTGTCCGCGAATCCAATGATACATCCGGCTGGCATCGAAATACATTAAGACCAGGCATGTAAATATCATCAAGAGGCCCTTCAATATGTCTGCCTTGTGGTCCGGTAACAGAGTTGAAGGAATGGATCTATTCCTACGATGTCTCCGACTAACGGATGCCCAATTTCTTCTGTCATTTCCGGACGCCCGATTCATAGTGTCATCGTCAAGGAATGGGTTGTCTATTCCGGTAGTTGGGGGAATATCAACGTTTGATTGTGAGTGACCAGAGTCCTCTTTAACCTTTTGATCGTACCAGTTCACGCCAGTAGCCGATGCAGCCTGGTGTCTCCGCCGCCATACCCTTGCAACACCGGCAATAATAAACCCGCAAATGTACTGAGCTTCGGCTCCAACATTGACAGCCCACGATTGTAGAAGAATAAAAATGGACTTGAAAAATCGTAACGGAAGAATCGTAAAATAATAAAGCCATGCATCGATACACGCTAGTGTACCAAAGAATAGAACATGTTCCAGAGCCGGGGGAAGAAGGAAGAAGTTTTGTAGGCGCTCAAGCTTCGCTTGAGAAGACTCATAGGGAAAATCATTCTTGGCGGAGCGGTGGATATATAAGGGCGAAGGTCGGTCAGAAGCTAATTCTAGCTGGAGATATGTGGGGATGGAGAAAGGAGGAAGTGGAATAGATTGGGGAACTGGGGACGGGAGCGGGTCTGCTATGGATGCCGAGTTTTGACGATTTTTAGCCATATCAATCGGGTCAGGCTTGGGACGCTTGGGACGGGAGGACCACGAGTTAGCCAATCTATCGTCACTTGCTGAGAATCGCCGTCTTTGAGGGGTATCTGGGACCGATCCAGCTAGTGCTGAGTAAGTCCGGCGCCTGGTCGGGGATGGAGGAGGCATTTGATGTGCGGACCCAAGAAATTCGCGTGGATCCTCAAGATGGGTATTCCTTCCAAGATTCAGTTTGCGCCTTGGAGACCTTATTCTTCTCGAAGATTCGTTCGCAACTAGTCTACCTACTGGTAGATCCAGAACTCCACCAGCCTTTCGTGAATCTGAGGATGCATATGGATGCAATGCCGGTTGCCATCGATATCGTTCTGGGGAAGTGGAATGGAGCGTAAGAGATTCGGGAGAAGAAGTGAGTTCATGAATTTTCGCAGGAGATAGTTTAAGAATTTTATTCTTTTCACGATCCCGGGTCGAGGGCGATTGCCGCTGTGAATCAATCCGCTTCAAAGAAGACGCCATTTCTACGTTGGCGACTTGTTCGGATTGAACAGCGGGCTTTCCCCCTAGGACAAGGGAAGATACCGTTTCCACGCTTTCATCAGGATTCTCCATACAACTTCCTAAGGTTGGTGTAGGACCAATTGAAATTGGTTTCAAGGGTACCGTTTCATCTCCCTGGCCCTTCATGTCCAGAACAGGTGTCGGAATAGCTTGCGGTTCGGTGCCATTTTGCAGGGCCGGACTCTTGTCTTCCGAGTTCTGAACATTCCGCATACCATTATCTTCCATACGCAGCACATCCATCTTTTTAGGACATTGACCATTGACAACCTCAGCAACCAGCCCTTGTAAGTTGGTCATCTTTACTGTTGGATCTATATCGGTGTCATTTCCTTTCGATCCCGCATGAACAGCCAATGGCTCTTCACTACAATTTCTTTCGGAAGCGATATCGCGAGCATAACTATCAGCCATCAAACTGTCACCGCTCCGTCCAGAAATTGTAGGGGAAGCAATGCCATTGGTCGTATCCATAACGATTCCTCCCTTTAAACTAATATAGCTACCGTCATCGTAATCAAGGATCCGGAGTCTTACCCTCTCACCTACACTGGGCAGTACAGATGCGGGATGATCCCCCGGCTGTGAAGCAGTGGGATCAGCGGTACGAATCGATATGTGTTTGCTGTATATAACTGGTTTACCGCGTAGCCCGTTTATCTTCTGTTGTTGGCTACTTTTGGTAAGTCGGCTTGGCTTGAGAAGCTCGATCTTGACGTCAGTAGAGGCGAGCTGTCCTGAAGTTGCGGTCGCGTAGTAGTTGACTTGGAGCTCCCCAGATAAGAAACAAAGTCGAAGCAAAAGAGTCAAACGCTAACTAATTATCATGAGTGTGTATGTTTAGGGGGGTTTTTGACGTTCTTATAGAGGTTGAGAAGTTGTAGTTTCGATGTCAGCAGATTGCGAAAAAGATAAGGTCGACAAGCTTATGGAAGCTCATGCTTAGTCAGCCGGAGCTATTCATCTCAGCCAGAAAAACCCTTGGCATGGTTTAACTATTGTAGAAACCAATCTTATATCTGCGCTTGATAGCAGTGATTTTATCGTATTTCTCAGACCCACCCTTAATCTTAACTAACTCTGATCCTAACCTATCCCTAACCCTGGTGTTGAGATCGGGTGAGGTTGATTAGAGATGTATTTGTGTTTATATTCGATGGGATGACAGAGTTGATCATGGTTTTAAAATTATAGGTCACTCTCACATTCAACCTTTGAAACCACGAAACCTCCGTTTTGATAGTATTTATCGAGTGTTCGTTTGATGAAGCAGCCTTATTGAGGCCATCTTCGTTGTGTTACTAATTTTATTTATCTGAAAGAGACTGGCCATGTACCTGCAACTATATTCCTGGATTTGATGGATGAGGTGGTGTTAACCCTCCTCACGACCACATCAGCGGGAATTAACCACCACAGGCATTTCTGCCAACACTCCGGATGACATGCAGCATATCAGATACGGCGCGAGCTTCAATCGGAGTTCCCATCACACAAACGTCATTATGATCCTTCTGTCACCTATCTGACCGCCGTGGTCGACATTATGTCGCATTGAACTGGTTCG